TAATCACCATTCAACTATAATACAGTTTCACAACATTTAAATTTGCTGAATCAAGGAGACAACAAGAAAACGAGCTTAAATAAATCAGCTAATCCATAATGATTTGTGTATGTTAACATGTAAACAAAGTAATAACAATTATAATAATAATTATAATTATTATCACTACTACTACATAATACTATTAATAGTATTATTTTAGTTACAATTAACAACAACAGACAATATTTAATCAATGTTACGGTAATTTTTTAAGGTAGCTCAATGTTTTCTGTTTACCTTGTTTATATCTTTGGTTAATCTTGTTGTTTGTTTTTCTCAGGATTAATTGACTGATCTCTTTTTTTCCTAAATACAATCATTATTACCTGTTAATTGTTGTAATTTTGCTGCTGCTGTTGATTTAATTGTGTAAATTTAACAGAAAACACCTTTAATTGTTGCTGTTCAATTTTGGAAAAGTCTTAGTTTAAACCCACAGACAATAGACAATGGATAATGTTAATTGTTTATATTGTACTTTTGTAATTTACAAAGCCTTAAATTGTTAAGGTTAATTTTAGGTAAATTAATTGTTTCAAAAGAATATGCTTTTCCAATTAGGAGAGAATTTAATTATCCATTTGATTGTTAAAACAACAATTAACCATAACCATAAATTGTATAACCAGAAAAAAAAATATTCTCACAATCAAATTTAACCAAATCGGTTTGGTTATGAAAAAATTTTTCCTCTCAAATTGATTAACATTTGGAAAATCAAATGTTAATCAATTAAATATCAACTAATTACTTTATGATTCTAATCAATTGATTCTTTTGTTTATAATTATAATCAATTCATTTAACCAGAAAGTTAATTAATCAAATTGTACACAGTTACATAAGCTTAACTTAAAGTCAATTAACTAACCAATATCTAAAAATAATCTCAATTTAAACTGATTGTTGATCAACAACAATTTCAATCATCATTAATTATAAAAGTTTAAACAAAAATTTAAACCATATATAATACTTGATGAAGTCCTGATTGTCAATCAATCTTTCATCTAATTGTAACAATTAACACAGAGAAAACAAAAAAAAATATTCATCATTGACAATGAAAACAATTTTCATTAATAACTTTTTGTCTAATTGTTGATTAACTAACACAATTGAATTAAATTGTGCTATTTATTATTATAACAAAAGGTTTTTGCTCAATCAATTAATTGATTCACTTTTCTGCTTTATTGCCTAAGGCTAATTAGTTATGATGATTATCAATCAAGACTCAGTGATTACATTGATTCATTTTGATTAAATATTTAAATTGTTGAAATTGTTTATCCAATATAATCATTGACAATCAAGTTGATTAAAGGTTTTCCCTATCTGATTAAATGTTGACATTAATGTTTAATTGTGTCATTATGTTTTTAGTTGATTTAGTTAATTTAACTGATTGCTGTTTATTAGATTGAAAATGTTACCTAAACAATTTAATTTAATTGTCAATACCCTCAAGATAATAATCAATCAATGTAATAATAATTTATTGTTATTGTTTCCAATTATAATTAAGTTTAATATTAAATTTTGCTTTTAATATTAATCAACAACAATCAAATTGTAATCAACTTAATTGTCAGTCTAGTTTTTCAATGTAAACCAAATTAATTTATTAGTTGGTTAATTATTAAAACTTAATTTGTTTCAATATGTTAAATAGATGTGATATAAACTTAATCAACAATTAACCAAAGATTTGATAACAATTTATACACAATCAAAAGGAAACCTGATCAATTGAATCAATTAATTGTTGATTAATAATTTACAAAGGTTTCTTGTAAGTTGATTGATTTTGTGTAATATAATTAATTTAATTGTTGCCAAATTAACTGTTTTCAATTGAAAGTGATGAATTGAACTGATCACTTGAAGTTAATCAAAAATTACAATTATCAATTATAAGACAATCAAATCTATAATTTAATCATCATGCCAGTTAATTGTGATTAGTTAATTGCTTGGCCAAGTAATTTACAAATCATATGACTGATCAATTGATACAATCAAAGTTAAAGCTCAATTTTAGTAAATAAATCAGACCAATCAATTGATTTTGTTAATCAGTCACAATTTTGATTCAAAGTTTTTGCACTTTGTTAATGATTAAGGATTGAAATTTGTTGTGAACAACAATCAACAAGGTTAATCATTAACTAACATTTGATTGTTGAATTGATTTGATTTTAATTTATGATGTTTTTCAGAATAACAACAAGACGAAAAAAACAAATCAAAGGAGAATTTTTTTTTCGAAAAAGAGAAAACTTTTTTCTCTCTCCATGAAGATGATGATGATTATCATCTCTCTCTCTCTCTCTCTCTCTCTCTCTCTCTCTCTCTCTCTCTCTATCTTCTCTCTGTGAGTGGATCAGTAGGGCCAAAATGAAGATGAATAAGGAGAGATGATGATGATGAGGATGATAAATGAATGAGAAAATAAGAAAAGACCTTGAAGTTTGTTTTTATTCAGAGATGGAAATTATCAACTGAGAGAGAGAGAGAGAGAGAGAGAGAGATGATGATGATGAAGATGAAGATCGGCTGAGGTGTAGGAGGAAGATGGTGATGATGAAAAGGAAAAGGGGCTGAAAAAGGAAGCGGAAAAGGTTGGAAAATGAAACGAGAAAGAAAAGTTTTGTCTTAAGAAAACAAAATGTCCTTGATTCTTTAATTGTTGTGACTATTTCATTCTAATTTAATAATTAATTAGTTTTAATTGTTGTTGTTGGTTTAGTTTAGTAATTTAATACGATCAATTAAGACGATGAAATTTTACATTGATTGTTGAAAGTTAATCACAATCTAATTTGATTCTCACTTGTAATTGTATTTCAATCTTGTAACTGATTAGAAAATGAAAACAAAGTTAATTAAATACTATTCACTGATATAATCAACAGATGATAATTAAGTTGAATGTTTGATTATGATTAGTTAATTGTCCTCTCTCTCTCTCTCCCTAATGAGATAATTTTTAGACAACAATTAACTTTGTTGAGCCAAAGTTTGATTTACAATGTTAATACTGTCAAGATAAGATGAGAGACTGAAACTATTACATTGATACGATAATTGACTAAAAAAAGCAAAACAATTAAGTTAATTGTTATTATGATGAGATGTTGTTGTTGCCAATCAACAACAATGTTGAGAATGAGAGGGGAAAGAGTAAGATACGGAAAAGGAAATAGAGAGAAAGTGAAGAAAAAGTTGATGAGAAAATGAAATTTTCTATTTACATTGAACTGGTTTTCTCTTTGATGCAACTTTTTCACTCAATGAATGATCTTTATCATCATCATCATGATAATCATCTTCATTTACCTGTTGAACTACAATTTTGATGAGACCTGAATGAAATCAGGAGACCAGAAAGAAAGAGGAACCAAAACCAGAACCAGGTATTTTATCAACGTGGCTCAAACGTTAGGAACTCAATGTATTTATATTGTTATTATTTCTCAAAGCCCAACCCGGTATTTGGATGATGATTATCATGATGATGAGAGAGAGAGAGAGAGAGAGAGAGAGAGAGAGAAAGAGTGAGAGAGATGATGTAAAAGTTGCCTGGTTCCTTTAATCTCTCTCCTTTGCCCCATGAAATTCAAGCTCAATATCTACTGGAGGTTGGGAGAGAAAAAATTTCAAGGTAACCTTGAGCTTTCCCTCTCCACCTCACTCACTCACTCTCTCATTTACTCATTCATTCTCACTCTGTCTCTCTCTCTCTCTCTCTCCTGTTTCTGAACACAAAAGGAATCTCACCATGATAACAAAAAAAGAATCATAATCAAATGTAATATATTATAATGGTAAACACAGAAACATAGAGAACTTCAAACTTCAAATTCTTGTTTTTTTCACCAAACTTGAAATTCATTCATGAAACAACAACAACAACATTCACTTTCCTCCCTTTTTACGTGAAAAAGTCATTATCATCATTTCATCTTCGCCTCATCATCTCTCTCTCTCTCTCTCTCTCTCTCTCTCTCTCTCTCTCTCTCTCTCTCTCTCTCTCTCTCTCTCTCTCTCTCTTCTCGTTCTTCCTTCTCTTACTTTCTCTTCCATCATGTCTGTCCTCTCTCACTCTCTCAATAATAATGACTCCCACACCTTCATCATCATGATAATAACATTGAATTATATCCTGAACCGGCTTCATTATTTATCATCATTTGGTGTAACCGGTTGAGACAGTTTGTTTATCATAAATAGCCACAGACACAGATCATAATTAACTTGATTACTATTTGATTACAGCAATTTAACATCACAAGGGTTAATTGTTATTGTTTAAATTCACTTCATGTCCATCATCATCATAATCATCATCATTCATTTTCAGTTTAATTAATCTCACAAATGTCTAATCGATTATCTTAATTATTAACTTTCAACAATCATTTCAAATTGATCAGTTGATTTTTCATCAATTCATTTGTTGTTTTGATTAACTAATCAATTCATATGATTTTAAATACTACTTAATAATAAAACATTCAACAATCAGTCAGAGATAATTAAACATCATCTTAATCAAAGTGTTAATTACTATTCATATGATCACAATTAAAATTTACCATTGTAACCATAAATTTAATCTTATATAAAGATTAGTTATTAGTTTTCAACTCTCTTCTTAATTGTTAATTAAAATTGTTAATTGTCAACTCACCTTGAATTAAACAAATCAATAGACACAAAAGAAACACAATTAATTGATTGTAAACATCCGTTAGCTATTTAGATACAATTAAAATTCATAACCCGTATCAAGATGAAACAATCAAGGAATCACAGTTAATCATTAGTAATTAATTAATTCTCATGATTATTAATAATCAACAAGACTATTAATAGATCAAAAATCAACAATAATCAAAGTTAAAACTAAAAATAATCAACAATTAATCAAAACGATTGCAAAACAATCAACATTTTCACGCAATTAGTTAATAATATTTATTGAATTTTTATATAATAATCAATTAATTAATCAAAGAAAAAAAGTACACAATTAATAATAATAATGCAAATAAGAGAGGTTCATAGATCTCTTAATTAACTAAATTGTTGATTTCATTTAATAGCAATTAAGCTTAATTTTTGTTTACCATTTAATGACAATATTCAATAAATGATAATAATATTTAATTCAATCAAGTATAATTAAATTATGTGTTGATTCAAATTGTTTTCATCTTTTTCTAATAAATGATGATTAACATCATGTTTGTGTTTTGTAATGGACATAATTAGTAATTAATTGTCTTAATTATTTTCTCAGAATTAAGAGAAAACAAAAAGAAATTAACTTTCTCAGCAAATAGAAAAAAAAACTTTGGTTAACCCGTCATATTGTTTTCTTTCCAGTGGCCAGTATATGTGTTTGGATGAGTTTCGTGGTCATTAATCAGTAATTAAAGTTGATTGTGATTAAAGGGCATTACAATTAAGTGATTGTTGTATCAAAACAAATATTGATTGATTGGTGGAAGAAAAAAAAAGGCTTCGATGAAAGAAGGTAACTCTTTCTCTCTCCTTGGTGATTGAGTGTATTACCTGTAAATGTTTCCAATGATGATGATGATGATGATCAAGATGAACAATTAACAATTGTTTTTCATTTCTCTTTCCATAGTTAATCATCAACAGAAAAACAAAAGATGAGGATGGAGATGAAGACTTGATTTAGTTTTTCCATTGATAATAGAGAGAATCCATTTTCGTTGAACCATCCAAAATTCATCATCATTTAAGTTTCAGCTCTTTAAATTAATCCCGTAATATGATTTCAATTGTTAATCGTCGTTAATTTAGTACGTGTTTTTTTTGTTGATTTTCTTTTGTTGTTTTGGTGATACAATTAACAAACACAACTTTTACCATGGGTAAATTATCGGTTATGTTGATAATTGATATTGATAGAAAAAAAAAGATTTGTGTCAGAATGCATAATGAGAAATAGCGATGATGATACTCATGAAAAATCAGAATTGAAAGATGAATGAACGAAAAGAGAAGAAGGAAAAAAAAAAGTTCGCTATTCAACAAAATTTCAAGATATTCCAATAAAGGTAAAGGTGATGGTGGTATTCGTGGGTATCCAAAAAATTGTGACAGAAATGAAGGAGAGGAAAAGTTGCATAAGAAGAGCTCAAAAGTTGTTCTTTCACTTGGTTTACCGTTCGAGTAATTTAGTACCTTTGTTGATTGTTCATTTCTCTCTTTCCCTGGTTCGGTGTTTCAAAGCGCTTACTGGATAATAGATGTGAATGGTTATCATAATCACAATACATAAACAAATGAGCTCTTCCTAAAGGGCTTTTCAGTTTCTTTGCAAAAAGTTTCAGGCAAAAAGTAAACAGGAAAGAAAAAAGTTTTCCTTATTGTTTTGAGCTTTCTGAATAGGAAATAATAGTAAGGATAATGACATATATTTGTGAATGAAACACACAATCATATATGTAAATGCATGTGACGATAATTTTTTGCTGGTCTTATGAACCTAATAGATAAGTGTTTGTGTGTATGTGTGTGTGAGTGTTTAAGTGTATAAATAATGGTGCATTTATGTGATTGGTAGTGTTGGTTGGTTATCGACATAAACATCATCATTTAAGCCATCAATTTTTCATCATCATTCTCGTCCAGTTCGGATAAAGTTGACCTGTAAAGGTTTTGCAAAATGAAAATCAACGATTCCACAATGTCCACAAGCAATTGAATTTGAATAATGACTGAAAAATTGTAATCGATGATCAGGTGAGATAACAAGGTTTTTACAATTGTTACAACGAAGACGATCAGTGCAACAAGGAACCGCAGCGAAAATATCATAAGAATACATTGAGCCAAGAATTAGGTGAGATCCGGTCCATCGGCTTGAACAACTACGACATTTTACAATTGAATTCCAACCTTCTAAACAGCCCATACAAACGGCATTTAAATATTGTTTAGAACCATTTTCAACGGTTGTTGGTACAGCACCTTTACTATGCTGGGTTGGTGATAAGAAAAAGGTTCCATCAATCAATGGATATTTATCGAAAATCATCATGGAAGTGTGACACATGATGCACGATATTCTGTTGAGATTGTAAGAGATGATTTAAGAGAGAGAGAGAGAGAGAGAAACGGTTTTAAATGATGGAGAAAAAAAAGAAAAGAAAACCAGATAAGATTAAGATGATTTTACATGTGAGTCAATCGATATGAAGATAAGAGTGTTAACAGAAAAATTAACTAATTGTTGATAAAGGAAAGGGTTCAAAGAGAAATGTTTAAATTGTTAACAGTTTAAACTGATGATGAACATTAGTTAAGCGGGATGATGATGGATGGATGATGAGGAAGATACAATAACCTCTTGTAAATAAACTGTTGATGTAATTTGCAAGTTCTTTGATTTTTTTTTCTCTTTTCCTGATTTTATCAACAATTGCAAGAAAAATTAAAAGAAACAAAATCTCTTGTGACAATTTTGTTAGGGTTAATTTAGATAAAGTTGATTGTTGGCTTACCTGTTCATACGATTAGCACTGAGAGTTGATAGGATGAAATTTCTTGTATCATCGTTACCATGATCTTCCTCCATTTTAATGTGATAAGAATTGATTTTATGCCTTGGAAGATTGTTAAATGATGAATAGTCTTGACGACGAGTGAAAATTGATCCTGATCCTCGTCTCTCTCGTCGTCCAATATTTTCATGGTGAAAATGATGATGGTGATGATGATTATGATAATTGGGATGCTGAGAGATTGATGTATTTGCTGTTGCTGTTGTTGTTATTGTTGCTGATGATGATGATGATGATGTAGATATTGATGATTGTTGATTGTGATCGGCAGCACCAAAAAATTTCTTCATGAAAGCAGATTGATCAAGAAAACCTGGTGAAAGTGATTCTGATCCACTACCTGGCGGTGATGTACCACCTGAACCTATTGAACCGCTTGAAGACATTGACGATGTCCTGAATCGACTAATTGGTAAAACTGAAACATTGCTTGATGATGAAGGTGATGAACTAATTGATCCAATTGGATTAGAGTTAATTGAGCTGCTTGAAGGAAGATTAATATTACCCGTAGAGATTGGAACATGAGTTTTAGAATTTGACCCGTTATTACATGTAGACATTGAGGTACTTATGATGAGAGAAGGTTTATCATTGGATTTCTTTTTTCGATTCTTTTTCTTTTTACCCGTTTCATCGGAAGCGGTTGAAACTGGTGCGGTCCAGTCCAAGTCTTTGCGAAGATGACCTTTACCACATTTACATCCACACGCTTTGTAGGCTAAATCGTAACCCTTTTTGGTCCATAAATTTTGTAACCTTTGTTTCTCTGACCAACTACGAGCACGACCAGTTGAACGGAGAAAGGTCAGAACACTTTCTTCCCAAGATTCGAAGCAACATTTATGCATATAACGGCCTTGGTTACAATTCTCGTTGTTACAAATAACCTTAACACAATCGTTTAGATCTTCCATTTGAATGGGTTGATTTAGATTACAAATTGTTGGAACACAACATTTGGTGATATTTGGATCTTTTGAAGCACCGGTATTACCTTTAACGTAATAGTCTTTTGAGTTATGGTGGTGATGGTTATGTTTTCCACCGGAAACTTCAGTCTCACAGAGACCCGAAGGGTGAACAATTTCAACGGAATCACCACCATGGTACTTATGGTTACCACCTTTTTGAGGCATAATTGCGATGGCAAAAGAGAAGCGAACAAAATGGAAAAAAAAGAACAAATTGAAAAAAGAGAATAAATCAGACACAAAGAGAAATTAAGGTGAATAGAATTAAATTGGCCAAGTGACAGTTTATGGAGAATAGAAAAACTTAATCAAGGGTAAGTAATTAGTGGCGATTAATTGGATTGGTGAAAATTGGACTGTCCAAAAGGCGAAAAATGAAGGGACGAAAAAAAAGAAAATGAGAAAAAGTAGAAAAACAGTTAGAAAAATGTATGGGAAATTTACGTTTGGAGATTCGAATGTAAACTAAAGTGAAGACATTGAGTCTGTTTGATGAGAGAAAAGAGAGAGACACAAAGTGAGCAGAATTGAGAAGTGAGAATTCGGGAGAATAGAGGGAGAAGCAGTTGATGTGATTAGGGGAGAATCTGAAAGAGGGAAATCACTCGACTTGTTTTCAACTTTTCAGCCTTTCGAAAGGCTTTTGAGTGAGTCACTTATCTAAGGGGAAACTGATAGAGAATCAATGAAATGGTCTCAAGGTCGAAGGGGAAACACAATCCATATTTAATACAATTCTCCCTTTCGCTTGTGATTCCCCTTTTTCTCTTCTTCTCTTTTTACATAATAGACACACTCCCGAATTTTGTCTCTTTCTTTTTTATTATATAACCAAAAACAAGGAAAACAAAAAGAAAGAAAGAAAAACATTAACCGGCCTTTTCTTAATCTTCTCTTTCTTTCTCTCCATCAATTCTATCTTCTTCTTCTTCTTCTTCTTCTTCTCATCTTCCATTTCTCTCTCTTTCTCTCTGTCTATTTAATTTCTCTTCCTTCTCTCATGTTCTTTCATCTTTTTCTTTCTTTCTCTCATCATCTGTCTCTCTGTCTCTCTTTTTCTAGTATTTTCTTTCTCTTTCTTTTATCATCTCTTGTTATCATCATCATCATCATCATTTCTCTCTCTCTTTCTTTCTTTCTTTCTTTCTTTCTTTGGGTTACCAAATTTCCACCAAAAAAGTAAAAGTGTTACCTTTTATTTTTTGTTTGTTCTTCTCTTCATCCAATTAGAATTAAAAATTTTCGAATTCACTCCAATTTTAATAATGTTCCATTTCTCTCTCAATATGATAACTGTCATTTTCTCCCATCGATTATTTAATGATCATCATCTTCTCTCTCATTTATATTAATTCACCCTTTTTCTTAGAATCATTGATTACATATGAATTTCTCTTTTCTTTTAACCGAATATCATTTCTGCTATTTTTTAGCTCATTTGAAAGAGAAAGAGAACTTTTTTTCGATTTTCTTCTTCTGGTCAAATTAATTCTCTGTCTTCTCCAGATAAATAAAAGAAAAGAAAAGAAAAGTTCTAAATCGATTTGATCGAAGACAATTAACTAGATAATCATCACTTTTCAATCTTCTCTTCATTAACGATAATTGTATCGAAAGTTTTACTCTTCATCATTAAGAAAAACAAGAGGTCACTTTGTTTTCTCTCTCATTCATCTGCTTGATTCTTAATTTCGATTAATTTAAAATTAAGGGAGAAATTAATTCTTTTTCTTAATCAATAATTTAACCTTTTCATTGATTCTCTTTCACGGTCATATGTTGTTTTCGTTTTCACAATCAACCCAGAAACAGCTTGTTACCAATGTCGCAGATGATAATCATTTGATTATATCAAAAACTAATGATCAGGATAATTAATAATGACAATTTTTAACCGGAAAAACAATTAAAAAAAACAAAAAACTTCATTTTCCTGTTCCTGTTTAGTCGCGCCATCTATTGGTTGACATTGTAACTTTTTTCGAAAACAAAAAAAAAACTTTTCCTTTCTTAGTGAAAACTTTTCATTCATTTAATTAATTACTGATCAAATTTCAATCTGAATGATTTAACTTTTTAATCTGATTAATGATCTTATTGAAAATGATCGATGATTGAAAAGTTGGAAAAGTATTAATTTGATTGGAATCCATTAGAGGGCAGCTCAATTTCCAGTGATTAACAAATTGTTGTTAAATCTTGTTGTTGATTAGTTTTAATCGGTGAATCTAATTACCCATCAATCAAATAAAACTATTTTTTGCCTTTCTCTCTCTCTTATTTGTTTATTCATAGTTATTATTGTAATAGGATATAGTTTTAGAGTTAATTGTGTCTGAGAATCAATAACAATCAACGAATGGCCAAAATAGATTAACAATCAAAAGTAATTATGAAATTAAGGTAAACAATGAAAATGATTCATAATTTAATGATGATGATGATGAAAGCGATAAATAAATTACAAGGTTAAATTGAAAATGAGATGACAATTTACCTGGATAATAATCATGTGAGTTTGATTAAAAAGTAAAGTAAATCAATGACAAATTGTAATCATTTGAAAAGCCGGTTTTGCCTGATTAAAGGGTAAACACAACAATTAACCAATCAACTGGAACAAGGATCAACAATTAAATTTAAAATTTCAGCTTTCACGTTGTTATAATTGTTACAATGATTAAAAAACCGAGACAAATAAATTGATTGTGATCATCAGATGATTTCAATTGATTGATTCAAGTCGTTTTCTTCATTGACCCTGTAAGAGGAAATTGATTAGGAAAAAGAAAACAAAAAGTTAATTAGTAAACAAAATTTAAAAGGAAAAATTTAAAAGGAGTTTTCCAACCTTGAAAAGTTGTTTCCATTTCATCATAATTATCATCATTATCATCATTATCGTCATCAATTTTATCAATTGAACAACAAAAACAACAACACCACGAGTATTTAAATTACTATACAAATTACAAGCTTAATTGTTGCTTTACAAATCAAATGAGAAGATGTTGAAAAACAACAACATTGATAAATTGTCTTCAACAATATTGTATAATCACAATAATTAATAAATTACATTTAAAAGTAACATATATAAGCCTAGACAGGAAATTTATGCCAACTTATAAATTGTAATAGTAATCAGAGGGAATATTTAAATTATCCCAGAATTAGATTTATAAAAGTTGGCAAATATAATTACAATTTACGTAACTAATTTTATATTATTTTCAATCTTGTCTACGAAATCATTTTCATCATGAACTCAAACATGAATAACAAGATGATGATGAAGATATTGAATTTTACAAGAGAGAAAGAAAGAAAGAAAGAAAGAAAGAAAGAAAGAAAGAAAGAAAGAGAGAGAGAGAGAGAGAGAGAAGATAATGATGATCAGAGAGAGAGAGAGAGAGAGAGAGAGAGAGAGAGATAAGATATTCCAATGACCTTGATGTTCATAATTAAATACCATGGGAATGAGAATCTGTGTGAGGAAAATCATATGAAAGTAAAAGAGAGGAAAAAGTTAATCAATTGAAGTTAATTTTCAAATTAGATAATCAATAATTGTGACAACTATTGGAGGATAAATATGAATCTTTTTGGCAACAATTTCTGGTGACAAACGGAACTTTTTTTTCATGAAAAAAAAACAACAACAGCAAAGTTCAATGATGAACAATCATGAACAATCAACGGTTGGGTTAAGTTGAAAATAACAAGGTACATATGACATATTCTGATGCCTGAAGTCACAAGGATTTTTTTGTTCATCATTTCAACTTGTTTTCAACTGTCTCATGATACTTATCATCATGATGCTTACTTGATGTTGTTGTTGTTAAGTTTCATCAAGATGATGAAGATAATGATGTGTAGGCAAGAAAAAAAAAGGTTACACATATTTAACAGCTATCTAAATGTATCTCTCTCACTCTCTTCAATCCTGTTCACCCAACCAATTTAATTGTATCAACTAATTAACTTATCAAGATGCATCATTTTCCGCATCATTTAAATGGAGTAGAAAACAACAACAACAATGATGATGTTTGCACTCTGTAAGCTCATTGTTTCATCCTTGTTGTTGATATTTACACATGATGATATTTTCTGTTCCCAATGTTTAATTGTTTATCCAAATCTTGATTGTCGTTCACCTTAAAAATCACTTTGAGATCGCAATCCTTTTGTTTTCATCTGATATTTCTGTTGATTCAGACAATAATCGACTGAATATGAGTCATGGAAATTCATCATCATCAGGAAATGAAGTGAAAAGACACGTTGGTGATTTTCTTACAGGTCATATGAATGGGGAGATGACATGAGAATGATGAATAATCTTAAAGGTAAATTCAGCTGAACTTTTATTTCACAGGTGAGTAAATAAGGTAACTGGTAAAGAGAAAACTGAAAACATTAAAAGGTAAGAATTGAAATGAAAACTGAGAAAACGTGGTAATAGGAAGATAATATAATTCAAATGAAGATTCATACTCAAGGTGAAATATTGGTGACAAAGTTTTGTTTTTCCATGAAAAGATTCATCAACTTCTGTGAGATGAAAAAAAAAATTAACACAGATTCTTGATTCTCCAAGGTAAGGGCATCAATTAACTCCAACAACGAAAATAGTTAATTGTTACCTTATCCAAATTTTCAGAAATTCTGACGATTATCAATAGAATATATGTTCATGGTGCTGAATTAATGATAAGAACTCAATTTTAGAGTTCGAAGATCATGATGATCCTCCATCGTCAGAAAAAGTTCTGAACTTCTGAATATCAAATAAGGTTGTGGAAATTTTTTCTTTCAAACAATTGGACATTAGTTCAATTCCTTGTTGATTGTAATTACAATTAACTTCGAACGCGTTTAAGATTAACAGTAAATTGAGATTACCAAGTGTCATTGTAAGATTGAAATTGAAATAAATTGTCAGAGGAATAAATCAATTGATTGATTTGTAATCATTAGAGATTCAATTCAGAATAATCAGTAAGTCATATGTTGAATTTCATTGGGAATTGTTTACCAAAGATGTAACAATTAACAGTTACAATGACTAATTGTTGATGAGAAAAAGTGTTTTTTTCTGTTGATTGTTGCAAAAAAGTGATCAAAGATTGTAAGTTCTGTTATCGACAATCAATAAGATGATCAATGGTTAGATTAATTGTGTAAAACTATCAACGATTGATAGAAAGCAAATAAAATAACCGGAATCGAAACAATCAAGTTAAATGTTGTTTAGATTATCACAAAATTAACTAATCACTCGAAAGGAAAATTGAACCACACTCAACCAGCGATCATGATTATCATCTTGTCAGGTTATTGATTGAAGTTTTGAAACTTAACCAGAAAATCATCAACAATTAACAAAACTTTTCTCGTGGTAATTAATTTACTTGTATTCCATTTGATTCCAATCCTATTACAATATCACTTGTTTGACTTGAACAATAAGACACCTTAAGGCTGAACCACGTTTCAGGATGAAATTGATGGTTGATTGAATAATGATTAAGATGAAAAGTAATCAAAAAGATGAGAATAATTATCATATTGATTAATCAATACAATCATTAAAATCTAAATGGGAAAACCACCTTGAGTAGGATATTGTTTTGTCTATGGTATTTTTCATCATACTCATCAATTGGGAGAGATCATTGCTACTGAATAACCTTTTCCTTTTTCCATCATCACAATCTTCCCCTTAATCAGTTAATTATCGTCTATTTTTAAAACTTTCTTCGTTCATCTTCGCATTCTCTTCTTCCTGGAGAGAGGCAGAAAAAAGTTCGCTGATTCTATCCATGATTTTTGTTCGTTGTTTTCGTCTTCGAATTCATTTCCTTCAGTTACTTGACTTAAATCACGTTCTTCCTCCTCTCATGATCTCCATCAGAATCCATGGATTGTGAGTTCCCTCCGATTATCTCATTTGATTCCTCTTTTCCTTGGAATTTGGCAAAAATGGAGTAAACAACGATTAGAGAGAGAGAGAGAGAGAGAGAGAGAGAGAGAGAGAGAGAGAGAGAGAGAGAGAGAGAGAAGATTAAAGAACCATGAACAATCAAATTTCTTCTAAATTGTAAACAAATAAAAGAGGGAAAATTAATAACAGAAAAGATTAGGTAAATTTAGATACGATTATTTTTCTAGAAATTACAGCATTTCGTTGGTTAATCATATTGTTAATTTAGATAAACTAACAGTTAATTCAAGGTAATCAGCCTAAAATTTGAATGATAAACTTAACTAATATTCATTTAAATCTGCTCGAAGTGGAAAATCAGTCAAGGTTATGGAAGGAACGAAATAAAATTCTCTCTAGAATTGAATCATACGGAAGAAGGAACTACAAAAATCAACCATAAATCACTAATTGTTAACAATCAATATGTTCCCAATGGAATGGGAAACAAAACAAAATAATCGCTAATAATTGGATTAGAAAATTACTTAATCAACTAATATCAACAATAGAAAATAACAATTTATACTATCAGGATCATTCACATTGTGGATAAACTAAATTACTGTAATTAGCAGATACAAATCACGTTCTATCTGGTTAATTATCATCACAATAATCCATCCATTTCCCTCCAATTGAACCAGTTTTATCCTTTGGGGTTCTCGCTCTAGAAAACTGGAGTAAACAACAATTAAAGAGATACAACCATGAATAATCAGAAATCCATCTAATTGATAATCAAGAATAATAATGCTAATAAAATACAAGAGATTAAGTTAAATATCACCAGATAAAAAAAATCATCACCACATTGATATCTATTGTTGTAGCTGTTGTAGGTGATGTTGTTTGTTTCAATTTTATGCTAATCAATTATTATATTGAAGCTTAAATCATGATTAAAGCATGAGGATGATTAACTCACACACATACAATGTAATCTGTAATAATATTGATTAGTGTGAGCATCAGATAAGAAGCGAAAATGATTCAAGATTAAGTGTATTGTGTGAATGATAAAATGGGAAAAGTCTCATGAGTTTTATGGTGTAAATCATGAATCAGATAAGGTGACTGAGTACATACCTGAACCAAGAAGGTGCCAATACAAAAAAAGAATTCACATTCAGGTGATGACAATGATGATGATTATCAGATGATCGTAAAAAAGGGTTGATGATGATGATGATGACAGAGATGATGTAACAACAAATAGTGATTATTTAGAGGATAAGAAGAAGATAAGAAAACCTTTTTTTTTTTGGAAAATGATTGAATAAGAACGAGGGAAAACAAGATGGCGACAAGGTGATAGAAAGAGAGAGAGAGAGAGAGAGAGAGAAGCTCACATACCTTGTTGTTTACTTAATCCAAACCAGATGAATTAATTTCTAATCCAAATGATGATAAACAAGTTGATGATACCAACGATTCATCATCGACCATTGACCTAGAACAAGATGAAAGAGAAAAATAAAAAGGTGATGAGGATGATTAAATTTTATATTCGAAACGTGAACAGTTATTCTAATCATGATGTAATTATAAACAAAGAAATCATCACCCCTGAGAGAGAGAGAGAGAGAGAGAGAGAAAACCAGAAAAACAAAGACCCAAAAAAAGGAGGGAAATAAACAAATAAACAAATTCTACATAATTTAGACAGAGAAGATAATGGAAGATGGAAGAAAGAAGATGAAAATTACTCTTTGTTGGTTGATGATACCAAGATTTAGAAACGAAAATGATGACGAGATGAAGAAGATAAAGATGATCGGGGCTAAGGGTCGAAAATAAATTATCCAAAACAAAAGTAATTTGGGTAAGAGAGAGAAAAAAACCTTGAAAATAGAAAATTAGACAGTGAAAATCGAAAGAGAATCGACTACGTAAGAAGCGAATGGGAGGAGTTTCCATGTTGTTTATTTTTCTTCTCTATTTTTCTGTTTATAAAGAGAAGAACAAAATGATTTTCTCTTATTCTGTCTTTTTCTTTTTCTCATGTAACTTATTTTTATTTTATTCTTTTTTTTGATTTAATTTAATTCTCTAATTAATTGAACATTTTCTTCTTATAAACAATTTATTGTTTTCTCTCAATTTGTGTTCTCTCTCTCTCTCTATTTTTTATGTTGTATTAAAACTCTCTCACTTCCATTGACATCACTTGTGTTTCTTTGCCTAACATAAAACTACCAATAGTATTTTTAATTTTCTTTTTCGATTCAATCTATTCATTGTTTGGAACTTTTTTTTTGTCATTTCTATAAAAATTAAATACAATCATGTTTTCAAGAGTAACCCCTGAAAAACAATCAACCACTGGTGTTAGTGGTCTCAAAATACCAACTAAAAAGGTTCAATTGACCAATCTCTCTCAATTACCGGATGATTACTGCCAAACTCCGGGTGGAACAATGTTTGCAACTACTCCTGGAGGTAAGTTAACAATTAATTCAATCATTTAGTTAACGATTCATAAATTCATGGTGAAATTTCAATTCAAATCCTTAAAACGTACGAAAAGTAGTCTTGTTTTTTTCTTCTGTTCATATTCTATTTTCGTTCCATCGAATATTCTCCATTTTCTCTTTTAAACTAATTTTCTATTCTATTCTATTCGTCAGGGTTAGTTGATTGGTTTGATTGTTCTTTTTAACTTTCACCTCTTGTGAGTTGTTATTTAGGAACGAAAAATGGATTATCTCCATATCTATTCTGTAGAATATTGTTAATCTTTTTCTCTTTCGATATTCTCTATTGATCACATGAAGAATAGGTTAAAGTAATTGAGCCGCCATATTGTCTGTTGTTTGATGAATCACAAGTCACGAGGTTTAAACAAAAAACTCCAACAACTTGCAAAGTTGGTTTTGTCTGTTGATTGATAGTCATTTGACTCTTTTTTATTGCCAAGTTGCATATTCCCGCAAGTATAACAACATGCAATCAACTTTTCATCTTCTCTCTCTCTCTCTCTCTGCTTTCCCTTTCTCATTATCTTTCTCTAGTTGATATCCTTCAAAAATTTTCTAATTAGAACACCAAAAACAATCACCAGGTTAATTTAGCTTTTCGGATTTTATATCTCTTGAAATGATCCAATGATTTCACCAATTGAGAAAATAAACTAATTTCGAAAAGTAAATTTTCTCTGCTTGAGAAATTGAGAGAGAGAGAGAGAGAGAAATGAAAATCCGGTTTATCTAAAATAACATGTTCATATTTCTCTGTTATTTAATATTTTCATCCTCATCTCTCTCAGTGTCATGGGTTTATCACCTCATCGAAATGAACAAGAGCTTCAACGCTCCTTGAACAGCGATGTCTCATGATTTCTCTCTGTTTCTATTTCTTTATGAATAGTTTATGAACTTCATTTTATTATTTTACTTCTTTGAAGGACTTTTGAAAGAATCAAGAAAGAGAAACACATGATCAAATCAAATTCTTTTCTCACTCTTCTTCTTTTGTCTTAGGCTCAATATCAAATTGTCACATGAGTTTCTCTCTCTCATATTTTTTTTATGGTTCTTAACGTTGATTTGTTTTCTTTTTCGTTACTGATTAACTTTCCTTTTTTATTAATAAACTGCCTCAGGATTTAATTAGTCTCTTTCATTATCTTGAATCTTTAAATTGAAAATTAACTTCTTTCAATCTGATTTTCTAATTTATTGTTATTAGAAACTTTTCTTTACTCTTCATTCGAGTAACTTGTTACAATTTGTCTTGCAGAGATAATTACATTGATTAATCATTGCTTACATGTCTCTCTCTCTCTCTCTCTCTCTCTCGTACTTAATATTAATTACTCATGATATTAGTTTTCAAGTTTAATTGTTGAAGTAACAATTTAACCAGATGCCTGTCGTTTAAGATTGATGATCAATTTCGCGATCAGTTAAAGTCCTATGATCTTTATTAAATCATGACACTTTATTATTATTGTTGTTATCATTATTTTATTATCATTCTGTTTATTTCCTATGATTGTCATTATTAATATACAATTAATAATATATATCATTGTTTTTGTTTTTACTTTTAATTATGGTTAAGTGATGGTCTCATTAAATTAACATTGTCAGCTTTATTTTCTGCTATTTGATTACTTAATCTCGTTCTTATTTTTTCCAATCTCCATTATGTACCGATTGTTGTTGTTATTTGTTATTGTTAACTCTTTAATTTTCTCTTGATTTTGCAATTATCACTATTTTTAGGATCGAATTGAACATCAATAATATTATTGTTTTTTTTTTCTCTACTAATCAGCATTAATTTTCAATCTATTTGATTTGAATCATCATGAAACTATCATCAACTATTAGATATTGTAATGTGTTGACTCTGTTGACCTATTGATTATTTGAATCGTTGATTTCTTTTTGTTTTCTACATTATTTTACTAATTAAATTGTTTTTCTTCTGTTAACTCTCTTAGGAACCAGAATTATTTATGACCGAAGTTTCCTCCTAAAGATGAGAAACTCACCCATTGCATCAACTCCACCCAAAAATCTTCCCTACATAGCTGGTGTTACAACGGGTATTTCACCTGAAAGCCTAAAGGAAAATAAATCACCATTTAAACCCTCATCTTTAATAAAATCTGAGCAATCAGCAACAATTCAGAAAAAGATTGAGCAATCTAAAGCAACATCACCAACACCATCAACCGTAACAACAACAAAAACAACAACAACAACAACAACCCTGCAACTACTACCCCTAAAAGGCTGTATCAGGTGAGTTTCTGATCCCATTTGGCCTTCGATTCATGATGAATCCCATGATTGATAATCATTTTCCTCCTCTGTACATATATATATTTATCTTTCTCTCTCTCTCTCTTTCATCATATAGCAACCAATGAAGAGCCACAATTTTCAATGGAGATGTAATCTTTCTGGGACAAATCGTCTACTAGATTATGGTTGTTGTTGTTTGATTAGTAAATCAACAAATTACATCTCAAAAAATCATTTAAATGCAAAAGTTTAAAAACTGAATACGACAAAATTTACAAAAAAATTAACGGATGGAAGTCAAGGTGACTGATGAATCGATTTTTTAAAACAAAATGTAAATATACAAAAATGAATGGAAAAAACAAAGTTTCTATCATCATCAAGTTACAACACCTTCTCTATAAATCATTTGAAAGAACAGAAAAAAAAATCATCAACAATTTAATTAAAACCAATAATGATTGAGAAGCCTGATCATAAACATGATAAAATATAATTTATATTTATAAACAATAACAATGGAAAAAAAAGTTCAACAACACCATCAACAGCAAAGAGGAAAAAAACTGTAAAAACTCAAGCAACTTTTGGATCAAATTTTAAACGAATGACAAAAAGGATTTAATTTTACTTTGGTGACGAATTTGATTATCATTTAAATAGTAAAAATTATCAAGGTATAATTAATTTTACCTTGATACAAATTGAGATGAATGAAAACAACAATGAGACCAGCAGAAAATTTGCAAACAGATTTACAAATGAACATGATGTTTGTCTCTTTCTCTCTTAATATTAACTCAGATTTCAACAATCTGATTAAATCCAGTTAATCAACAATCAATCTCGATGGGAATATTTATGTATTTCTAAATGAATAAATAACAACAACTATTCCCATTGGTGTAACAATAATAACGCAACATTGCAAAAAGGAAATGTGATTAAGATTTGGTTACCATGAAACACGATGAAATTATCATGATGAATTTTGATGTTTATTAATTTACTCGAGTTAATTAACTTGTTCCTGTCCTTGATTACATTCTGGATAAAATGTTCAATCAAAAATCATCAACAACCTCCTACAAAAACCTAAACGTATCTCAATTGGCTTCTCAATGGAAACAATTTCATTTTTACTACTAATTGGTACTCCTTTTTTTCCCTCTGGTCTCTCTTTGCTGTAAACACGAAATTAGTAACAATTAAATTCTATTTAATTGTAACAATCTAATTATCAACTCACCATTACACCCAAATTTGCATGGATTCAAATGATAAATTTTCACATCTCTCTCTCTCTCTCCCCATGCATTTAAAAAACAAAATTGATTGAAAATGTTAACGAAAAAAAAATATCAAAATAAAAAAAATGGGATTATGATTAAAACTCTCAAATTAATTATCACCAATTGAATGGAATACAATTAATCAACTGATTAGATTAATTGTCTGGTTGATATTTTACTTTGAATGAATTACAATCAGTTTAAACGATCATCTGACTCTACATAGAAATCACCTCATGTTAGTTAAATTTAATTTTTTTCTCATCCAATTAAATGATAACAATTAACAAGATTTCTGTTTTCTATCAATCAGACTGAAACACTCGAGATCCTGATAGACTGGAAAAGTTAATTAGTGTTAATCAAATACTAATTACCTAACATGTAATCAACAAATTGTTATGATTATCAACAAGTTGATTAACTATTGATTAAAATTGTCTTTTAATTTGATTGTTTAAAATGTTTATCTTTAACTGATTAACTTTGACGTTAAATTACTAACAGATAATTGCGATTTTTATTTTCTTAATTGTAGTAATTAAAGCTGATTGAATGTAAACAACCCCATTAATTATTATTCAATTGAAATTTAATCACAATTAAGTTACTTACTGAAAGTTAATTGTACTCATTTAATTGAACACTTTCATGTTTAATTGTTGATTTAGATGATCATTTATATACAATATTAATGTTAATTGAAACGTTTAAATTGCAACAATTAAGTAATCATGGTAAACCTCAAATTGACGAGATGTTTAATTTAATTACTTTTGTCTTATGATTTTTTTTTCCTGGTTAATCTAACCCAGAATAACCAGTTTGATTGTTGTAATTAAATTACGAGTAATCAACAATTAACCGGCTTCAACCGACTCTTTAATCATAATTGATCATTAATCATACTAATTTATTAATAGAATAATAAAACAAAAGTTAATTGTGTTGATTGTTTACTTTTTGATGACTTTTCTTCCCATTGGAATGATTTAAATGATTACAATTGTTCATTGATTAATCAAAATTGATCGAAATCAATTCGAATCTGCGATTCTTTTTTTGTAACAATTAAGATGATTGAGACCATCGAGTATCGATAAGCCGAACCAAAGGCCGAAAATACTACTGATGTAGATTAGAAGATCAGTAATTGTCGATTTTGGATAAGCTCGAATGATCAGATCGGGTTCGTTGGGATATTCTAAGCAGATTTTTTTATTCTCGACGTAACTTGGTGTCGGGTACGAATAATATGTCGTCTCATAATCGATATAATTACATTGGGGCGAAGGGTTAGCATTCGAACAGATCTTTTCGATTCGCTCGAGCAGATCGTTGTTTTCTTCATTAAAGAAACGGAAATTGGGAGGATATTGATTGTCTTCGTTGAACGAATGTACTGTATCAGAATAGACGCAATTAAAAGCAGCGAATTGTTGATTTAGACAATTATGTAAAGATGTCCTCTTATTGTAGCTTGAACAGTTAGTTTTCCGAGGCCAAGGTAAATTTTCCCGAACAAGTCGACGAGTATGCGATCTAACTGTAAAATAATTCGTTTCTATTCTGATGTACTTGCTGATGCGAGTTTCGGGTTCATAGGTTATTGAAACCAAACGAAATCCAAACTCTGGAAAATTACGAGCTACGAAACAAACGATGGGCGATCTACTGGATCCGTCCAACTCTCGAGAAAAGTGAAACTGAAATGGTCTTGAACCATTTCGACACGAGATTCTAATGATATAATTAAGCCCAGTGTGGAAATGATCAATTTTACAAAAGCCACGAGTTAATATGTTACCTTCGTAACCATTCAAACTGATAGAGATTATGTTTGACCTTAGGTCAGGGCAATGTTTTCTGATATCTCCAATATTCAGAAGTGATAATAGTTTATATGAGACAATCGGTGTTGGTCCAGTCCAATTTGAACAATATCGATTATAATCTTGCAATGAGGTTATTTTTAGATTCTTTCGCTCGGTTAGATTTCGGCAAATTTGACCTAATTCAATGGGATATCGTTTGTATAATGAAGTCCGATTAATAACTGACCCAAGGTTCATGGTGATATCGATCGCAGGTAAATCAAATATCTCCGAGTAATCATAAGTCACCTCAAATCTAACCTCAAATTTCAAGAAATCACCAATCACATCATTCAATTGGATAATTGATCCAATTAAACAAATTGTTACAATCAAAGATTTAGAAAGTAAACTTGAGGTCATCTTATCAAGTTAAATGTTACAACTTAAATGGATTTACTGGATTTAGAACTGATCTGAATCGATTGAAAATATTTTCAATTCTTAAATTACTATCAAGTTGATTGATTATTTTCTTCAAGTTGGTGGTCACTTTAATGATTTATTAAGTGATTAAGCAACTAATTTACAATCAGATTATTCTGATTGTCACTTTTTTCATTCGTTAAGAGAAAAAACTTCAATTTAATCGATACGAAGATGAATGAAAATAATCAATGAATTATTAATAGTAAGAATACAATTGAATTAAAGATACACTTTAGGTCACATGAGAGATTAATAAATGGAATGGATAATAATTTAATTGATTAGGACACTTCTTTGTTGCTGCAAATTGATTTAACAAGTGAAAGTTGGGATTATCTCTCATCAGAATGACTAGTTAACGAGTTGATTATTGTAGTAATCTGATTGTTAAAGGAACAGAGGCAAAAAATTAAATCATCTCAAGATTCAAAGACAAAGATCAAGAAAAAAAAAATACATGATCAGTGAATCAGGATTACAATTAACAGTCAATAATGATTTTTTTGATTGTTAATTTTTGATGGTTGAAAGGTTAAATGTGTGTCTTGGTGAGAGATTCATTGGTTGATTGATGATCATCAAAGTAAATTGAATAGTGAGAAGCCCAGACAAGAAAACAACTTTCATAAGTGAACAAAGTTGTTGATGATTCTGGTTGTAGTCATGAAGAGTAAAAGTAAAAAAGTATAAAAGAAGATGAAGAATTGATGAAAAAACATGATCATTTCATGTTCTTGAAGTTGAATCAGGAGAAAAAGAAGAAGATGAAGAATCGTTGAGAGCAGAGTTTCCATTGTTTAACATCCTCTTTTTGGCAATACGATTCCTAACGATCCGTAAATGCTTGTCAATATAATCCTGATTGGAAGAGAGTGAGCTAACTTTAACTAAACATTTCTCTGCATCTTCAAGTTTATCCTTTTCAACGTAAATAACACAAAGATTATGTTGTCCTTGAATATTTTTAGGATCAAGTGAGACAATTTTGTGGTAACATTTTTCCGCTTCGTCAATGTTTTTAACAGTATTAACATAAATATCAGCTAAAATGAAAAGACCTTTGATATGATCAGGATAATAATTGAGTAATTGTTTCAAATAAGGCAAGGCCTCCATAGGTCGATTACTGTCCGATAAAAGGAGGGCCAAATTAAAAAGTGCACTTCGGAAATCGGGACGGCTTTCGATTGCTCGTTTGAACCAAGATTCGGCAGTCAAATATTTTTTATCGTCCATTGATAACATCCCAAGATTGAAATAAACTCGTTCGTTGGCTTTGTTCAATTCAATTAACTGAATAAGACGCTTAATAGCCAAAGGTCGAGCTCGTTCATCGCCCGATTCTTGTATTAAGATCGCTGAATTCAATAGTGATTGCTAATGGTAGAGAGAGGGAAAAAAGAATTGATTTTAGTAAAAGAAAATTTTCCGATTGTGATCATTAGATTTCAACAATTTTTACCTCATGATATGGATCCAATTTAAGAGCTTGATCAAAATAGGATAAAGCATGAGTGGGTTTCCTTTGCTCCAACAAAACGACACCAAGCTAGTGATAAACAAGAGTTTAAAGGGATTAGATTTGTATTGATTTGTATTTGAATATTTAATTATGATTTGACTTACATTATAATAGATATCGGGATTAGTTGGATCTATTTGTAAAGCTTTTTCATAAACTTCTTGGGCTTCTCGAGTTCTGTTTAGTTTTATCAGAATATCACCACGATTGATATAAGCTTGAGTGTAATCAGATCTCATGGAAATTGCTTGACGATAAAGTGAATCAGCTTCTTCCAATCTTGAATTATTTCGAGATATTAGATTAGCAAGATTAACGAAAACGCTTAAATGAGAAGGTGCAATCCTCGCTTGATATTGTTGACCCGTTTTCGGACGAGGGAGTAAACTTTTAGCAGTTAGAAGATATTGTTCAGCTAAATCGTACATTTCCAAATGGTTGTAAGTTCGTCCAACATTCATTTGTGAACCTAAATCATCGGGTTGGATTGTCGATGCTTTTAAAAAGTACTCAAGGGCTTCACGATATTTTCCTTGACTTTCAAACACATGACCAACATTATTGTAAAGCTTTGCGTTGGTCTGACAAACTTTCAGACCAGCGGTGAAAATAGTATATTCTGATGTCCAATCGTAGTTTCTAAGCCAAGTTCGAGCTGAGAATGATAATAGCAGGATAACCAGGGAACCATGGAGTAAACTTTTGGACCAATATAATTGTTTGGATAAATTTCCAAGATTAGGATTAGTGTTTCGCAATTTACAGGATAAAAGATACCATCCATAAGAGATTAACATGATAAATCCCATACTAGGTAAATATAAAATTCTTTCAGCAATCACAAAACCAACAGGGAAAAATAAATTTGATGCAGGAAGAAATGGAAATACAATTAGACTGAGCGACATAATTAAAATATTTCTATCTCTTTCTCTATGATTGAGCAAACATTTGATTGAAAGTTTGGCTAAGATTATGTAGAAGGCAATTGTGGTAAGATTACGAATATCGGTAATAGATTCAATTAGATTAATTGTTCCCATGGTCCAATCACAAAGTAAATTCATTGGATATAAAAGTAACCAACTGTTAACAACCAGCAAATAGTTAAAGGTTAATTGCCGAGTAGGTGAAGATGCTACTGCAGCAGGATTATCATATCTAAAGAAAATTAGGAAAAACAATTTAGGAAAAGATTTAGAAATTAGTGTAATAACTTTTTCGATTCCTTTCTAGAGTGAAAACATACTTTGTGAAAATCGGTAATTGTGATCCCATAATATGAACTCGAATCAAAAGTAATATTACAATAGAAATAGCGATCAGGATTAATCGTAACAAGTGGCCTTTCATCCGGTTCGATTGGAGTGATTTAATAGATAAATAGTTTTTCAGATTATCCAAGTTAACCTAAGAAAAGAGAAAGAGAGAGAGAAACAAATTGTTAGAATTGAAATTAAAAGACAATTCGTTCCTGAATTTGCTTGAGAAAGTAGATTAACCTTGTGAAGAATCATAACTTCGTAAACAGCCATAACAGCGAGTACAGTGATACCTTGTTCCTTACAGAAAGTGGCAACACCAGCCAAAAGAAGAGACAATGTAACGGGAGTCCAGGCTGAAAAATAGAGATGGAGAAAGAGATGAATTAGTTGAGTTGGAATGAGAAAGATTTGAATGTGCAAGAACAAAAATTGGCTTGAAAAGCAAAAATATAAGGGCAGAAAAAAAAAGCAAAACAATTGGCCCAACATACAAGAATTTTTGTTGCTGATTGTACTTTTGATGTATAATAATAGAGCTGTTAAGAAGACAAGAGATGATAATGTTTCAGCTCTTCCAACGACTCCAGTAACTGCTTCAGTATGAATTGGATGAACAGCAAAGATGAGAGCTGAAACAAGACTTGCTGAATTAGGCATGAAGGTGAAACAAAGTCTACGGGAAAGATCATGAAAGAGAAGAAGAAAAAAAATTAAATGGAGAAAAGAAATACAATTAAAAAATTAGGAAGCAAATTGCAAATCAAGAAGCGATCATGTTTATCCAATTTCATACTTGTAGTAAAGTAAACAGACTGTTGAGTGGATTAAAATGTTAACTAGATGATAACCAAATGGATTGAGTTCATCAAAAAGGTAATTAAGGCGAAATGTAAGGACGGTCAGTGGTCGATATGATTTATGGCTGTGTTCCTATGGAAATAAGAAAATGAAAACAGAGAGATGATTAATTGAATTGGATAGAATTATTTTCCATTGTTTTAATTACCTTTCTGATTGATGTACCCCAAAAATCATTGGAGAAAAGGTTTATTATCGGAGTGCTTGGTTTAAGATCTTTGTTATCTCTAATTGCTGGGATGTCATCGAAAGCGAAACCACATGATAATGAATTGAAATAAATGGTAAATGATATGATAAAAATGATTAACATATATTTCAATGGAGGCCATTCAGATTTAATCAACGAAGGCTCATCGTTAGATGAACAATCTGAATATTTATCACTGATTCCAGAGGAATCTGAGAAAACTGGTGAAGGTGTTGTGTGTCGGCTCATATTGAAATCTTTAACTTGGTAACCATAATTAGTGAACTATTGGAATTGGCAAAGTTATTTTGATTCCAATCAAAATAATTTAACATTCAGATAAAGTGACAAACATTTTCAAATCACTCAAGTTTGTCCAATATCATAAGGCACAAGTGGTTGAGTTTTACTTTCTAATTTAACCGAATCACCAATTGATTACAGTGTTGATCAATTATAAAATAATTAAATCTAATTAAATTAAAGATGAGACGACGAAAAGTTTAACAATTAAAAGTTTAATTTGTCTTCAATTAGAAAACAAAACAAAAACAAATTTTGAAAGAAAACGACGACAACTCCATCTACCGGAAAACTTTTTCACTAAAGAAAACGCGATATTCAAATAAAGAGAAAATTAAATTAATCAGTAATTGAATAAAATAAATTGATTCTTACGATAATTCATAATCAAATTCTTAAAAGTTGATTGTAAGTGGGATTTAAATACTTGCCGAGAAAAAGATTAGAAAAGTTAATGAGAAGGTAAAGAAAGAAATTTAAAAATTCGGTAAAGTGAAATGTTCATCATGATGATGATATGGAAATACGGAAAAAAGTAGAAAGAGAAAAGAATATAATTCAGATTTTATTCCTGAATAGATTATAAGATGAACGAAATTGAAATCAGTTGATTGTTGATTTTGAAAGAAAATCAATTTTCAATTTTTATGGAAGAAAAAAAGATTTTGTTTCGTTAATCGACCACCAGATGGGGTTGGATGTTCGTTCGTTGCCGATTCTTGGATCTGATACTTTGAGAGATCCGATAAAACTTCGTGTTTGTTTACGTTTTTGTTGATTGAGTTGATTCATGTTTTGTTTGTTTGTAAATTAATCATGAGTAAAATGGAAATTATTTGCAATTCAAATAATTCTGATAGTTTTTTTATTAATGATGATAATCAAATCGGAAGTAACATCACCTATCAAGGAATATGTAACAAGTGGACCAATTATATCCACGGTTGGCAAGAGAGATTCATCTTACTGAAAGATGGAACCTTGACTTACTTTAAATCAGAAGATGAATCAGATTCTGGTTGCAGAGGAGCGATGAGTGTATTCAAATGCAATGTAACTGTAAGTATATTTCTCTCTCTCTCTCACTTTGTCTGGGTACTAATTAATATAATTGTTTGGTTTCTTTTTTCCTTCTCTCTCTCTCTCTCCCAATCTTTGCTTCGCCCTACCCCAATCTCTCCCTCTTTCTCTCTGTCACTGTTCCTATGATCTATCCACCTTATTATTATTTAGTTACATGAATTTGATGAGTGTCGATTTGATGTAAGTCTTGGTGATAGTGTTTGGTATCTACGAGCTGATTCTCCAGATGAAAGGAATCGATGGGTTGAAGCAATAGTTGCTCATCATCGAATCTTAGCAACTTTATCACATTGTATGGATTTAATGCAACAAAGGGAAGAGAATTGGAAGCGAAAGTGGGAAATTGAAGTGGAAAAGAGGAAAAAACTCGAAGAATTGGTCGCTACCTTACAAGGAACATCAAGTGAAGATCAAAAGATGATGATTCTTAACGATCCAGATTATGAAGAAGGTCCTCATTCAAAGATTAAAGAGGAAGAATTTTTTGATGCCGTTGATGCGATGTTAGATCGTAAAGATCAACAAGAAGAGGAAAAGAGACAATTAAAATTACGAGCAAAAGAAATTGGTGAACCTTCATCATGTTTACCTGAGATTTGTGATCATCCTTTATGGTTGGAGATAAATAAAACGACTCTTGACCAATTGAAACAAGCTCGATTAGAGGTCGGTGAAGATGATGGTGAGACAACCGGTGGTTGGGAATTATTTGCCGCCGAAGGTGATATGAGACTTTACAAGAGAGATCTTGTTGTCGATGGGCTTGTCTGTGATCCATTGAAAGCTGTCCACACAGTTCGAGGTATAACTGGACATGAAGTTTGTTATCATTTCTTTAGTCCTGATGTCCGATGGGATTGGGAAAACACTTTAGAATCAATGAAAGTCGTTGAAGAAATCAATCCAAATACTTTAGTGTTTCATCAAATTCATAAACGTGTTTGGCCTGCAGCCCAAAGAGATGCAGTTTTTTGGTCACATATTCGTAAACTTAACCCAAGTCAACTTTCATCATCATCATCATCACCTTCTTCCTCTTCATCATCAACATCATCTTCAGTTTCCTCATCACCATTTGTATCAAATTCATCTCCATCAACATTACCAATATACACCGATAAAAAAGATCCTGATGATATTTGGATCGTATGCAATAACTCAACGGACCGAAATGACATTCCAGTAAGTCAACTAATCCATCAATTAATAACTTCCCAATAACTAATTACTAATCACTAATCATCTTTAATTAACAGGTCGGTAGATGTGTTAGAATGAGAATGACAGTCAGTTTAACATGTGAAACTTTCATTGAACCTCCTAAAGAAGGCCAACCAATTACTCGAAATAATTTAATCTGCAAAATAATCTACTGTTCAACAAGTAAGTATTTCACACCAGAATCCAATCAATCATCAGAATCAAACAATTAATAAACTCTTCATCTTAATCAACAGTTAATCCCGGTGGTTGGGCTCCTGCATCGGTATTACGAGCTCTTTATAAACGAGAATATCCAAAGTTTTTGAAAAATTTCTCTCAATATGTGATCGATGCTCGAAAAGAAAAGCCAATCATGTTTTAATCAACACACACACACCAATAACAATTAATTAACCAGAAAAAAAAACAAACCATCAAAGGTTAATTGTGAAAATCAAAATTGCAACAGTAATTAAATCAAATCTGCTCAAATATAATCAAAAGAAAAGAAAAAGTTATAAGCAAGATAATATTTTGTAATAATAATAATTAACTCGTTAACAAGCAGAGCCTTCATATTTTACAATTAATTTAAATCACACAATTAACCTTGATTGATTGATTGATTTCAAAAGTTGATTCAGTGATTAGTCAACAACAGTGGTTAATATTTGTTTTCACACACATCAAATATTTCAAGAGATTATAAAATTGTGACTATTTTTAATGCTTATTAATTATGCCAATCAATTGATTGTTGATCCTAATTGTGTGCTTATAATAATGTTACTAATGATACAATTAATTAATTTAAACAAAGCGAATGCAAAAAAACAACAACAACAACCAACCTTCAATTGTTTTTGTATACTAATTATTATTATATTTTTCATTCAATGTAAATATTGAGTATATTTGAATGGGATAATCATTAGATGGATTGAAAAATAAACAATCAATCAAGGTTAATTAGTTAATTTCTGCTTTGCTTACTTATGAAAAAAAAATTAATATATGATAACAATTAACTGAAATAATGTAAATATTAATAAAATTGAAACATTTTTTGATTGTGTTTTTCCTGATTGCAACAATTAGCAACTGATTTGATTTGTTTTTTTTTTCATCTCTCAAAATGAACATTATTATGACGATGATTGAATTGAATTAACCTGATTCATTTGATGATCAACAATCAACATTTTATTATTACAATCAATTCAGCAGAAATGATGATGATCATGATGATTTATCTTGAGACTCATTCATCTGAACTTAATTGTAAGATAATTGGATAAAATGGTTTATTGTAATTGATTAGATTATCTTGAATTGTCTTTTAATCTGTTCAGTCAAAAGTAACAATCAGTAAATTTTTACCTGAACTAAATCAGATTATCTTTCTAGATGATTAAGAAAAAGTTTCAGCTCTACAACTAATCAGATTAATTTCAAGTTTAGTAAACAATCAGTTGATCTTAATCACTTTAGTCAATGTAATTAAAGTCTCAGACAAACCAATTTAATCAATTTGTTTAATTAACTCAAGGTGTAGACTGATTTTGATTGTTAATCATTAAATTTAGTTAACGATCAATAATTTGTTCATCATTTAACATTTTGGGATGATATTAATGGTTGAATTAGAAGATGATTTGACAATTGTAACAATTTAGTTGAGAAAAATTCATTTTAATTGTAAACCATTTTTAGTTTAAATTGTCATTCATTGTATTTCAACAATTAACTTAATCATGATTAAGATTCAGATCGAGATTCAGGTAAATTGTGTTGACCACTAAGTATCAGGAAGATGAGGTTGACCAATAATCGGAAGATAATTACAATTATCTTTTCATAGACTAGACCAATTTAAGATCAAATTGTTCACAATTAACATGGAAAATTTTGCTGATCAATAAACAATCTTGGAATCATTGTTAATGATGATTTTGTATCAATCGACTAATTAAATTTTCGTCTTTTTTTTGGAAGAAAAAACTTTCGAACTTTATTTTTTTCTAAAAATCTTCATTTATCGATCTTCTCAGATTATATTAACTCGTAGTATTTTATTGTGAATCAAATTGTAAACAATTAAATCGCTTCTGCTCCGATTACTTGTTTACATCTGAATGAACAATCTGAATTGCAAGTTTATCTTTTGATTCAGATTATTTGATTACCATTAACATGATAAAGAAGATGATTAAGTAAAAAGATCAGTTGAGTATAATCATATTGAAATCAAGTTGATTGTTATAATACAATTTACATTCAACAATCAATTATTTTGGATAAACTTATTGTCGAAAGGAAATCAATGATTAAATCACAATCTGATTAACTTTTGTCAGTAAATTAAGTTTTTTTTTACTAAATTAGATGACCATTGATTAGACTCAAAACAAACTGATTTAGTGACATTTATCATTTGGTTATATTGACAATCATGTTTATTATTAATTAATAATCATACAAATGAATAATTTGATCATCATTAAACGATCGATTTTGATAATATTCAGGTAAATGGTAAAAGGTAATCAGCTGATTGTTGTGAATCATTTTTGGAAATCATCAACACGTTATTCTGGTATTTATTCACCGTTAGGATAATGACGAGGCTCGGGGAAGTGCTTTGAGTATTTTCTAAGATAAAAACGAAAAGGATTAATAGAAAAAGCGAAAAATCAACGAAAAAGAAAAAAAAACTTACGAATTCACATAAAAAATCGCTGAGCATTCATACACTGAACAAATCTGAACCATGACAGACTCAAGGAATTCAATAAATGCAAGTGTCACAGTAACTAATCCACCAGTCACTCCAATAATCCGGCTGAGATTGAACAATGGCCTCAAGGAAATGACTTTTTGAAGATTTGATTGGATATCATCAGTTAGTCCATTCGATCCAGCCTCTTGAGTATTAGGTGGTTTTCACTGAAAACAATGGGAAAATTAGCACAAGAAAAATTAATTAATAATAGAAAATTAAAATCGAGACATTGTCAAGTTCATTGTAAGTGAGTGAAAATGAGTTCGAAAAGTTCGAGCTTATATTCAAATTAATAAACAGGTTATCATTTTAAATGAGTTTATCTCAAGTTTTGATTAGTCTATGAATGAAATGGTGAATAAGTTTAAGAAATGGACAAAGATCGTAAGTTAATTGTATTAATAATTAACGTGCGATCATCTAACCTTTCAGAGTATCGTTAACCTTTATCGACTCTTGATTTTATTCCTGATTCATTCTCATTCTGATCATTCATTTTCACCTGAAATAATAATCATCATCTCATAATCCATCATCTTGATTACCACCATCATCATCAACATCAACAACAACCCGAATTAATTTGCCATGGCAAACTGTACATACGAATTTGGATTGATTTCTTCAACGACTTTCATTGATTCTAAAGTGTTTTCCCAATCCCATCGGACATCAGGACTAAAGAAATGATAACAAACTTCATGTCCAGTTATACCTCGAACTGTGTGGACAGCTTTCAATGGATCACAGACAAGCCCATCGACAACAAGATCTCTCTTGTAAAGTCTCATATCACCTTCGGCGGCAAATAATTCCCAACCACCGGTTGTCTCACCATCATCTTCACCGACCTCTAATCGAGCTTGTTTCAATTGGTCAAGAGTCGTTTTATTTATCTCCAACCATAAAGGATGATCACAAATCTCAGGTAAACATGATGAAGGTTCACCAATTTCTTTTGCTCGTAATTTTAATTGTCTCTTTTCCTTTTCTTGTTGATCTTTACGATCTAAAATCGTCAAAAAGCTCTTCCTCTTCAAGCAAAATTTTCTTTTGTAATAATAAAATTTTTCTTTTTCTCTGTTCTCTTTTAATCATGGTAGATTCATTCCTTTACAATCTATTTAAAAATAGAATATAAAATAAATGATTTTAGAAATTATTTCACTTTCACTGATTATAATGAGCATTTCATTTGGATGCTTTGTTTTTTTTCCTCTAGTTTTCTCTCTGTAATTTCCCAGTTGAATTCGTTGGTAGATCGCATGGTGATGGTTCATTCAATTGCTCAGCTACGAGAAAAACTATTTCTATTGATGCATTTGCTTGAAGTTTATTCAGTGGGATAAACAATAATGTCCTCAATTTTTTACGGATATTTGACCGAATTGTAATTTTATCAATGACGAAAAATTTAATAAAACAAAATATTCCACTTATGAAAAAGTTTATCTCAAGTTATCAGATAAAACTTCGTGTTTGTTTACGTTTCTGTTGATTGGGTTGATTCATGTTTTCAAATGTAATGTAACTCTAAGTATCTCTCTCTCTCTCTCTCTCTCTCTCTCTCTCTGATAAGTGTCGATTTGTTGTAAGTCTTGGTGATAGTGTTTGTTATCTATGAGCTGATTAACCTGGTGAAAGGAATCGATGGGTTGAATCAATAGTTGCTCTTCACCGAATCGTAGCAACTCAATCACATTGTATTGTTGACCATTAACAAAACGAACTATTTACTCCTCGATAACATTTATCGTTTCTCTCGCAGATCCAAACAGTTAATCATATCAATCGATTCGCCAACCGAAATAGTGACCTTCTTAAAACGACAAGGCAACAACGATACTCGGCCAGTGGCCGTTATTTTTATGGTTCCATTCGTTGGTAGGTTACAATTAACATCGAATTGTATTAAAAAAAAACTTTAATTTTCTATTATATTTGTGACAATCAAAAGTGATTACATTATTAGTCAAATATATTAATAATTATGATGATATTTAGGTAAATGGTAAAAGGTATTAATCTGATTGTTGTAAATCTTTCATTTTTTATTTTCCCTTTGATTGTAACCATTAACAACGGTAAATATCACAATCAATTGAGATGATCAGGTTACAATAAAGTAAATGAGTTTAGATGATTACATTAACTCGTTTATAAAAAGTAATTAAATTTGAATAATTGATTGTGAAAAATTAGTAATTTAATTGTTTGAAAAGTGGAAAAAGTAACAATAAATTTTATGAGTGAATAAAAAATCAAACCAAACAAAAAAGGTTAACTGTTAACAGATAAATCAACAACAATTAAGGTAAATGATTGAATCAATAGGAATTAACTTTTCATTACTCAAATTAAAAGTGAATAAGTTGTCCAGTTACTGTTTAATTTGGTTAAATGTTTGTGTTTATTTGATTGTCTTTAATTGTTTACTTGTTAATGGACAATCAACTGATGAAACAACAACATCATCACCATCACAATTAACTAATGATGATAAGTTTTCACCTATTTGGTCAAATCTAATTGATGTTACCTGTGAAAATGGATTACAAACTTGGAACTCATGTTTAAATGAAACTTATGATTATTGGTCAACAATTAAGGATGAGGATAAACGTGATTGTTGTGCTTCTTGGTTTCTATTTAATTGTTGGTCTTATCAAGTGAAAATTGTTTGCTCTGATATTGATCCGACACAATTGGAACAATCAAGAATCAAATTAACTAATCAAAGTCAGTGTACCAAATATTATGATCTAAGTGTTTGCTTAGCAAAACCATTGCCCCTCTGGGCAAATATATTTATCCTTTCATTTGGTGCAACTTTAATCACCGGAGCGGCAATTTTTGTCTATTGGAGATGGATCAGATTAATTTAATTCATTCCATTAGGTCAACAATTAACAATAGACACACGATTAAGGTGAGACAATCAAACTAAAACTCATTAACTTTACTCAAAAGTAAATCTATTTAATTGTTCAATCAAATATCTTATTGATCTTATTCCTCTGTGGTAGATTAATTTTTATGATCAACTATTTATTTGTTAATTGTTAGACAATTAGTTTTACTTAATTAAACTACAAGGTTAATGTAAATACAAATGTACATATGAACATTTTCATTTTCATCTAAAACCAAACTAATTGTCAACAAAATAAACTATTCAACAATTAACCATTTCGCGTTTTTTTTTGTGGGGTTTTCCTTTTATTATCATTATCACAGTTAATTACTCTACAATATAGTTTGATCAACTTTAATTCTGTGTAATTAATTAATTACTAAAGACATGAGAAAAATAAATAATATTCCTCTCTTCAAGTGTTCATATTGAAAAGGATTTCTAATTGTAATCATATCTTCACTTTTATTATATTACTTATCCTCTTCCCAAAGGTAATTCAATAATCAGCAAACAATTATAATCATCATCATCGAAATATCATTTTGCTGGAAAAATTTTTTCTCTTCCATTAATCGTTAATTGTGATAAAGTGATTAAACTAATCAATTTAATCACAACGAATGGAAAACTTTTCCAGCGATAAAAGAGATGGCGCCACTTGAAATTCGAAAAAAATTGAAAACAAAAAAAAGTGAAACAATTAGTTGAATGTTTGTTTATTCAATGTAAACAACTAATTGATTGATTTGTTATCTTTATTTTTTTTTTACTCTCTTTTATTAATTGTAGAAAATTACTCTCACTCTTATTATCTCTCTCTCTCTCTCGTTTTCTTTCTGTGTGTGTGTTTTACTCTGTAGTGCAATAATTAGCTTGACAATTAAATTTCTTCCCACCAAATAATAGTTGTAACTTTGGATCTTCCCAAAGAGTGAAAATTGCAAACAAAACCTTAAAACTGTGAACGATATGTTACTTGTTGATTGTTACTTTTTTCAATATGAGTAAAGACGAAACTAAACCTTTGACCCATTCATGTACCTGTTCAGGGAACCACGAATGTCAATATTCAAGCGACAAATTAACCTCCAACACGTTGACTTTCATGCAATTGATCAAGGCAAACATAGGAACAGGTATTCTTGCCATGCCAAGTGCCTTTGCCAATTCTGGTCTAATTGTCGGTACAGTCGCTCTACCAATCATTGGCCTAATAGCGATTCATTGTATGCACCTTTTGGTTAATTCTCATAATAAGATATGCTCTATATTAGGCTACAGGGCCTTGGATTATCAAGTAAGTAACAAGTGGTTTCCTTTTCCTTTCCTTTTATTTCTCTTTAAAATTCTTTTCTCTTTAGTCACCATTTTTCTTTTCTCCTTTCTACTGTTAACCTTTTTTCTTTCGCAATCCTTTCAAATTCATTTGTTTTTCTCTCCTCAACTTGACTTCCTTTTATAATCTCTCCTCGGTGAAATTGTTTCTTCTTCTTTTAGTCTCAATGGGCTTCTTAGATTCTACAAACGAAATGATATATTTTTGGAAATTTTCCTTGGAAGAAACCATTTTCTACTCTATTTGCACTGATGATCTTCAAGGTCTTTTCACTTTTTTATGAGTTCCTCCTGTTGCTTTCAATCATTTTCTCTTTCTCTCTCTCTCTCTTCTCTTGCAAATCAAAAATCGCTTCCTATCTCTCATGTTATTTCCTCCCCTGTGAAATACTAGGAAATTTCATCTTGATATTAGTTAATTGTTGCGACAGCTGATCTAATCTCCTGCTGATCTTGATGAGCACATAAATAATGTTATTGATCAACCTTTGAACACACACACCACAATCTAATTACCCATAGTAGCTTATTTATCAACAACCTGTCACTCTAACTGACATAATAACAGTAATAATATGATTTCCTTTTTTTTTTAATTGTTTCGATTTTATCTTATTACAATTGAATTTTTCTAATCACTTCCGTTATTTTTTGTTCTTCTCATTGTTTTCCCTACAGGTAGCCGAGAAAACTTTATTATTGGGACCCCAGTGTTTACGAAGTAAAGCAATTTGGGCGAAACGAGCGGTCATCCTTTTTTTAATTATAACCCAATTGGGATTTTGTTGTGTCTACTCTTTATTTGTTGCAACCAATTTATCAATTGTGATTAAATCTCTTCTTGGTTACAATATGCCAGTTGAACTTTTATTGGTTATCGAGCTTCCCGCCATGATATTATTTAACCTTATCCGTAATTGGAAACATTTAGCAATAGCATCAACCATGGCAAACATTTTACAAACCTCTGGACTTATTTTTGTTTTTTACGATCTTTGTCAAAATTTACTTGAACCCTCGACTCGACCTTTCCTACCTCCTGACCTTAAAAAGCTTCCTCTCTATTTTGGTATAATAGTTTACGCCTTTGAGGGTATTGGTGTTGTTTTACCTTTACGGAAAGAGATGAGACATCCATCCGCTTTAAGTGGCCTTTGTGGGGTTCTTAATACTGGTATGGGTTTGGTTCTTTGTCTCTATACAGGTATCGGATTTTTTGGTTACCTTAAATATGGACCTGGAGTCCAGGGCAGTATAACAATGAGCTGGCCTCCAGAAACAAAGTACGCCATTGTCCAGTTAATGTTCTCAGTGGCCATTTTCCTTTCCTATGCAGTACAATTTTACGTCCCAATTAACATAATGTGGCCTTACTTTGCGACCAAATTTGAACTTGTACCCGGTGAAACGAAAACAATCATTTTGGATACCGTATTTCGAACTTTGTTAATCTCTTTGACCTTTGCAATCGCTCGACTTGTACCCGAACTGGATACCGTCATCTCACTTGTCGGTGCTCTTTCCGGAAGTAGTTTGGCCTTAATTTTCCACCATTAATTGACACTCTCGTTAATTGGGATAACCCTGTTACTTTTACCAAAACCCTTTTAACGATCAAAAATGTGGCCATTTCTGTTTTCGGTATCATCGGTTTTATCACTGGTACTTATGTAAGCGCCCAACAAATAATCAAAAAATTCTAATCAAGACCAATTTGTATTCTCATAACTTGGTGGTTAATTCAATCATCAGTAAACTTTGGACTCTCTTCCATCCTGAACAATCAAAATTGATCATCAAACAAACTTTTCCATCTTTATCTGTATCAAATTTTTCCTCTATTATTATTCTCACTTGTTAATTGTTACCATTACGATCACTCAGACAACCTTTATTATCATCCTCATCATCATTATAATGGTTTTGTACTTATTTTTTTCCACAAAAAAAATTATTGTCAATAATTTTTCAAGAAAAAAACTGTCACTTTGTACTTTAATGTATCATTAAAAAAGACCAAGTGAAAAGAGAGTTGATCAAATTTGATGATTTCGTTAGAAAAATATTTCATCATTAATCAATCGATCATCAAATGAAAGGTTGATTGATTTTTCGATGATGATTAGATTGATAAGATGATGAGAGAAGTAAAAAAAAATCCGTCCAACTGAATCAACGGGATTACAAGAAATGATTAAATCTGCTCCGAAATAAGATCAATCCAATGAAATATCAACAACAATTTATTGATTTAATTCAATATTTGATACATGAGTTTGTTATTATCTCAAGTATGAATAGTTGAAGTAGATTGATATAAGAGTTAAATTTGATTGTCAAGATTAACGATTTCATAATAAGACAAGTAGAATCATTTTGATTGAAGACAATCTAATAATCATGTAAAGAATCATAATCATCTAATTGCTATCAAATTAGTGATTCCATTTCAAAATATAATCAAGGTTATCTTTTCAATTTCTTTACACTGTTACATAAATTCAACTGAATCCATGAGAATGAGAAATGCAAAAGTTAACTTGAAGATGAAGATGATGATGAGGATGGAGATGAGGATGGAGATATGGATAGATGATGAGGGTGAACACATGAAAATATCATTCGAATTGTAAAAAATTCTAGAAACCATGATAACTGAATAGTTCGTTGTCTGGAACGTGACATTAAAACGATAATAAAATAATATGTCAACTCAATTTTTTAGAAGGAGGAAAAAAAATTAAACTCATCAATAGATTTCTAGTTAATTCTTACAACTGATTAACCTTTATATTCATATTTTCATTGATCAATCAATCCTTATAATTCAATGGATTCAATTCAATTACTATTCAGTTATTATCTAATTTGTGATCTATAAATTGTTGAATAATTTAAAACTTTAATAGTCTATTCAGAAATGAATCAGTGTATGTATAAAATTGTTAATTGATTATAGTAAAGTCTCAATGAATAATTCATTGGGATTCAATTGATTTAATTCAATTGCGATTTCAATTGAGCCGGAAAAATAAATTCAATATCAACCTATTAAAACTAACACATTAATCAATTCAATCAACCATTAGTTAGATTATAAATTGTATTCACTTTTATTCAATCATTTGATTCATCATGATGAAACTTTCTGATTATTATTGGTGAAAATATGATCACCTTGAGCTAATCTCTTGATGATTTCATGGTAAACAATTAAATTGGTCAACTTGAAATGGATTCAGTGAGTTTGAAAAAAATAGGTTTACCATAATGGACACTGGTCATTTTAATCAATCTCATGATTCTGAGTGGGAATCTGTATCAAGAGTGGGTTGATAAAGGAACTCAATTTTATCATGAAATTTCATCTTGAAATGAATAAAAAATCCTATGCTCAGATTTTCACAGAATCAATTAATTATTTAAGTTTCATTGTCTTCGTCATTGTTGATTTAGTTCAATCAACAAATAAACTTCATTCAATATAACCTTTAACTTCATTAAATTTAATTGTTACTTTCCCCTTTTCTTATTTATCCCTATGATTGAATTCAATTTGCCTGAGGCAATTAAATCTAATCACTTTAACTAAATGTGTACACATCTTGTATTTTTTTTATATCAACATTAATATGTCACATTATTTGATCTGATTAACTATTAAACTATTGTTACAATTTAATACTAATTATGTCTCTAGGTAATCAAATCAGTAAATCCAATTTCAAGCGGATTAAAGTAAAACTTTTCAATTGTTACAATCAAAGTTGAATCAATGTGAAAATCTAGTTAATCTTGTTTGATCTGAAACCAATTAACCTGAGTAATAATCAACTAAATTGATCGTTTCAAAGTAACTAAAGTTTAATTTCTGTTTAATCAACAAAACTAATTACAAATCAGATTAGATCTTTTTTTGGATCTGGAGACAATCAAAGATATTAAGAAAAATCAATGGAATCTCCAGGTAATTTAATCAACAATAGTAAAGATAATTCGAGGTCAACCAACTAAACTCATTTTCGAGAAAAGATTAGAACTTTTTTTCGAAATCAAAGACAACCATTAGAAAAGTTCTATTCTGATTATCAGAATAATCCTCTTAATAATTAGAAATCTGATTAAGTGTTGACTCAATAATAACAATCATGTCGATAATCAAGATTGACTAAAAAAACGAGATCACTCAAATTCAGTTGATTAACAAACATTACCTTTAGAATTAATGAAAATATTAATACATTTATCGTAAGCTCGATGATAATAAAACGTGATACGATTCGGTAACAATCAGAGAAAAATAAATTCGAAAATATGAGAATCAGGATAATTTTTCAATCTCAACTTGGATTCGAAAAATGAATTCGACCAAAAAAATGAACTTTATTTGGCCAAGATGAAAATCGAGACGGAAAAATGTTCAATGAATGAAAAAGAACAACGATTATATTATCACAATAGAAAATTCTGATTCCAAACAATATAAAGAATTCTTAACATGAGATTCAATTGGAATTCATTGAAAAATTCAATGTTAATCTCTAAATACATAAATGGTGAGTTTCCAAAAGAATATCAAAAGACGAATTTCATTTCGATATCATGAATAATCATCATGAGATTTTTCTCTCTCTCTCTCTCTCTCTCTCTACATATTCATGAAGGTGAATCAATTATCAACTGTGATGATAATATTGAAATTCATTTCTGTTGACAGGAAAATGGTTCATTTGTTTCATTATTCATCATGATTTTTGTGATTCACATGAAGATGATTATTGAATTTCCTGATTCAATGAGATATATATTTCATGATGGTATCATCTTCATTATTATTTACTTATTTCCTCTTCCCCTCTTCCTCTCCATGCTGAATATTCATGTAAAACTAATCTTCAAGTCAACTAGAAACCTACAAATCTAATCCCCAATGATTATTAGTATTATTATTTTCATCCCAATAAGATTATTGATATTTTTATCAATTACTATTATTCAGTTATTATTATTGCTCAGTTTTACAGATTCAATTATTCATGATTATCCTGAAATTTATCTTCATTATCTTATATTATATTCAACCGTAAGTAAATTGTTAAGGATAAATAATTATGAGTTGAAGATTGCAAAACTTATCTGTTGATGATATTTATCAACCATCATCAGAATCATCATCATGATTATCATGCTGATAAACATTTTCATCTCTCAGTTAATTTCTCATTAAAACTTTCTCCTCAATTCTAATATAAATTACATGAGAATATAATTTCATCTTATTATTAACATATCTCTTTATGATTAGTTAATTAACAAGTTATTATTGTATCAGTTTAATTCACCATGAAAATGATTACCATTCTCATTGCGATATTATGAAATTATCACATTGATCTTTGTTAACAATCATCATCATCAGCATGGAATCGCAATTTATTTATTAACTAATCAATTAAAGATAATTGGAATCATTTCTTTCATATTATTCAATATTTCAGTGAATTAATAGATAATTGTTTCCTCATCAATATCATGATGAAATGTTGCTAAAAATAGAAAATAAATTGTTCAATTCTCGAATATGATAATCAATTCTAGTTGGAACTTTTTTCAATCCTTTTTACATAAAAATATTTCATCATCTTCTATCAAAGTAAACAATATGTATGAGTAAATATTATTTTTTTTTCTCGTCTCATGATACTAATGTCAAGTGTTTCCATGTAATTTTCAGGATAAATTGTTGATCAAGTCTAATGAACGGATAAGATAATCAATGATTCTGTTGATCAATTTGGATTAACCTGGAAAGTTGACCGTAGATAAATAGTGGAAAGTTGAGTAAACATGTAATTAGGGATTTTCACCTTGAAAAAGGTAATAAATTTCACGTTGAAATAAAGTCTTAGAGAGAGAGAGAGAGAGAGATGAGGATCAAGATGAAAAGGAAGATAAAATTGACTTGTTTCCCTACCTACGAATCCTCAGAACTTACCTATACTTTGATGAAGATGAGGATGAGAATAATTTACTCACGCGTACTGTCAACTTGTATCGTCATTCTAACATTACCAATGCTCACTGAATGGACTCTGGGAGTAAGTTGAGTGGATGGTGAACATAAATTGGAACAACGGCTAATCGAAAGTTTGAATTTTCCAACGAAATTAGAACGAGACAGAAAAAAAAAGAATTGTTTCCAAACAAGAAAACAAGTCGAATTTACTTTTGTTTCTAATGTCATTCAGTTTTCTTTCATAGTAATGTGTAAATTGAAAAGTTAAGTAACAAGTAAGAAAAAAGTTCTCAACAACAATTCTGATTCAGAAGAAAAGGAAAATCTGAAAAAGAATCTAATATAAAATCTTCAATTCTATCAACATTTTGTTGTCATCAACTGAGAGAACTGTCATTCATTCAATATATCCAACACAAAGAAGATACCCTCAAGTGGATTTTATCATCTTCATCTCTCTGTTAATATAAATTTTAATCATATTATCATCATTCAGTGAGAGAGAGAGAGGAGAAATTTTCACGTTTCCATGTTGACATTTGTTGCGAAAATTTCACTTTAGTATAAACGATCAGCAACTTGACATGTCATCTTCATCCTCATCATCATCATCATCATCGTCTTATAATCAACTTGAATAAGAAAATTATATTAATAACTTTTTCCAAGTGAATCAATATTATTATTAAGAAAACAAACGAAAATCTCCATCAATTTGGATCCAATGAGTTTGCAATTCATTATTGTTCACCTCTAATCGTTACAGTTACAGTTTAATTTTTTCATTAATTTTCTAAATACAATGGATAATTTTTTCCCGTCAACGTCCATATTATTCAATCTATCGATTCCAATTGAACTTGAGAATTTAGTTCGTCGCCATTTTACTCATTCCAATTCAATGTATTCCACATCAACAGAGTTTATATTTATTTTGATGTACGCACTCATCGGCTGCCTGGGAATCGGTGTTAATCTCATCGTTATATTGGTAATTTTATCAACAAAAAGACTTCGAAACTCAGAACATGATCTAATACTCAATCTGTGTGCTGCTGATATCCTTTTATGCTTCTGGTGTATTCCATTTACTTTGTATCAAATTTTAAGACGCGACTGGTCACTTGGTCAGTTAATGTGTTCGGCTGTGCCTTTCCTTCAGGCTACAATTGTTTTCGTCATCGCTCAGACGATAACTGTTATAGCATTTGACCGGTTCAGTGTAATAACAGGTCAACATTCATTGAAACGTAAACACTGGTCAACCCTTTCAGCTCGAATGTCCTCCGGCGGTGGTTCATTAACTTCAACCACTTATTGTTGCCCATTAACAAAACGAATCCCTCTCATATGGATTTCATCATTTCTCCTTGGGTCACCGTTAATCTATTTCTATAAAGAGGTCAACTTTAATTATAACGGTATTCCATTGTACAACCGGTGTATCGAAGATTGGTCGGGTCAAGTTCGAATTATTTATTCAACCATTACATTTACCGTTTCGCTTGTTGTTCCAATCATTTGCTTAGTCGCTTCACAGATTAAAATTGTCACCTTTCTAAAGCGTCAGGGTAACAATGATAGTCGACCAGTGGCCGTTATCTCGAGAGGAACAGTTTCATCCATTGGTGGGCTACAATCGACATCGAATGTCGCTACACCGGTAACAGTATCTCCAAAGAAAATCGCAACGGAAAGCAAAACAGAAAAGAACCAAAGTGATCTCATTAACAATAATAATATCGACAGAGAAAATGCTCAATTAGAAATGGACAAAGGTTCAAAATCGATGATTTTTTTAACAGCCGAAACTGAGAGCTGCATGAATAATGTTGATGAGAATTCAAATTTAACAAATATCAGCTCAAAAAATGATTCCAACAATTTAGATTCCAATGTTAACACCAAGATTAACAATAATAAAATCTTAAGTTCGGTATTGAAAAAAGCACGACCTTTAGCCCCATTAGCCCGTTATTCCGTTACCTTGCGACCGGTTCGCTTTAAACTGTCCAAAGGTAATCGCAATAGACGAGCGATCATCTCACTTTACAGAGTGTCTGTCACCTTTATCCTCTCCTGGTTACCCTTGAATATGGTTAACCTTTACCTTGACCTTATTGACCCTCCCTCAATATCGGGGGCAAAGGTTTACCTGATCCTCGGTGTTTGTCACCTAATCGCCATCAGCTCATCCGTTACCAATGCCATTTTTTATGGCCTCATGAACACCAACATTAAACGTGAATTATCAAAGATCCGGGGAAAATTGAAACGGAAAACTAATCATTCATCACAATTATCACCAACTAATCACAATCATCAGAGAAAATCAATCAAATGATTGATCAATGATTCTGCCGACAATCAACACAACAACAACAAAAAAACCAAATGACAATAATCAATTGCCTTCCCATGTGATCATTAAATCATCTTTATCAGAACAAAAATCCTCAACAAAGTCTAATTAATAAATTTGATTACAATCATAACGAAATTGAGTTTGACTTTTTTTTTCCTGTTCACATTAATATTTTTCTGATTAATATCGGTTGATTAATCTAAGATGAAATAAATGAAAATGAGAGGCAGCAAATTCAATGAATATTTTGTTTAATCGTCATTGAGTTAATCCTTAATTGTCCATAAATAACAAATTTCTTGGTTTTAACCAAACACATTTTGAGAGGCGTAGGTAATGTAAACAAATCCATCTTCATCTTTGAATTGATCGTGAATCTCAGCTAACGTTTTCGTCATGTTGATCATAGTCCTATTAGCGGTCATCAGGTAAACCGCTTGAGTGTTGGAAAGGTCCATTCGGGAGCGAATAATCATCATTAATTTACTGGCACAAAGATCTTCGGGCACCAAGAATTTGGTCTTGTCGATAAGGGGAAGGTAACGTTCTTTGGCGTATCTTTCAACCACCACCATCACTTTGTTCGGGAATTTGGCCTTTAAGGTGGCATATTCAGCCTTTCGGACACTTAGACTCTTCCTTTCTTTGAATCTTTTATATGATGGCGGACACGGAAATGGTTGCTTCTTGTCTCGTTGATTGTTGATGATTCGCGACAATTTGAGGGGCATTTTTAACTGAAGAACAGGTGTCACTTTGTTTAATAAGCACAGAAGAGAGAAGAAATAACAATAAAAGAATAGAATAAAATTTAAAAAAGAATAAAACAACTTGATGGAATCAAATGGATTCGGATGATCACTTAATCCAAATTGAACAAACTCATCGTTTCACTTTATGTTTTTGTCTCCAATTAAACTAATCACTTTCTTCGGTCATTGGTCATTTCAACAGTTTAATCTTCATCTTAATGTTAGTTTAAACCAATTAGATTAAGAGGAAAATCTGTTAACCAGAATAAACCAAATTAATCTGGTTGTTAATCAACAAGTTGTTGTTTACTTTTCTATTTTTTTTTCTTGAGAAAACAAAGGACCAACACTTAAAAACAAATCGAAAGACAATTAATCAATTAGTCTGCAGATTAATTTTCACAATTTTTTCACTTGAATTAATTTTCACTTGTTGGTAATAACAATTAACTCTTTTTTAATCGATTCATAGATAATCTAATCGTTTAGATTTGAATCTTTGGAATCGAGGGTGGAAAATAGTAATGAATTTAATCAATCAATTAGGTGAATTTTTGACACACGGATTAAAAGGCGATTTCCTGGTAAGATTGAAGTTTAATTAATCTAATTGTTGGTGATAAGTTAATTGTTATTTTTTGTTTTTGATTTTTAAAAAAAAGTTCAGCTAAGTGGTGACATCTATTGAGAGAAAATATCGAACGGTGATTTTAAAGTTTACTTTTTCTATGATTAGATGTCACTACTTTCACTTGTTGATTAAAAAGTTTAGAGGAAAACAAAAGTAACAATTAAACTTTTTTTTCAATTGATCTTATTCATGACAATCAAGTAAGAAAAGTTTAACAGCTGATATTATGTTGTTATTAATTGAGAATATTATTATGCTCGTTTCTCGAATTTAATGAATAAGGATTTAAATATTCTAAATATACAAATTATATCATCAGATTTTCAGAGAAAAGGGTCACATTGACAATTGGAATTCTTCGTCAACCTCGAACAGGACGACAATTTAGGTCCAATCGAAATTAGCCTAAGAAAAGTTAATTGGAATGAAAAAGAAAAAAAATCAAACAAATTGTTAATTATGATACAAGAAGTTATCAGACTGTTCCCTTGATTAATTATTGTATCATTTAGTATTCGCTTAGTTGACCAAAGCAACTGACCATCAAACGACCTTGAACTTTCAAATCAACAGAATGACCGATCAACCTTTATGATAAAGTGATTGTCTAATTATCTCAATACAACCAAAAAGTGATTTGTAAAATTTGATAAACTGCTCGCGAGAATCAAGAGTTGACAAATTATTGGTTAATTGAGTTGAACAGTTGAAAAAATCTAATTAAATTAATAGAATAATAAATTGCCAATAAGTAACCAGGAAATTGTATGAAAACAAATAATTACGTAAATATAATTGAAAAAAATACAACAACTAACAATCTAACTAGCCAACAATTCACTTTAATTATTAATAATAATAAACATAATAATAATTTCCTTCTAATTGTGATTAATAGTATTTTTCTACTAGGAAGTGATGACAAATTCACCAACAACAATTAATCAAAAAATCCACTTCAATCTCTGCAAGGTGATTGCAGAGAATCAAGGGAAGAAAAAAAAACCGATTTCAATTAAATTAACGAAATTAATTGAATGTCATGTAATTAGATTTTATTGCAAATTCAAAATTCACCACCGATTACATATAAATAAACATGTAATAATAATGATTTAACCGACAATCAGATTAAATAACAATCAATAACTTTGCACATGAATCAATGAATTTTGAACAACAATCATTAACAATTAACTTAAATCATCAAATGATAAAAGCAACAGTTAAAATGGTTTTGTTGAATGAATTTATTTTCATAATAACAACAAGAGAGAGAGAGAGAGAGAGAGAGAGAGAGACTTGAGAATTCAATGTTAGAGAAATTGTTTTTTTATTCTATTCTTTTCATCTCATCCTCATCCTTTCTCTCTCACATAAAATATGACTTATGCTTCACCGGCTTACAAAATTTATCATCCTCATCCCAAGAATCAATCGATATCATCCTCATCTTCATCATCTGCATCATCTTTCAATCTTACTCTTTCTTTATCATTTCCTCTGTCTATTTCATTTCGATACCAATTACTTTTCTCTCTCACTCTCTTTCTCTCTTTCGTTTTTTTCTTCTTCATCATCTTTTCATCCTCATCTTCATCACCACACATGCTCTTCAAATCTTCGAGCTCGATATTACCTGTAACCCTGTTTATCTTCCCAAATCCCTTACTCATTGATCTCATTCAATTCATTTTAACCTTAACACTGATTTCATTTACTTCTGTATTTAGTTACTGTTTTCATCCTCATCCTCATCATCATCATCATCTTACTCATCTTTTTCTCATCATCATCTTTCTCATCACATTAATTTCATTTCATCACATATAATTCATTGTACTTGTCATCTCACCATCTCAATAGCTCATTTATCATCAACTCTCACAGTTATATCTCAGTAATCATCTTATTAATGAGTTTCAATTATTTCTAAATTTAATTTATTCTTTTCAGGGTAAAATTTTCATCATTATGATCATCACAACTTTTTATCATTTCTCTTTTATGTTTACTTTCATTTTCTCATTATAAACTATTTTAATGAATGAATTAATTCAGTTGATGAAATGAAGATGATGAGAAGAAAAAAACTTCAACATTCACTTTTTAATCATTTTCAATTTAATTGATGCAAAAATGTTTACATTCAATTTAATTGTGAAACTGCAAATCTATGAATCAATTTGCAAATCGCTTGTCAACAAGTGTTGACACTTGATAGTAATCAATTTAATCTTGATTGATTTGCAACATTGAAAACAAAACTAAACACCAAACAATCAAACCTTTAGCCTGATAAATGTTGAATCAATCAAGTTAAAACACTGATTCTGTTACTTAATCATCACCATGATCCTTAATCAAAATCAGCTGATCACCAGGTAAACATTTCCATCAACCACAAGGTAAGTAAATTAATTGTTTCCTTTTAAACCCAAGAGATTAGCTTTTACTTTAAACTAATAGTTCTTGAACCAAATCAACTCATGAAAGTTAATTGTTATCATTTAGATTAGAATAGAGTTGAAATTGAATTGGAAATTAATTCCAACCACTTCCTGTTCATCCTCTCAAATTAACTGTGAAAACTTTAGGGCATTTAAGGTAAAATTTACATAGATATTGAAAAAATAAATTCATTTCCATGAAAATTCAGATGAAACATGATAAAAAGTGATGATAATGTTAACAGGGAGTTAGAAGTTATCATCAACATTTATATTAAATCCCTTTGAAAGAAAAAGCTGAGAAATTCAAAATTGTGACCACTTAAAGTTAATTGTAAAAATCTCAATTGATTTCAACTTGATTGTAAAGAAATTAAATCGCCATTTTAAATCATTTGAAACTGAATCTTCATTGATGATTAAATCCTCTTGAAAATCAATGTCCTATTGTTAATGATACAGAAAAAGAGTCGATGATGAGTAAGATTAGTGTCTTTGTATTGAAAATGATGATGAAAGTTGTTCAAGTGATGATGATGTTATTGGAGATTAAAAAAAAGATGAGGATGAGAAAGTATAATATGAACATGTGAATATTAGAGTTAAGTAATACTAAAGGATGGAGAGGAAGAGGAGGAGGCGAGGATGATGATGAGGAGAAGATGAAAATGTTACATGATAAAATAAAGGACAAAATCCTTGAATGATTGGAAATGATTTACTCAAATTGAATTTATTCAGGCAAACAGTTTAGTTCACCCTGAAGGGATACTAAGTTTGTCATCATTTCTTCCCCCTACAACCACCTTTCATCATCTTCTTCATCATTTTCATCTTCATCTTCATTTCTCTCACTCTCTTCACCTTTCCTCAAGATAAAAATCTAACTTTCTGCTGAGGTTTCTAATATTTTCACCTTTGTTTCCAATCTTCATCTTCATCTTCATCATCATTATCATTAACATCTCTCTCTTTGTCATCTTCCTCTTTTGTCCACTCTCTCTCTCTCTCTCTCTCTCTCTCTCTCTCTCTCTCTCTCTCTCTCTCTCTCTCTCTCCGTCATCTATTTTTTATCATCCTCATCCTTTGTCTTCCCATCCTTACACATTCAAGAATAACTCACCTTGAGGGTTTTCATGTGTAATCATTATGATAACAATTGATTAGTTAATCATTATAATTGTGATGCTCCCTGCAGGTAAACTTGTTAGTTGTCAATTGTGTGTCCTGTTAATATGCTTCACTTGATTGTTGATCATCAAAATCCTCCAATTAATCAAGTAATTATTATGATTAAAACGTAATTTACTTTTCCACTTTCTTAATTTTTAACAAGCTTACCAAATCCTCACACAATTAACATCAACAAATTAACCAATTACATTTATAATTAATAATAATTTTAGTTAATTTATTTCTCTCAATCTAATCATCAAAATGCAGATTAATTAACAAAAACAATTTTCACTAATTAATTAGTGCAAATATAATATATTAATTGATATTCAACTAATTATCTGCTCAAAGATAAATTCATATTAATCAATTGATTTACCAACTAAGACAGAAAATAATTAAATCTAATCTGTTAACAATTAGTGTTATCATCTTACAGGTAGCAAATTTAATTAGTACAAAATAAGCAATTAATTGCTAATCAAAAGCAAATTAAAAGATTCATTTTAATTGTAACCATTTTGTTAGCTCATTTTAAATCATCAATTTAGATTATATTTCAACAATTAACTATTAACAATATCAACTACTCATCATGATCATCATTTTGTATCATTATTGAACTTTAATTGTGATTGTGGTCATGATTAAAGACTAATGATTCAATAGGATGAATGAGATTCAGGTAAATTGTGATGACCACTAAGTATTAGGAAGATGATGATGATGACCAATAATAGGAAGATAAATGATAAATATAATGATCTTTTCATAAACTAGACCAATTTAAGATTAAATTGTAACGGTTAATCTTAATCATCGATACTTATTATCAAAGACACTTTCTGATAATCATTATAATCGCAAGCGAATTGGTTAAATCAGTTTATTATTCCTAATCAATGATTGTAATGATTACGAATCAATCAATGAGACTATTATCAGTTAATGATGACAACTGTTAACAATTAAATCACCAGAAAATGTCCAATTTATTGCAGGTTTAATCATTGAACAATCATCATGATCATGATCATAATCATAATCAATCATTAAATTAAATTGTGTAACAGATTATTTTCATTTGTTTGATTGAGTCGAAAATAAAATTTTCAATTCAAATGTTTCATGATAATTTTTCATGAGAAGAGTTGAAAAAACTATTCCAATTCAAATTTCATATCAATTTGATTGTTGTATCAGATTGAGTTGACAATTGAGTTGATTGTTTGCCACTGAATCAAGTTTGTAATCATCATCATGTTAACAATGAGATTACAATGTTAATAATGTTTTTTTTATATTTTGTCAACAGACAAACATGATAATAATACAATACAAATACGATATTGAAATCTAACCCTTGAAATCTTAAAGAAAATCAGAGAAAAATTCAGTAAACATGAAAATAATAGAAAATCATGTAACTTATCATCTTCATCCTCTTTTCTCTCTCATTCATCTGATTCCAAATATTTGCTCAGAATTTTCTCCTCATTTTTTTTCATGAATATTTTTCATCTTCATCATATTCACCTTTCATCTTTCATCTCCATCATCATGCTTATTATGATCTTTATCTTCTGCTCCATTCAATTCTCTCTCTCTCTCTCTCTATCCTGAGGATGATGATGAACATGATTTCGTATTAGAAAGTTCATCTTTCCATTGTCATTCTTAATCTTCTTCCTTCCCATGATTTTATTCCTGATTCATTCTCATTCTGATCATTCATCTTCACCTGAAATAATCATCATCATCTCATAATCCATCAACTTGATTATCATCATCATCAACAACAATCAGAATTAATTTGTTATGACAAACACCAAAGCCTTGGGCTACTGACTTCATCTGATGCTTAGATTAAAACTTTTTCAGTGAAATTTAAGTTAAACTCTAGCACCACATGAATTCAGTTCATCCGAGAGACTTTCAATTTCAACAATCAATCAATAATTAAATATTGATTATCAACAATTTCACCACTAATAGTGAACGAAAAAAAAAAATATCAAGGAAAAAGAAAACTCAATCAATAGCAATTTAAATCCTCAATTGAATCATGATTGAAAATGATTACACATTAAATTTTAAGGTAAGTTTAATTCAATTTTGATATAAGGTTAAAGCAAATTTATTAATAACATTATATTGCTTTCTTATTATCATTGCAGTTTTACACTGAAAATTGTAATTTGATTACGAAAATTGTTCAATTTAAAGTTTAATCATCGCTAAATATTAAGTGACAATTAAAGTTGATTGTTGTCAGCTGATAATTGACTTTAAATTGGGAATGATTTGATTGTTTATTTTGGTGAGATTCAGTCAATAATGAAAGAAATGCATTAATACAAGCATGAGAAATGATTACTTGATTTAAATTAGAATTGAATTAATTCAAAATCATTTAGTATAAGAAGATGTTTACAAAAAATCTTGGATATGTGTTAGTGGTTTGATTGAGATAATTTAGTTTCCAGTGTGAGCGTTAATTGTGTTGCTTGATCCTTAATTGTTGCTTGGAATATGTATAAATTCAAAGGGTCACTTGTTGTTTTTGTCATGTATGAAGAGACGGATTAGTAATTATTATGTTACAATTAGGTAGTAATTAGTGGTAATACTGTTGCTACTAATGGATGGAATATGTTTTCTTTTGAGATTTCAATTCTGTTCATGCAGCTCAATTGTTAACATTTTAATGATACAATTAAAGTTGTTTGTTTCCTCTTTCAAGTATTTGTTTTGATTGTCAATTAATTATCTGCACTTGTTGCCAATGTTGTTGTTGTTGATACTCTTAACTAATGAGATTATTTTTTTTTGAGTTTCTGTTGCTTTGTCTGTTTTGATTACTTGTTGTTTTGGCCAATTGTTGTTCATTCACTGAACACCCAATTAATTGGAACCCATTGAGGTTCAGTGCTTAATGCATTGAGAGCTTCTTTCAAATCCTCGAAAGTTTTGTCAAAATTGTTATTAACCAAAATCATATCGAAGTATTTTTCATAGGTTCGACTGAGTCGAGCACTTTCCTCTATTGTTGCTTGAAGTTCATCGTCATCACAAAATGAGGCTAAACTTTGTACGGTTCGAGCTCGACGAGATTGATGACGACCCAAGGCACGATCAAGCTGAAAGTAAGATTAAAATATTGATCAATATTAGAGAATAATTATCATACTAATTACTGTGAAAACAATAGAAAAAGAGAAAAATCAATACTTACAGTCATTGTTCGGTTGGCAGATGAATGACTTCGACCCCATTCATTCATATATCGAAGTTGATCTATGGGTGGAGCGGCGATGAAAACAACGAATGGCATAAATTCAGCAGTTTTCAGCACTTTCAGGCACTAATCATGATTAATAAGAACAGAAAATGGAAAAGTTAAAAAGTTGATAAGAGAAAAAATCAATAATAGTTTGGGAAACGATCAACAAATGTAATTGTTAACATGCAACTTGTTGATTCAACTGGTCGTAAATTTGATTGATCACATTAATATTGGACAATAAACGTAATCAAATTAAACTTTTCTTGTTGTTGATCATCTTGTTGTAAGGGTGTTGACAGAATTTCCTACCTGAGGATTACAATCAAGGATACACATTTTACCCGATCTGATGATGGCTCGAATGGAATCTAATTTGGTACCATATAAGTGACCATCGAACTGACCCCATTCAAGGTATTTATGTTCACCAATATCGGCTTCCATTATTTCTCGCTTGACAAAATGATAAACTTTACCATCTTGTTCATTTTCTCGGATCGGACGTGAAGTGTGGGGCAAGGGAGATGAAAATCGATCAGAATCATAAGAGGTCAATCTTTGTTTGAGTGTTCGTCGACCGACACCTTGAGCACCAACAAGAACCAATGTTTTCCTTTCGAAAGGAGGAATTCGACAAACTTCTTCGTACAATATGAGCTCTGCTTTGTCGAAGTAGTTGTTCGCCTCAATTTGGTACATTTCTTTTCTCTTCTTTTTGGTGACTCGAGTTCCACAGATCGTTGTCTTTGTAGCATAGTCGAATTCTGGTCGAACAAAGGCTTTTCTCTTCTCTTCCAGTTCCTGAAAACAAAAAAAAGAGAAAAGAATTAAAAACAAGATATTTACAGAATAATGAAAAACAATTGATACAATCAATGGAAATGATAATTGATTTTCATTCATCAGGAATTAAAACAGAAACTAATTAATTGCAGCAGAATTAGAATGTAAATTGTATTCGTAATTAACATCAGCAACTAATAAAAGTAATAGTTTATGTTACAGTTAGAACTGTTTGCCTCATCTTTTTCTTGATTAACCTGACAACTTTTTGCTATTCCTTGAGTGTTAAATATGCAAATGATGATGACCGGAGGATAACAAGTTTCCATGAGACAGAGACAGAGAGAGGGAGAGAGAGAGAGAAAGAGAAAGAGAAAGAGAAAGAGAAAGAGAGGAAAATGAAGTAAAAAAGAAAAGAAAATGATTGAAGGAAAAAACTTTACAATTAAAATACTCTCAGTTGATGAAAGGAAGAAGATCAAAGGAGAGAGAGAGAGAGAGAAGAAAAAAATAATGATGATGAGTGAAAAAGAAGACGATCTCCCATGGAAACAGTAATAACATTGGAAAGATGAAAAAAGTAATGAGAGAGAAAAGTTTCCATCTTTTCATAAACCAATCGTATCGATTTTAGTTAAATATCTTATTCGTTTTCTTTTTCACTCAAAAATAATAAACTATTAGAGGAAATTTGAGTAGATCAATAAACGTGGATGAAGATGATATATGAAGAAGATGATGATGATTATATCAGGAACAAAGTTGTTATTAGGAAAGACAAGGTAAATAGAGAAAAAACTTTCAACAGCTTCTCTTTCATTTTCTCTATTACACTTTTCTTTCATTCTCTCTCTCTCTCTCCTACTTCATGTTCAATACACAATTCAGGTTGTCAGGTAATCTCATTAAGGTTGAAAGTCATTTAATATGAATGAAGGAAAAGGAAAGAAAAAAAAATAAAAGACTTTGGTTGATTTGGAGATTAAACTAATTTGAAGGCAATAAAATAACTTATGGATGATGAAGATTAAAGGGGATAAGGTTTAAAACTCCTGAGAGAGATGGAGAGAGATTAATAGAGAGAGGAAAATGGAATAAAACTTTTACCTGTGAAGGTATTAATCCGATGGGAGCGTCTTCTATGTCGGTCCTTCTGGCTTGCCACCAATTTGGATCTTCTTGATTCAGTATTTCCAGAACATCTCCTTGAATGAAACTGATTCCAATCTCTTTACAGGGTAACAAGGTGTCTTCGGATGGATCATAATTGAAAAGAGCTCTCATGTAACATGGAGCAGAGATAACGGTCTCATGGAAAGAGGGTGTGACCTTAAGACGGACACTTCCATTTGATAGACGAAGTTCTTCCATAAGTTCATGGGGCGAATTAACTTTTCTACCATTAATTTGCTTGATAACATCTCCAACTCGAAGGATTCCTTGACGATCAACTAAACCACCTCGCAGAATACGAGCAATAACAACCCGATTATCGTCAATTTGAACAGTCATACCAAGAGGTTCATCGTTTTTACGGATAATACCAACATTACGAATGATTTCATCATCTTCGGGCGTCGTCCCATCACCTGAACGGGCTCCTCGGGTAATCACAAGATCACTGTCAAAATCCATATCGGAAACATCCTCTTCCTTGGCCATCATATCATTTAACACTTCAGGTTCATCATAGTTTTTGTTTGCCACCAAATCATGAGCCTCCATAACCGCAATAAAATGAGGATTGGCCAGTAATTGATACAATTCTCCCGCTATCTTACTCACACTCCGACTGGTGGTTGGATTTTTGCTTAATTTGTAGCAAATATCAATAACTTCACTTAACAGTGAGCCAGAGTTACCATGAAATACAGGTTTATAATCATTGGGAGAAGATGATTCCAGTTTTTCTGTAACTTTGACAAGTGAATCAATAACAGGTGATTGTAAGACACCTTTAAGAAAAAGAAGATCAGGTTCACTCGCCCCTGGTAGTCTAGTGTCCAAAACCTCAAGGCTTTTCTTCAACGCTTCATAAGCAGCCATAGGTAAAGAAAAAAGGTAAATAAAAGTGAGAGAGAGACAGAGAGAGAGAGAGAGAGAGAGAGAGAGAGAGAGAGAGAGAGAGAGAGAGAGAGAATTCAATTCAATGTAACGTTAATATTGTTCCAGTAGGTGAACTTGTGGATTGGGTGTTGACAGAAAGATGAACAATTCTAGTTTAACATTATAATCTAAGAAAAAAACGATTGAATTAAATAATAAACAAAAAAAAGAAAAAGAATAAAAAAAACAAAACAATGACAGAGAAAAAGCAACAGATGATTCCGAACACAGAGTCGCCATCTCTTGAAAGATTTTCGAGTCTTTAAGTCAATTTTTTAAAGAATTTCAATTTATTAATTTATCATTTTGTCGAAGAATAATTATTGGTAAAGAATTTGTTATTTATCGATTCGATTTATCGATATTGATGGAATTTTAAATATTAATTATTCCTCCTGAAGAAGCGGAAATAAAAAAAACAATATAAATGATGATTATTTGAACAATATACCATATGAGGAGAACCATTTCTCTAATTATTGAATTAGAAGTCATTAATTTATCACGCAAAAAATTGTCCATCAGTTTTTGTATCGCTAATCCAGTTCCAATTGCTCCGTAGATCTTGAATCTCGAATTTTCGGCAATTTTTATCAGTCCATTACCCGAGTCATCGTTGAGTTTATCGTTGGATTCAATCTCTTGGACTGAGATTGACTCTTTACCTTTAAAAATGACAGAAAAATTAGCAAAAGAAACATTTATTAATATTAGAAAAACTAAAAATCGAAACATTTTGCCAAATGAATGAAAATAGGAAATAATCAACCTTATATTTGATTTCTTTAAAAGTTTAATTTATTAATGAGTTTATCTCTCAAATAGAGTTTAATTAGATTAATCTCTTAGCTGAGAGAGGCTTATTTCCCTTTTTTCGCCTTAATTGTTAAAGTTTAACCTCTAAATTATTAACATAGGAAAATTGTTCATTCAAGGTTTACACTTTTACCAATAAACTTTTTTGTTTCTCCTTCTTTTGGCTTTAATTGTTTCAACAGTAATTCAAATTGATTAGGTTTTTGTAGTAAAGTTTAACCTCTAAATTAGTGGGAAATTTAATCTCCAATGATTAGGGTTAATTTTACCAAAAAAAAATTAACAGTAACAATCAACTAATTGTCTCAGGAATGATGATCATCATGATCATAATCAATCATTAAATTAAATTTTCATTTGTTTGATTGAGTCGAAAATAAAATTTTCAATTCAAATGTTTCATGATAATTTTTCATGAGAAGAGTTGAAAAAATTATTCCGATTCAAATTTCATATCAATTTGATTGTTGTATCAGATTGAGTTGACAATTGAGTTGATTGTTTGCCACTGAATCAAGTTTGTAATCATCATCATGTTAACAATGAGATTACAATGTTAATAATGTTTTTTTTTTATATTTTGTCAACAAACAAACATGATAATAATACAATACAAATACGATATTGAAATCTAACCCTTGAAATCTTAAAGAAAATCAGAGAAAAATTCAGTAAACATGAAAATAATAGAAAATCATGTAACTTATCATCTTCATCCTCTTTTCTCTCTCATTCATCTGATTCCAAATATTTGCTCAGAATTTTCTCCTCATTTTTTTTCATGAATATTTTTCATCTTCATCATATTCACCTTTCATCTTTCATCTTATTTCATTTAACTAAACTATTTAAGAGATAAACTTTTTAAGAAATCGAATATAAGTTTGACGATTTCAAATTTTCTGTCATTTACTTTTTACAATTTTACAATGTTTCAAGTTTTAGTATTTCTAATGTTGATAAATTTTTCTTGTTCTAATTTTTCTATCATTTTCTCAGGTTCTAATCAACATAAAAGTGCAGATCTTGGTGTTGATAGCGTGATTCAGTCTTCCACCATAAATATGAATTCTGAGTCCAAAATAACGAGGAAAGTTATCTCTTCAGGTCCATTGGCAAATTCCATGAGCATAATTTCCGTTGTGATGGGAACTGTAATCGCCTTATTTTGGCAAATTCTAGGTTATCTTTTGACCTTTTTGTAAACCAATTTTGCTCAAAATATGAGTGTTATCCAATTTTATACCAATAATTATTTTTCTCAAACTGATGATAATAAATTGAAATTCTTTTCTAATTCTGCTGCAATTAATTAGTTTCTGTTTTAATTCCTGATTAATGAAAAATCAATTATCATTTCTATTGATTGTAACAATTGTTTTTTATTATTCTGTAAATATTATGTTTTTAATTCTTTTCTCTTTTTTTGCTTTCAGGAACTGGAAGAGAAGAGAAAAGCCTTTGTTCGACCAGAATTCGACTATGCTACAAAGACAACGATCTGTGGAACTCGAGTCACCAAAAAGAAGAGAAAAGAAATGTACCAAATTGAGGCGAACAACTACTTCGACAAAGCAGAGCTCATATTGTACGAAGAAGTTTGTCGAATTCCTCCTTTCGAAAGGAAAACATTGGTTCTTGTTGGTGCTCAAGGTGTCGGTCGACGAACACTCAAACAAAGATTGACCTCTTATGATTCTGATCGATTTTCATCTCCCTTGCCCCACACTTCACGTCCGATCCGAGAAAATGAACAAGATGGTAAAGTTTATCATTTTGTCAAGCGAGAAATAATGGAAGCCGATATTGGTGAACATAAATACCTTGAATGGGGTCAGTTCGATGGTCACTTATATGGTACCAAATTAGATTCCATTCGAGCCATCATCAGATCGGGTAAAATGTGTATCCTTGATTGTAATCCTCAGGTAGGAAATTCTGTCAACACCCTTACAACAAGATGATCAACAACAAGAAAAGTTTAATTTGATTACGTTTATTGTCCAATATTAATGTGATCAATCAAATTTACGACCAGTTGAATCAACAAGTTGCGTGTTAACAATTACATTTGTTGATCGTTTCCCAAACTATTATTGATTTTTTCTCCTATTAAAATTTTCACGGTTCCTGTTGGTGTTCAAGGTGATGGTCGATGGACATTTAATTATCAAGAAATCATCTATGAATGAATAAAAGATGAAATCGAGAATAAGAAGAGAAAATTTTTTTATTAGTGATCTTTAACACGAATCAAATATCTAAAATGTGATTAACTTTTTGTACATTTAGATGTTAAAGTCAACTGGACTTACTAATCACGATGATAATGAAGTCAAGAAAAACTTCTTAAACCAGTTTAAATTGTTTTGATTCTGTTGATACTTAGCTAACTTGTTCACGAGAATCAAAAAGGTAATAGTATTAGAGAGTAAGAAAAGAAAGAGAGATGAAAAAATTTTCTCTTCTCTTTCTTATTACCTGTTTCTTTCATCATCATCATCCTCATCTCTTTCTCAGGCCAACCTTTAACAGCGTCAGCAAGTTTTTAAGGTAATAAAACAATTGAAAACTTGTTGGTTCCAACCTGTTACCTTGGTCAGAATACTGAAAGTGCCAAGTCAATAACGATAACCAATTAGTTAATTTATAAATTGTATTCATCTAATTATCTTTGAGTTAATTCCAGTGTAATAATCAACATGAACAATTAATTCCTTTTATTGTTGTGGTCAAACAAAAAAAAATCGTCAAAGGTAAACATCATCTTGTTATTGTTATTGTTTGGTGATGATGTTGATCTTGATGCTATTTTGATAACAATTTAGGCCAACTGGTTAATCTTAATCTAGTGAATAAGATTGGAAATCAATCAGTTTAAAAGTTATAATTAGTTTTATTTATTTCCAATGATGTTCCAAATGGGATTTAATGTGATTCTGTCCATTAAAGTGGTCATTTTGTTTTGTTTTCTTGTGGACCAAACTCAAGCCAATCAACCGCCCACTTTTATCAAAAACCTTGACCTTTCAGTGGTCAATGAGAACAGTCCGATTGGATTTGTTATTGGTACTTTACAAGCCGTTGATCCAGAAAACTCATCTCTATCTTATGGATTAGAGGGAACTAATCTTTTCACTGTTAATCCAATTTCTGGGGCTGTGTCCGTTTCCTCATTGATTGACCGGGAATCGTTGGGTGGATCGGTCAAGTTTAACGTTTTCGTTGAGGATATTGTCGGTGGTGGTTCTTCAAATGCCAATAATCGAGTTCGAGTTCCGATCACAATTTTTATCATCGATGAAAATGATAATCAACCAAAGTTTGATATTGACCCTTCACTTGGACCAATAAGTTCACCAACTGGTCAATTTAATGTGATAACTGTTAATATTAGTGAAGATTCACCACCGGGAACAATTTTAATCGACAAGATAATCGCTCGAGATATTGACCTGGTTGGTTCAATTCTAAGAGTTTCCTGTAAATCTTGCTCACCCCATTTCACGGTCAATTTATTAACCGAAGCATCAACCAATTTAATCAGTTTCTCAATTAGTTTAGTCAAGTCAATCTCTTACCAGCCCAATATGGAGCCAATTGAATTACTATTGACCATCTCTGATGGTTCACATAGTTCAATGTTGGCCGTTAAAGTGATCGTTACCAATGTCCAAAATAAACCTCCCGTTTTTATCGGTTCAAACACGGCAGTTGTATCGGAAGATTTACCTGTTGGGTCACTTGTTATGACCCTTAGAGCGGTTGATGGCGATTCTCTGTCCATTGAGGCTTACCGGTCAGGTATAGATACGCTTGCAACAAGTAATGGTCAAGCAAATGACCTAAGAGGACGTCCAGTTGTCTATGAGCTGTTAACAAATCCCTCTGAGTGTTTTAAATTAGATTTGAAGACTGGTCAGTTGCGAGTAGCTCGTAAACTGGACAAGGAAGCATTTCCTTCAACCAATGGTGTCATCAGCGTCAAGGTAAAGGCCATTGAAGTGGACTCACTGGATTCACCTTATGGTAATCGTGATGATCCTCTGGCAACATCAATCGCTTCGGTGACCATAACTTTACAAGATGTTAACGATGAATCGCCTCGGTTTAATCGTCACGAATATCAAGTGACCATTCCCGAAGGTGTTCCCAATGGGACACCTTTGGCTTCGTTGGACATGATGGTCGAAGATCGTGACACTGGATCCAATTCTGTTTTCAATATTGCTCTGGACGATGCTTCTGGTATCTTTTCCGTTGAACCTCCACTGGCCACTGGATCATCTTCGGTATCAATTAAAGTGGCCAAAGGTCCACTTGATTATGAGAATCCAAATCAACGGAAATTTATCCTTCAAGTAATCGCAACTGAAGCTTTTACCAAAGAGCGATTCTCTTCAACCTCTACGGTCACTGTTATGATCGAGGATGTAAACGATAATCAACCAACCTTTGAAGAGGAAATGTACACAGGTAGTGTTCTTGAGGACGCTTTAGCTGGGACAATAATTCGAACCATCAAGGCCACTGATCGTGATTCCCCTAGAATTACATCTTTAACTTATTCCTTGTTTGGAAATGGTGCTCATCTTTTCTCAGTCCACCCAACTACCGGTGTTATAACTGTCGCTGAATGTGAGACACCAGGTAGAGGAAATTGTATCGACTATGAAACCCGTTCATCGTATTACCTTTCGTACCAGGCCAATGATGGCTTCGGACAAACTGCCGTCGTCCCGTTAACCATAAATGTAATGGATTCTAATGATAATCCACCCGTTTTCTTGAGAGATAAATACACCGCCATCATTGATGAAGGTTCAACCAAATTTGAGCCTCCTCTTAGAGTGAAAGCTCGTGACCCCGATGTGACCTCCGTCATTACATATTCCCTTTTATCTGGAAATTCGGAGAAACTTTTCTCTATTGAATCCCGTCTTGGTGAGATTAAAGTTAATCAAGAGATTAGATCAAAAGAGGAAAAGATTATCCTTAAAGTTCAAGCAAGTGACGGAGGTAAAGGTCTGGCCACTGCCGATGTTGAAATTATCGTGAGAGATGCCAACGATAATACACCGATCTTTGAGAAAGAATCTTATACAGCTTCAATCTCCGAATCAGCTGAACCGGGAACAATTGTCGATCGTATAACGGCCACTGATTCAGATTCAGGAATTAACTCAGAAATTTATTATTCCATTGAGAAAGGTTCATTCGATGCTTTCACCATCGACCAAAATACCGGTGCCGTTTCGGTCTCAAACTCTTCAACCTTGGATTATGATCGTAAATCAACTTATACGATTGATATTATCGCTGTTGATCGAGGTGTGCCCGCTCGAACAGGTACAACCATGTTAACCGTTAACCTGATCAATGACAATGATAAGTCACCCTACTTTTACCCGACAACTCAACGATGTCAGGTAAATGAGGCCACATCTCCCGGTACTCGAATTCATCGTCTCAATGCAACCGATCCAGATGCCGAATCACCAGCATCCTTAATATATCACATAGAATCAGTTCAAGGGGTTGATAAAAATGGCATCAGAATACGACCTCATGATAAGGCCATGTACGAGGTGGAAAAGTTTTTCACCATCGACACCGAAGGTTGGATTGTTGTTGGATCAAAGCTTAATCGTGATTCAGCTGCAGTGGTCAACCTAAATGTTTCCGTTACCGACATCTCTTCATCAACACCAACATCTCAGGTTGGTTTTGGTAACATAATCGTCACCCTGATTGATCATAATGATTCACCACCAACCTTTTCATTACCTTGGTCTCCTAATCGACCTGAAATGACCTTTTCAATCGTTGAAGAGCTTCCAATTGGTACAGTAGTCGCTAGTCTGTTGGCCACTGATCTGGAATCAAAGATATCCCGTTACACAATTAATCCAGAAAGTGATTACTTTGAGATAAATGGTGAGTCCGGAGTGTTGACCATTAAAAAGTCAATTGACTTTGAGCGACTTCCACTGACCAGTGAAGGAGATCTTGATGAAGGTCAACTAAGGCACGATCAAAATGACCCATCGCTCCCAATACGATTCAATGTTTATGCTTACGACTCAGGGATACCAATATTATCTGCAACGGCTAAAGTGACCGTTAACGTTATTAATATTAACGACAATGAGCCCCAATTTGAGGTTCCATTTTACAATACAACGATTCCAGAGGACAGTCCACCAGGATCGGTTGTGGTGAAGGTCAAAGCGACAGATCATGATCGAGGTAAATTTGGTAAAATTGCTTATTCAATTATAAGTCAATCGGGTTCGTCAGTGGCTTCGGTTGATCAAGCGTCAAGTTTAACGGACAATTTCATCATCGATTCTGAGACGGGAGTCATTAAAGTCGCTCCTGGTGCCCTTTTGGATCGAGAGAAAGGACTTCGAGAGATAACATTACAAGTCGCTGCGACTGATAACCTAGCCGACGAAACGACAAATTCATCGACCTCACCAATCAATCGATTCCTTTCAATTCCTGTTTACATTAAAATCGTCGATGTTAATGATAATTCACCAGCATTTAAAAATCGTGATTACGAAGGTTCAACTTTTGGACATTTTGATGGCTCTTCAACATTAACTCGAATTCCAGTTCTTCAAGTTTTCGCTGAAGATCCCGACGAAGGAGTTAACGGTATGGTGGCCTATCGAATCGTCTCTGGTAATACTCGAAACATCTTTGAGATTGACCGATCAACAGGTATGATCTATGCCGTCCGGTCACCTCTTGAAGTTAATGGCAATGTTAAAGAGTATAAATTGAAAATCGAGGCTCGAGATCAATCAGGAAGTGGACCATTTTTTGACGAAACTTTCGTTAAGATCAAAGTTATCGAGATGAATCGACATAAACCTCGATTTATTATACCTTCAAGTCCAACTATAAGTTTCCTCGAGAATCAAAAACCAGGGACCAAAGTGATTCGAGTTGAAGCTTATGATGAAGACAATGGACACAACGGAGTTGTCAGATATTCGTTCAAAAAAGATGCATCGACAAATGTCCAAGAAACGGATGAGTTCCAGATCGATCCTGATTCTGGTCTTATCACGTCAAAAGTACCTTTCGACCGGGAGGAAAAAGATTCCTATGAACTGGTTCTATCTGTTGAAGATTACATGGGAGAACCACAATCATTTGAATCTCTTCAAAAATTGACCGTTCTGATTAAAGACATGGACGATAATCGACCTGAATTCCAACGTCATTCCAACACCGATGAAACTTATTTGTTCACAATCGCTGAGAATCAACCTCGAGGCAGTTTGATCGGTAAACTTTCAGCAATCGATCGCGATGTGATCGATAAAAAAGTCTATTATTATTTAATTGGTTCCAATGGATCACCTGGTGAATTTCATATCGATCGAACCAGCGGCCAATTGTTTTCCAATGTTTCGTTTGATCGTGAATCTCAACAAGACTATTACCTCGTAATCAAAGCTACATCGGCAGCAGATTCAGCACCCCTGACCTCCGATATAAATGAGACCAACGAAGGTGTTAAATCCACACTGACGGCTGATAAACGCAAGGAAAATGAAAAGATGACAATTAAATCCCGTTATTATGATCCTGATGATTTATCATTGGCATTGGTTCATGTAATGATTAGTGATCTTAACGATAATAAGCCAATATTTAGTAAGCCCATTTATCGAGCAGGGATCAACCACCGAGCCGAAATCGGTCGAGCTTTGTCCGTCTCAGTGAAGGCCAATGATCCCGATCAAGGTGCAAACTCATCACTTGTTTATACGATTTCATCAATCGACTTGTACAGGAAAGGTTACGATTCCCCTGATACTCCAGTTCGTCCAATTCCCTCTCCGTTCACGATAGATCCTGATTCTGGTAAAATTATCACCGCTCATCTTATGGCTCAATATCCGATTGGATCTCGATTCATCCTCCACCTTGAGGCTAGAGAAAAGGCTTCACCTCATCGAACGGCAACCGCAAAGGTTTATCTTTGGGTCTATGATGAGACCAAACTGATCAAAGTGACCATAAGAATGAAACCTGAAGCAATTAACGCTCGAAAAGACGAGATTGAAGAGCTACTTTGCAATGCTACCGATTCCCGGACCATTATCAACGACATTAGGTATCATTTTAGCTCGAAGATCGGTCGACCTGTGAAAAAATGGTCCGATGTTTACACTTTGGTGGTTGACGATCGAACCTACACCAACCTTAGTCCAGCTCGAATAATTGCCAAACTAGATTCTAGAGCCGATCTACTTTCAAGTGAGAATCAAATTCAAATTGAAGAAATCACATTAGCCGGTGTATCGGCAGCTCCATTAGTAACTTCGTCCTTCTTGGGTTTCGACATTGAAGATATGGACGTAATCTCAATCGTCCTAATGGTTCTCGTCTTATTATTAATTATCGGCTTCCTTTCAATGGCCGTTGGCTGTTGCTGTCTCCGTACTTGGTATCACCATAAACTCATTGAATCGGCATCAAAAGCGGCCTACAAAGCTAAAGTTTCCGCTCTCAAAGGTTACAGTAATGTAACAAACACCAATAATCAAAATGGTGGACAACAGCAATCCCAACAGCAGCAACCAAACCAACAACAACAACAACAAAACCAAGGACAACAATCGTCCCCCGATTCCCCACCAAGTGTCCACGGTAGTAGCCTTTATTTGGCCTCGGGTTTCTCGGGTCAAGAAACAGCTAAATCACGATGGCGAAAACCAAAGAGCATCTCAAATGCTGATAAACGTCAACAAGTGCCCACCAGTAATTCATCACCAACAGGAGTAGCTTCGGCTCGAGCAAATTACGCCAAAGAAAATCCACTTTGGACTGAAAATGGGTCAAAATATTACGAAGAACAAGAATTATCTTATCGAGTTGCACCTTCAACTGGACCAGGGTCAGTCTATGACGGTTGTCTACCCACCGAACCTTCATCAATGTCAACAACCAATTTAATACCACCAGAAACAGAATCAAACCATTACGCTTCTTTGGGTGTTCGAACTCGAGTTCGACAACGAGTACCACAAATACCAATCTCCACTCTACCGATCAATAATCAACAGGATACATCTGATTCTCATGAATATCATGAATTATCACCAAGAATTTCACCCGATAACATGGACACAACTAATCTTGTCGAGGGCGAGGTTAATCCGTACGATAACTTTGGTCAACCACAGTTAATTGGTCATTTACTGTAAATACAATTGATCAATAGTAACACAAATTATGATAAAAAATATTTTCGTTTATCAACTTTGGTTAGAATCAATTTCTAACTAATAGATTCTATTATTTTAAATTGCTCATGTAAAGCTTTTATTTTTTAATTGGTTAATTTATTGTTTTCTATCCTTCTGCTTAAAGTAATGATTAAAGTAACTTTTCGAACTTGAAAATACTTCCGCTCATCTTATGGCTTATTGTCTGATTGGATCACGAATTATCTTTCACATTGAGGCTAGAGAATAATCTTTGACGGACGGCAACCATTAACTTCGAACTTTTGTAAAGGTGATTATTTCCATTTTTTGGGAGTGAAACCAAATAAATTTCTTGGCCAACGGAAAGTAAATCAAATTTGCATTATTTATTTAGTTGTTGTGCTTTCATTTACACATAAAAAAATTGACCAGATCAGTCCATGGGCATACATCGCTTCAGCGGTTCCATTAATATAACCTCCTCCAACCCAAGTAGCTGAAAAATATCAAATAATTGATGAGAAGATGAAAAAAAACGATAATTAAAGATTTCGATGAAAAATGCAAATCGATTTGGGTAAAAAAATCAATAAACACTAACATGTTACACTCTGAAAGTATTATCATATTATTATATTGATGATAAAAAAAACTCCAAGATCATTATTGTGATAATATAAGAAGAGTAAAAATAAAAAGGTCAAGAGTCATAAAAGGTTAATTGTAGTGAATGTTTCTGCTGATGAAATGTTTAACTAATCGAGTTGTTTACTTGATTTTCTGGTCAATTTATTATCCTTGATGATCATTAGATTGACAGAATTATTTTATCGCATTAATTTACTGAATATTTAATTGGAGACTGAAAAAAACTTATATGAGTTATCATGTTACTGATTAATCAGAATTTCCTATTGTTATTATGTGCGCACAAGAATTGAAATTAGTTTTTCAATCTGTGAATCTATTACATGTAATGGTGACAATTTATTACTATTATTTGAAATAATCAATATTCTGATTGATTCTAATTGATTTCAAGTCAAAATTATATCGATAGTTAGTTAGTTTGATATCTAATTGCAAGGTATTGGATTATTGTTAGTTTTTGCTTGGAATTACCTGTCATGGTGAATATACCGACGAATAGGCCAATGTTCCGACCTGCCAACATAACCTCTTCCGTTTCCGTTTCGACGCCATCAGGTGATTTCTTCCTTCCAGCCCAAATACCAACAGCTAAGATTAGAATGTAAAATATCACAACGGAAAAAACTCCGGCCAAATTAACCGTCATTTGTCACAACCTTTGGTTTCGAATTGATTTGTTGATATTGATTGATTATCGATGATATAAAATGAATTTCAGCTTGATAACAATTTGGACCAGCAATTGATTAATTAGATGATATGATGAGTAGTAACATTTGGGAACAATAAATTGCAAATTGGTGAATAAAAAAATGTTCATCTATTGATGGTTAATCAAATCACTTTGATTTATGCTTAAATCTTTTGCGTTAATTGTGTGTGGCTGTTGATCGTTTCTCCTTTTGTTTTTGTTGATCAACAATTAACGTTCAATTGTCAATGAAAAGGGGAAATGAGATCAATGGATGACAATTTAAATGATGACAGTAATGATGATGATGATGATGGTTAATTCAAAACAATGAATTCTTGGATTGATATGATTCATTTTTTTGCTTCTTCAGGAATCTAATTGTGTTTTCGTAAGTTAATAATGTAATTGATGTTTGAGGAACCACTCTGATTAAGCTTGGTGTTAATCCTTTATAAAAGGCTCGATATCCTTCATTCCTGTAATTAATAAACAATTAGAATTCATTGTCAAATAGATTATCATTAAGGTTAATTAACAACTCGATTGTAATGTTTTTTTGTGATATTCTTATTAAACTAAACATCATAGTTACATTTTCAGATCTAATCAATTGTTTGACTAAAAATACACATCATTTTTTTTGCTATTGAACTTTAACTTAATTGTGAATTGAAACTATAATTTGATTTAACATTGTTAACGAATAACAATTTACATGGGTTCAAATCTTACAACTAAATTACTTTGAATTGATGAATTCAAGGTAATTCTTGACTTTGATTTAAGTTAATTTAAAGTTAACAGTAATTTGGACCAATTTTTGAATATTAAACAAAATTTGGTGATTTTTTTTGGGTTTGGACAACAAAAGAGTGGGAAAATTATTAGATAATCAAGAAAAGGATTAAAGGTTTACAAACAATAGATAGAACGGATTAAACTGTTTCGTGGTTTTTTTCCCCACAATTAACTTGACTAATATTCCTATTAAACTGACAGAGGGGTTTGTTAATTAGGTACAGTCATGATAAAGAAATTAAGGAATCGATGAATAGACTTGGGTCATGGTTAGAGTAGGAAAAATTATAACAATTAATATTGATTAAGAAATTAGAGTTTTGTCTCGGAAACTTAAGCAACACTTGCTTCAATTATAATGACAGCAGAATTTTCGTCTTCATCAACTGTTGATCTATTTTATTGGTGGGTGTGATTAGAATGGTCTTGATTAGTTTGTCCATTGTTTACAAAAATTTGTAAACCACGAAAAGAGCGATTAATTTAAACGATACAGTTAAGATTATGACCAATAAGATTTGAAGTTAAAAAAGTTTCCATGTCATTTCAATCATGATGATCATTTTTTATTATTATAATTTGGTTGTGATTTCTCTAGGTAGCATCTTAATTATCAGGGACGATTTGCTTGCCTTGGTTGATCGTCAATTTCAAGACTATACCCTCGTAATTAGAGCTACATCTACATTGACCTCCAATATGAATGAGGGTCGTTTAATTTACTGGTGAAAGAACGTGTTTCAAGGTCATTTGTAGGATTTTAGTATTCTACGCGTTTTTCATCCTGATAGATGAATTTTAGCTCATTGTGATAATGATTCCAAACACAGAGCTCTTAAAGAATTTTCAAATCTTTGAATCTTCGTTCCAAAGAATTTAAATTTGCTGAATTCAATAATACCTCCTGATGAAGTAAATAAAAAAATTCAAGTTATTTATTAATCAGTTTGAGAAAGAATAATTAGTAGTACAAAATTTGATAACACTCATATTTTGTGCAAAATTGGTTTACAAAAAAGTCAAATATTAATAGATAACCTAGAATTTTCCAAAGTAAGGCGATTACAGTTCCCATCACAACGGAAATTATGCTCGCGGAATTTGCCAGGACTTGTAGAGATAACTTTCCTCGTCATTTTCGTCTCAGGATCCATATTGCTAAAATTTCTTAACTGGCTCATGGTGATGACCTTTTTCTGAACTGATTTTATAGGAACTTCCATTGATGTATCTTAGTTCTGATAGTTGTAACCTTTCGTTTCAATCACTTCAATTATTTCAAAACTTTTTTCCTGATGAAAAAACAATCAAAAATTTAGTGAAAGAAAAACCAATTGCCATAATATTCATAATGGTAATCGCTCTTTTCAGATCTGCTTTTTCAGGGTTGTTTGGGTCGATTGTGACCACCAAATGACCTTGATATTATAATACGACAATTGAGTGTCGGCCAAACTACCATAAGACGAGTCCGAATCCAAAAAACTTAATCGTTGTGTTTTAATATCAAAGTCATTGATGGTCAAACACAAATGACCTTGAAACCTTATACTAAAAGAATGACCGGAATAACCTTGAAATTAAAATATGACGATTTATTATTGTCTGAATTCCCATTACTCGTTACATTTTATCAATTGTTTTAATACCTCCAATCGTTTCTCCTAAATAGTTTCTTCTAATCTGCCGCTAAAAAAGACTTACACCTGTTACCATGACGACGAGAAGCCGTTCGGAACGCCTACTTACATAAGATTCGTTAACAGTGTGAGAAAAAAAGTGTCTCCATCTAACGTTTTGTTATGATGAATTTCGGTTCTTTTTGTTTTTGTTTTTATTTTCTTCATAATTTTAATGTTGAGACTTTTCTAAAATTGGAGAATTAATTTATTAATTTATTTTCTTGTTCTTTTGTTCTCCTTTTTATTTTAAACATTATCGTACAATTTTTTTTACAACAGTTGTAAACATGAGTATATTGGAAGGGCCACTTTGTAAATGGACAAATGTTGTCAATGGTTGGCAGTATCGTTGGTTTGTTTTGGACAATGATCAAGCTTTACTTTCCTATTATACATCAAAGGAGAAAATGGTTCGTGGTGATAGGCGAGGATGTGTACGTTTAAAAGGAGCCGTGATTGGTATTGATATAGAAGATGATTTTACCTTTACAATTACCGTTGATTGTAAAATGTTTCATTTTCAAGCACAAACCGCCGAGGAAAGGATTAAATGGGTAACCGCATTGGAAGAAACAATTCTTAGGCATACACATAGACGCCGACCAAAGAAAAGTGAACACTTTCAACTTCCCTCTATAAAAGATTATGAAAGAAAAATCTCTGAGACTGATACTTATCTTAATCTTCTCATAAATCAAGCGAAATACTTGGATAGTCAAATTGAATCGATTTGTGAAGAAACTGATCGACAGAAATTAATTGACATAAGAGTTTCCCTTTTGTCTCTTTTAGATTCTGTTAAACATACAATTATTCTTCTTCAAATTGCCAAGGTAAATTCATCTTTTGTTCTTCCATCTTTTTTTTTTGTTCTTCTAAAATTGAAAAAAGAAGAAAAATTCTTTTCCATCATCACAATCATCATCATCATTACTTTGCACTATTTAAACAATTGTCCATGGTTCAGATTCTCTCCCTTTTCCTTTCCAAGTTTCTTTTTTCTAATTCAATTTATCAGCTTCATCAATTAATTTGTTCCAATTTCGTATTCACCTGTTTACCCAACTACCTGTTCGTATGTTTAAACTGTTTCCTCTTGATGATTTATCTCTTATACATCATCAACAAAATTGTTAATCTAACCATGTAAACACTTACAATTTTCAATGTTGATTATTGTCTGTGCTCATCTTTCAACCATTTTCATCATGAGAGAGAAGAGAGAGAGAAAGACAGGTTTTATCTCTTCTCAATCCACTTTTTTGTAATGTTCTGGATGGTTAATCAGACAAGAAAAAAAAATCAAATTTGAATCAAGAGAGTGAGACAGAGAGCTAGTGAGAGACCAGAGAGAGAGAGAGAGAGAGAGAGAGAGAGAGATATGAATTCAGATTAGCAATCAAAAAGCATCAGTTTCCCACTTGTTACCTTAAAACAAACTCACACCCCTTTTCATTAGTAATATTTTAATTAATCACTTTTTCCATATAATCTTAATACTAACCATTGATTGCTCATGTTAAATTATTGTTCTTGCTCAAATCCATGTGCGATTCAAATAATAAACAACAGGGAGAGTCTCAATCTAAGTTAGATAATCTCACCATTGTGAAGGTAAACAGAAGGTTTTTCCTTAACCAAAAAGTGATTTTATTTTATTTTCATTTAATTTATATGATTTTTTTATAATTTTCTTTTTTTTCTAATCTTTACATCAATTAGAATACATTAAATCCTATTAATGGTGTTTTTAATGAAAGAATGAACCAAAACTCAGAAGTAATCCAACAACAACAACAACAACAATCAACATCATCATCATCATCTAAAGAACCACAACAATCAACAAAAGATTTAAATCAACTTGAAACAAGGTCATTCTTACCAGATAATCTAAATAATTCAACGGATCCTGTTAAATTATCATCCTCCTTATTATCAACCACATCATCAACAACAACAAAAAGAGTAGGAGGTGAAGAGGAAGAGGAAGACGAAGAGGTTAATCATCATAATTATACCAGTGATCTTGTCAGTGGTGTTACAGGTTCAAGGCCAGAAAGTGTTAGTTCAAATAATAGTGGTGATAGTAATAGTAACAAGTTAAAAAGACGATTGCTTGGTGAGATCAGTGGTTTAAATGGTGTTCCCGAGGTTTCCTATTCCTCCTCCGATGAAGAGGATTGTTTTTATGATGCAACCGAGGAGACACCCAATTCACCTTCAACTGTAGTTGGTTCAATTGATGCTGCTTGTAAATCTATCGAATCTTTTAACATAAACTCTCTCCATGAATATAATAATATGGATTCGTCAACCATTGATTATGATAAATTTTACGAAGAAACCGATGATGAAGATCTTGGCTCATTTGAAAGCCATGGGTCAGTTATATCTCACCTTTTATCTCAAGTTAAAATTGGTATGGATTTGACCAAAGTGGTTCTACCAACATTCATTTTAGAAAGAAGATCTTTACTTGAAATGTATGCCGATTTTTTTGCCCACCCTGATCTATTTATCAGGTAAATAATTTCTATTCTATTGTTGTTTCCATCTACTCTAATTCTAATAACCACCTTACCCTGTCATATTTACCACCTTCAATTCATATTCACATTCATAATCAATCATCATGATGATCCATAAAATCCCAACGTCATCAACCTTTGTTTTTTTTCTTTCTCTCATCTTTCTCTTGTTCATCTAGTATTCCTGATTTTGAAACACCAGAGGAAAGATTCATAGCCACTGTAAGGTGGTATCTCTCTGCATTCCATGCTGGTCGAAAGGCCAGTGTAGCCAAAAAGCCCTACAATCCCGTTCTCGGTGAAATATTTCGTTGTCATTGGAAATTACCTTGTAATGAAAACGATCCCTCATCAACTACCGTTAAAGATGGACCCGTACCATGGGCAGTGTCTAATGATCTTACTTTTCTTGCTGAACAAGTTTCCCACCATCCGCCTGTTTCCGCTTTCTATGCTGAACATGTTAATAAAAAGATTATGTGTTCCGCTCATATATACACAAAATCTAAATTCCTAGGACTCTCAATCGGTGTCCACCATATTGGCCAAGGGTCAATCTATTTATTGGAAAAAGGGGAAGAATATGTAATCACTTTTCCAAGTGCCTATGGACGTTCAATCCTAACAGTTCCTTGGATTGAACTTGGTGGTTCTGTAACTGTTAATTGTCCCCAATCAGGTTACCATGCAAATATTGATTTTTTAACAAAGGTAAAAACAACTAAATCCGCTCATTATTATTATTCATTTTACTTTATAATTGCTGATGAAATTATTTTCTTTTCTTTCATCCCTCAAATTAGCCTTTTTATGGTGGTAAAAAACATCGAATCACCGGTGAGATATTGAATCCGTCAAAAAAAGTGGTTCTAACGCTATCTGGTGAATGGAATGGTGTAATGTATGCGAAAAAGGCCAACGGACCAAGTGAAATGTTTGTCGATACGAAAGCGATGAAAACAATTAAGAAAGTTGTTCAACCAATTTCAGAACAAGAGATTTATGAATCAAGGCGATTATGGAAAGATGTGACTCGAGCCTTAAAAATGCGCGATGTAAATTCTGCTACTAATGCGAAATTTGTTGTCGAACAAGGTCAACGTGATTTAGTTAAAGAGCGTCAACAAGCAAAAGAGAAATGGACCAATCGGGTAACTAGTAATTCCAAACAGCGAAATTAAACAATTTGGAAACAAAATTAATTCTAAATCTATTCCAATTCCAATTCTTTTTCTCCAGGTCTTCCACAATTTAGGTGATAATTGGTATTTTAATCATCCGTTAACTACAAGATCTTCAACGAGCAAAGGAGCAACAACAACAACAACAACAACCACTACCACCACTTCACCAGCAACATCTTGATTAGTGATAATATCAGAAAAAATGATTTGCTTTTAATTGTTACTCGTAAATCACAATCAATATCAAATTGATCATGATTGCAAATTGGAAAATCAATTGATATATTTTTCCAGTTCCCTTACAAATGGATCAACTTTACGCCTTCATCGACCATGTTTGTTATTAATTAACTAATCAAATTTAACTCTTCATATAACATCAATGATCATAATCATCTTCACCCAATCATCCTAATCAATTTGTTATTATTATTATCATCAAAAGAGAAACCCTAGTCGTTCCGTTCTGATCATTTGAAGGGAATCAATATAATTATATTTTTGATCATGAATAATCATTAAGTATGAAAATTAATGATAATTAAAAAAAGTTAGTGAGAAGATGAGATTAAATTTTTGAATTGTCAAATTTGAAGTAGCAATCCAATTATCGCAACTATAGTTTTCCTCCCCTTTCTCTCAATTTGATTGTTGAAATTTTTCAATTAACTTTCAAATTGAGACTATTGATTGTGATTTGTATGATTTACCCTTTTGTCCTTAAATTGTAAATTGAAACAATCTTTGCAAAGTGTCATTAATACAAAATGTGGTTTTGCCAACACTTTTTTTTCATACAAAATTTAATCAATTTGTTTTTATTTTAATTGTTCATTTTTTTTGCTGTCAAAAATGAATTTTGTTGATTGTTGATTGTTTAGTTCAGTTTCAACATTTTTGGTTTCGATTCTAATTGTGTATCTAATAAGTAGACTAATCTATACAACTCGTAAGTCTAATCTGATTAAGGTTCAATGGTAACTTTTAATTGTCGTCTTTGTCTTTAAGTCTTTACTTGGCTTTAGCGAAACCCAAACGCTCATTACCAAGGTCAAATTCAGTGTAATAAGGTCCAATGAAAACATCTCCCAATATCCATAGTGGTCCCATTGGTTTCGGTATATCCATGGCAATTAAGCCAACAAGACAAACTGTCCGTCCAAATTGGCTGACCTGTTTTTTTTAAATGAAGGAACAAATTAATCCAATTGAAAGATGATCAAAGTTAATTATTTACTTGGAGAATGTAATCTTTTCCCTCTAATGGATAAAGTTTACCACCAATTTTAAATGTTATGGTTGGAAGATCAGGAATACGATCACAATCAACTGAATACTCCCCGTTGACCAATGGTTTAGCTTTTAGGAATTTATTTATATAAGTTACTTCCTCGACTGGACCAGCAATTAATGAGGTACCAGTATCGGCGATTGCTTGACAACCACCTGAACAAAATGATTGTTCAAGTCCATCGACGGTAACAGCGTCCATTTCAAATTGCCAATATGCTTTTCGGGTAACAGGAACGTAAGATAAATCACCATGATAGTGATCAGGATCAGATCCACCAAAGATTATCTCACCACCTACACTAGCTGATGGATCACGGCTTAGATAGAAAGAGAAAACTGCATCTTGAACCAAATTTTGTTCAATCATATTCTCAAAGATCGTGGTAACACCGTCAACCGAGATACTTGAAAACCCTAGGCCAAGGATTCCGTCAAATTTTGCAGCAACGAAAGTTATTCCTGGTTCGATAACAGCTTCACCGAAAGTTTGATTCTGAACGGCAGCAGAGCCTAAAAATATCAAATTAAAGACCAAACATTAATCAACACGATCCAACTTATCGTAAATTTTTCACATATCCTACCGATATTGACCACATCAGTGGACAGGAAACCTTTCATAGAACCAGTTCCATAACGTAATTCAAGGTCAGTTCCGTTGGCGACATAAGTTTTACTCTTATTGTGGTCATATTTATTGTGAATTAAACAGGCAACGTTTGTCCATTTACATTGTTTCGAGGGAATCCAAAGATTTGATGATCCGGTGTCGAAAATTACTTTAAATGGTTGACCAGGAGTACCAATTGAAATCTCTCCATAATATTGAGCATCTAAACATTTTGGATAGAAAATAAAACAAACGATTAACTGATTGATTAATTTGATCAACTGATTATCAACGTTATGAAAAGATGAACAAGTTTCTATTTTTTTCCTTCATCAGGTTCAAGATAAAAAAAATAAGTAAGCAATAGTTGACAAGAATTGATTACATTTGAAGTTCAGTAATCAATTAAATGTTGTGATACAATTAGTTAATTGATTAAACAAAGAAGTTGTTTTTCATTATAACCATGAATTGGTTTGATTAAAGTAAATCATCAAGTGGTAATTAATGAATAAGACAGACACACTCTCTGTTAATTGTCTGAGGTTAATCGAGGTAATTGAAAGAGACAAGTTTCAATCTTGAAAATGTTATTAGCGATTAGATTAAATTGTCAAGTTTATCCTTAAAAGTAAACAATCAAATCAATTGAAAGAAATACATATAATAAAGACAATCAACTCGTTATGATTAACAATAATCAACGGTAAGCAAAAAAAAAACAAATCACACTCTTGGGTCATGTTAAATTGATTTGCTGTTCAGGGATTTTAATTGTTTCAATTGTTTTTTTTTCAGGTTAACCTTTTGTTTTCTGAATTCAAAATCAATCGATTGAATGTCAAGGTTGGTGTTAAATGGTTAATTGGATTTGAGGAGCGAAAGAAACAAAGAAACAAAAAAAAACGGTCAACAGTTAAGATGCCCGAATGTGACACTCAAGAAACTTAAAACCTATCGATCGATTCATCTGACCACAGGGCAGAGGCAACACCCATTTTCTTTTCTACTTACCCAGGTAATTACTCAAAGGTTCAGGAATCGGTGATCCATTTTTAACAAGAGCCTTAAGGTGGTTACGAGGAAGAGCATATTTGATTGGAGTGCCAACCGAATGGAGCCGATGTCGAACAGTTTCAATCTTTTTCAATGCAACTCGGAACGATTTACGATTCGATCTGGTTTGACCAATGGAGAAAACTGATAATATCACCAATAGACAAAAAAGAATCTTCATTGTAAGAGAAATAATTAGAAAACAAGAGAACAAAAATGGAAGAAGAAAACAAAGAAGAAGAGAAACAAAAAAAATATTCCACAAAGAGAAAAGTTAACACATTTAAGTCCAAAAGGTTAACACATAAGAAAAGACAAAGAAAGAAAATGAATTTGAATCTATTTTCCAATAAACGAAAAACCAATGACAATCAAAGAAAATGATCTTTCCTTGATGGTGACAAGTTAACAATTAACTGATTGTTGACAGGAGGGAAATTAAGTTTAAATTAATACGAAAAAAAAAGAAAGAGAGAGAAAAATGAAAAAGAAAGTAACAGTTTTTATTAGAAGAACAACAAACTAAACCAGAAAAAGAACATGACAAAAGTGTCGAAAAACGAACATAGATGGCGCCAGGTTTTCGATTTTCGAAAAACTTTATCAATCGAATGAGTTAAATTTCGAGTGACAATCAAAAGCTTTAATTGCAATTAACTGATGAAAATCAATCGGAAAAAGAAAATCTAAAAAAAATCAGAACATTAATCTAGTGACATTTGCAAAGAGAAGAAAAAAAAATCAATCCCTTTAATTAGCAATTAGAACCAATCAGTTAATCTCTTCAAATATTGATAACATACTTTGTAGAGTAATTAAAGTTTTAATTAATCATATTTACACCACAAGGAGACTGATTAACAAGCTGATAGAAAATCGTTGAAAAAAAAGTGTGGAACAACAATTAGAAAATTTGAACAATATTGTCAACCGAATGGTCAACTCAATGACAATTGACCCATATTAAGACAATATGAGTTGTTATAATTGTAAGAAAATCAATTGATCATCGACCAAGTGTCAATCAATTGATAGAATTGACTTTAATTAGTATAAATAATCAAGATGATGATTAGCTATAAAAACTATATGGATAATCACACTTTCCTTAATCACTATACTCTCATTTGTTAATCATCTTAACTGCGTCAATTGTTATTAAGGTGTATATCTTATTATTAATTAGATGTATTAACATTTACAAGGATTTACTATTGATCATCATCACAATCAATAATTAACTTAATCATCATCTCAAGTGGCCTCTTGTTTATTTTTCCCTTTTGTTTGTCAATCTAATGGCGACAGTAAGTCGATAACTTGTTAGCGGAAGTACAATTAATTATCATCCTACCCCACCCATACCTCTCCCCCCTCTCATCATGATCATCATCCTCATCATTTAATAACTGTAATCATCTAAATAACAATCAAATTCATTGATGCTTAATCATCATCTCTCTCACTCTCCATCCTTGAAGATGAAGTTATTATTATTGTTATTACATTGACAGAAGGAAAAAAAAACTTTTTTTTTCTCAATTCAAGTTAACCCAATTAATTTTAATCGTTTACAATTAAAAAGTCAATTAGTTTATTAATTGTTACCATTGATTTATATATATATACATACTGAGCTCGTTTCTCTTTCCGTTGTTCAACAATTAACTTTCACCCAATTAGTTAATTGTTACAATTTAATCGTTTCTTTGGTAAGAAGAAAAAAAAACTTTTTTTGTTTCCTTCTCTTTCTTAATTGTTAATTATTTACACTTTTTGATTGTTGTTATTATTATGAAACCATTATCACAATTAATTATTATTACGATGAGTCTGATTACCACTAATTAAGAGTGTTAACTGTTAACAAATTAAATGAAATAAAGAGACTTACACTTGAGATGATCAAATGATTAACTGTTAATCAAAATAAATCTTAATGGTTGATTATCATTATCATTACGAGTGGAGAGACATTTTTTTCATTCTAATCAATGATCAAGATAAATTTGCAATTAACTAATTGTAATTTTCATTAATTTATTGATTTTCTAATTTCTTCCAATTGGATTAAAAGGTAAATCATATTTCCAATTAAATTAATTACCAACAATCAACGTATGACCGTTAATCATATCAATAGATGTCACCACTTGTTACGAATGAAAAATTTTCATTCAATTTATTAACCAACAATTAACTTGATTAGAAGACAACAATTAACTAAAATAAAAAGTAATCAATGAAATGAATAAATTGTAATTCCATTTGAAATTAATTTTCTCTCTCTCTCTGTCTCTATGTAAATCGTATCATAGTAGTTAATTAGTTAATCCAATTTACTTTACTATCGGATGATAATTTAATCCTAAACCAATACGATTTGTCAAATTAACCAGATTAATCTTGATTTACTAATTGTGATTCCATCGTATTAACTAATTGCTGTCATTAAGATAAAAATAAGAGGAAATTTGATCAAGATTAAATTACCTTTACAACTTTACACAGTTAATATGTTTAAGTCATCGTAAGTTTTTTTGTTAATCAACTAATTAATAACTAAGTGATCAGATTAAGTGGATTAAGTAAAGAAATACAAAAAAAAAGTTGCAAAACAAAACGATGAAAGAGGATTAAGATTAGCGATTAGTTGATTGTAAAGGATTAACTGTTAAGTGAAAACAAGAAATGATAATTATAATTTTCATCGCAACAGAAATAAAAAATATAAGTTATCCCTTGAAACTAATTGTTGTATTTGGATAATTTCAAAATCCTTTCCAATCACAATTAATAATCTTGTCAAAAAAAAAGAGAGAGAAATTAGTTAATTAGTCTCATTTTAATCCAGTTCTGAAGAAAAAGAGAGAAAGAGAGTTAATTAGTCGGCAGATCAATTGACAATTAGTATAAACAGAAACATAATTGAAACAGAAAACACAATTAGTTTTAATTATTTAGGTGTAAAAATACAATTAAGTTAACCAAAGTTACAACCACCTCACACTGAGATGAGACAATTAATCATGTTAATATTTAATATCCAAAGTTAATCAGATTAGTAGTAGCAGAGACAATTACAATTAAGACTAATTAATGTAATATTACAATAACAACAAAGTTAAAGATTAACGATTAACTCCCATTGAGAAAAAATTTTTCCCCGAAAAAAAAACAAAAAAGTTGTAAATGAAAAAAAAAAGTCAATCAATGAAAAGGACAATTTAATGAATGGGAACAATTGAATTGACAGATTATCAGGAAATACTAGAAGCAAATTCTGGTGATGAAAATGAAGATGATCAATTGAGTTGATGATGAAAAATTTTACTATCAAGATGAAATAATAATAATAAAGGTGAGATGATGATGATGATGATAAGAGGAAGATGATTGTTTATTTATTATTTGATTTGGTTGCTGACAATTAACTGAGATAATTGTTGATGATACTTGATGATGATTAACTTATAAGATGTTGTGTCGGCTTTTTAATTATGTTATTTAATTGTTTTGCTTTTCAATTTGTTCTGTTTATGATATGAGAGACCCGAGGACTCGGCACCTTGGCGCCTGATTAAGAAGAGGAGGAGGAACATGGAGAGAGAGAGAGAGAGAGAGTGGGAAGAGGAGGTGGTGAAGGTGAAGGTGGGAAAAGATGAACAGGGAAAAAAGAAGAGGGGAAAAGAAAGAGATTCAAAGAGAGAAGATGAAATTTCATATTTTCCAATGTTTTTTTCTCATTGGGGATAGTTGAAGGTGGAACAGGGTGGAAGTGGTGGTGATGATGAGGAGAGGAAGAAGAAGATGAGATGATGAAAATGATGATGAAAGGAAAGAGAGAAAGAAGAAGAAGAAAAAGAAAAAGAGAGAGAGAAACAGAGAAAAAGGGGGGAGAGTAGAAGGAGGAGTTTACCCAATGGAGGAAAAGCTTAAAGGGAGGAGTTTAACTCGTGTTACATGGAGAGTAGAATGTGAAAAATGGGAGGAGATTGAAAGGTGAAAATGAATTTGTATTGGTTGATTTTTGGAGAAAATAAAAGAAATGTTTCTTTTTCTCTTTCTTCTCTCTCTCTTTATCCTCCTCCTTCTTTTTTCTTCTTCTTCTTTTCTTCTTCATCATCCTCATCATCAACTCTCCTCATCCTTTTTTTATCCAATTTTCATATGACCTCTTAAACCAAAACGTTCTCTCAACGTTTAGAATTTGTTTCTTTCTTTTTTTCCTTTTTTTCCTAATTTTTTTCTTCGTCCTCTTCATCCTCATCTTCTTCTCATATATTCAGTGTGATAATAATTTTTATTATTGACACGTTGATGATTGACAGATATCATCAACTTTATCATCTTCATCATCTTTATCTTCATCTAAATCTAGTTAATCAACTTTTCCCTTCATTTTTATTTTCATTGTTTTAACTTTTCAAACAATCAACTTAAATCTATTAACCTGATTATCCAATTCTAGTGGATTAAGACAAAATATCAAAATTTCCTTTTAATCAATTAATCAATTATTGGTCTAATTGTTTGTTTAATTGTTACTTCTTCTTCTTGGATTATAATTAATTCAATCAATGATATTAATCTTATCATCTAGATGCTTATTACCAATTTGGATTTAGTTATGACCTCAGGTTTGAGGAAAAGTGGTAACAGTAATAATAATAGTAATTTAAACAATTCGAGTAGTGGTCATCATATTGTCCATCCTCATCCTCATCATCATTCTCACCATCATCATCATCATCATCATCTAAATCATCGTAGTAAAGGTTCATCAATGTCCACACAATCAACTCGCTCAGGAACCAGGGGTCAACCTTTAACCTCTTCCAATGGGAACAATGTTAATAATAGTAAATCAGTTTCCAATAATAGTAATCGACCTTCAACCGACTTTTCAATTGAAGCGATTATGGGTCGTTCCAATGGCGATTCAATTGTTAACAATCAGTTAATTGGTTCACCACAATCTCAGCTTAATCATAATCTACATCATCTTAATTCCCAACAACAATTAACCTCTTTTCGAGGTTCGTCTTCATCACCTCCCTTTGTACCTTCACTGGTTTTACCTTTAACTGGACTCAATTCATCTTCATCTTCAACAATCAATTCAAAATCATCAACTTCAGTCTCGGTTAATCATCACAACAACAACAACAACAATCATCATCATCATGCTAATCATTCACCTCCACCGATTTCCCCTCCGTCGATTGATGTTGATTACAATTCGTCTTCCCCACCGCCAATGGAGGCTTCTTATGATTCCCACTCCACCTATTCGGTCACCGGCCACCAGTCGATCGCCGATAACTCGATCACCTCCTTTACGATCTCCATCAATCAGTGAACTCGAACGTCCAATGTCCGGTACTTTGGACAGAGGACACCTTCACCTTCACCTTCCACCGGGTCAACTAAAGATGGTTCATCTTCATCTTGTGGTGGAGGAGGAGGTGAAAGGGCAGGAATGGTGAAAGAGGTGAAAGGTCCAGTCGAGAGGAGAGAGGGGGAGGTGGTCCTAATCCATATGCGGATGCGATTAAGCCCAAATGTAATTGTGAAGAATTGGCTGGAATTAAATGTCACCTTGAGAATAAAGATCTTTGGGATAAATTCAATGAACTTGGAACTGAAATGATTATCACCAAATCTGGAAGGTAAGAGCAACAAACAATTAATTCTCATCATAATTTATAATCATTTTCTAATCAATCGATAATCTATACAATTAACTATTCACGAAAGAACTTAAATGAAAACAATTAACCATTTTCTAAAATCAATACAATCAATTTCTTATTATAACAAATTGAATATAAAAGTTGCAACAGAAAAAGAGTCAAAATATTTAATCAACAGACTTAATAACAACAATTAATTGACTCATATCACGATAATCATTTAAACAATTAATCTTAATCACCATTAGTATTAAGAAAATACCACAACAACAATCAAGATATTGAGAGGGAAAAAAGAAACTATCAAGTTTCAACTTCCTACACAATCAGAATTAAATTAATTTCCAATTATCAACAATTAACCAGAGAAACTTAAAACCCTTTTAAAAAGTAATCAACACAATCAACAGTTATTATCATGTTTCATGAATAAAAAACAGAGACAATTAACTAATCAACCTGAAAAGTATCTAATCAAATGAGGCAAAGTTAATTATCAGGCATTTTCTTAATTGTCAACAACAACAATTAAAGAAAATTGATCAAAAATTGAGAAGAAAAAAAAAACTTTTTCTATCCATAGGATTTTCCTAACAATCTATTTAAAGTAACAACTGAATTTAAATTGTTTGCTTTAATTTTAACGAGAAAATTAAACAATTTGCCAACGCAGCTTAATTACAATTAGTAAATCATAATCATAATCATAATCGTAATCATAATAACCAAAAATTTTGTAAAAACAATTAAATTGATGATAATTAACATTAGTAAACACAGAAAACATCAAAAAGTAACAATCAACACAGAGACAACAACAATTAACTGAAAGATAGTTAATTAACTAGTGATTAAAGTTTACAAAGTACTTTAATTACAAAAACAGAAACACAGAATTACAATTAAAAACAATCAACACAAAAATCCAGTTAAACACAATCAAATCATAGAGAGAGAGAGAGACAATCATGATTAACTAAATTAACTTCTAGAGGATTGATGATGAAACAAATCAACAATCAACGGTAATTATATTATAATAATCATCCAAATAATCATGATTGGTTCATATAATTTATATATTTGATTGTGGTTTTTTTTGATAACATTAGTTAATTCACAATAATAACAAAGTTAATAACATTAATGATCATCATCATCATCATCATATTAACGTAATGGTTTACACACTTAAGTATAAATTGTTAAGGTCAAATTGTTTTGTTATGTAATTAACCTGATTACATTGAAGGTTGGCCGAAAATTGTAATTTGTTATAATATAATAATGATGATGATTGTATTGAGGATGATCCTGATGATGATGATGAGGATGGCGATGGGGATGATGATGTTTCTCATCTTTAAATTGTTGTAATGTCAATTTACCAAGAAGCTTGTTAATGTTATCATCCAATTGATGATTCCAATTGTTTCCTCTTGACTGATGAGTTTTATATATAGAGAGAGATGATAAGGAATAGGAAAGGATGAAGATGAAGATGAGGATGAGGATGAACTTTCTCTCTCTCTCTTCCATCTCTTACTTTCTTATCTTCTGAAACCTATAAGATGCTCACGAATCCACAAGAAAAGTAGGCAAAGTGAATCAAGAGATTTCATGATAACCTATATTCTGATTAATTCAATTTCTTTCATTTTCTTTTTCTTATATATTCTAATCATCCTCATCTCTATCATGATGATGATGATGATGGTTTTGTTTTTGAAACAATCGCATGATTGGATTATCTTGATTAATTATTTTTCTCTTGCAATTTACAATAAAGTTAATCAAGTTTTCCTTTTTACCAACAACAATCAATGAAAGGATAATAATGATTATCATGTTTACTTATCGTCATCATCATTATCCTCATCGTCACCAATATCATCGCTTTCATCATAATCAACATTCACATTATCACCATCATCATCTTCATCATCATTATCATTGTTGGCAATTTTTAACTGTCACCGCAAATTGTTGTTGATTTAGCTAATTTAATTGCCAACTCATTCCCAATTGTAACACATAAACATTACAGAAATACAATAAATCATAAATAATAAGGACAATATAAAAAACAAATGATGATTATCATCATTATCATCATCATCGTAATTAACAGTAATCATTATTTTCATCATCTACAAAGACAATAAACTTATATTTATACAATTAAATAATAATAAAAAGAGAGAGACACAAATTGATAATTAATCAATTAGCTAATTAGTAAATCAATCAACTAATTAACCAATATAAACAAGTATCATCACAATAATGATAATAATAATGACAGAATGTTAATCAACTTAAACATCATAACAATTTAACATTTCACAAGTAAATTTTTTCAGTTAATTTCAATGAAAATTAAGTTAATCAAGTTAAATTTTTACCTTTTATAACAAAGCATAAAACAGTTAGTTGATTAACTAACTGAATTCAGTCAATTGATGATGAGGCAAATTTTGTCTCTCCCCTTGATTGTTATCAACAATTTGATTTGTCAACTATCAACAACAATATAATATTATTATAAGCGGATAGCGGATCATTAAGTCAATTGAAATTTCAGATCAACAACAATCAACAATCAACAATGATAACAAAATGATTTTTAAACTTGAGGTTCCTGTTCAATGGTAAATCTCAATGGCACTTATGATCCCAATGTAAGGAATTGACTGTGAAGAGGAAAAATAAAAAGTCAACTGTTTTGTTGATTGTTGATATGATAATAGTAATAATTGTCAATTGTATGGGCAATCAAAAGAGTAACCAAATTTACACGAAAACGCCTTTGGTAACAATCAACGATTACAATAAATTGTCAGAGAGTCTTGATAATAACACCAGAAGCATTTGTTACTTGAATCGATTTTACCTCCTCTCGAATATATTTACTTGAAGAAGATGATAAATATCCTCACTCCCTTTGTATTCTTGATAATATACTCACATAGACTCTCACTCTCATCATCATCATCATCATCATCATCATCTACCTCTCTCACACAATCTGGTATCACAATGATGATGAAGATAATGATAATAATATAACAGAAAGAGTGAGAGAGTAAAACTTATCACAATAATACAACTATTCAGATACATAGAGATGCCAATGTATTGGTTACAATACTGAGGGAGAGAAAGACACACTTCCGTAATAAGTAAGCAGATATTGTTAACGTTTCTCATCATCAACAGTATCATCATCATCATCATCTTCATCTTCATCTTATCATCATTTTGAGCTTTATCCACAGTAAACAATACAAAGTGTAAAACTGCCAAATGTAAAGTGCCAGGTCACAAAATGTATTGACAATTTCCTGTGATCGACTTTATTTCAGCCTCATACCTTAGGTCACAATAGATTATCAATAAATAATGATCCAGATAATAGACTTGACTTTTCAATCTTATCATAAATATTATCTTCATCTCTCTCTCTCTCACTTTTTATCATCATTAACAATCATCATCATCATCGTCCATCTTTTGTCGTTGTATATTGTCCTCCATCCTCTCCCTATGTGTGATTGGTATCAATGGTCAAGCAATAATTGTTCAAAGAAAAACAAAATGTTAGTTGATTGTTATCAATTTTTTGATTTACTTCAACTTTTCACCTTTAACTTGACAACAATCAGCTAATCACAATATCAATTGGTATCAATTGACTTTCAATCAACTGGGTAATCAATATTTACTCATGCCAATTATTTACATAATAATAATAATACACAACAACAACAACAACAATTTTCCAAGTGTTAAGGTAAAATCAATTGATTGTAGTGATTAAATTATGATTTATAAGGATTAGTGAGATAATATTTATCCTCTATTTTCATATTATAATCCCATTTACCTTTATTATATTTTCATTTAATCATAAATTGTTGCTCTGTTATTATGATAACTTTTTTTTTCTTGACTTGGAAACAAAAATTAACATTAATTCATTATAATTTAGTGAATTAATTTAAATTGAATACTAATAATCAACTGTGATTACCTGTCATAGTAAAGAGATAGAGAGAGAGAGAATTAAGTTAATTTAGTGACCAAACAATTTAAATTGTTGTTAACCTTAACTTAATTTTTTTTTCTTCTTCTTCATCAGAACGAAACAACAAAAAATCATTTATCAAAATTAAAGTGAATTAAAATTTACACTAATCAGAGAAAAAGTTAATTCCAATAATTTGAGATTAAGTTAATTGAGATTTCAAATATTTTGATTTGCAAATTTATGCTCATTAAATGTTGTTGTTTTAACTGTTGGTTGCCCTTGCAATTGATGCCCAATCATGATAATCATCATGAAAACGATGATTCCATCATGATAATCTGAGATTCTGAGAAACTAATGAATGTGATTTAGGTGTAAAAAATATTATAAATCCTTTAATCTGTTTCTGTATTAATCTCAATCTTTCCACATTATCTCACCATGAAAATGATGAAACTGAGATTTTTTCACTCACTCAACGATGATGAAGATAAAGATGATGATGATAATGATGATGATGGTTCATGAAACATGTCAAGAATGAATAATTGATGATAACCATTACACTTACATTTCTCTTCGCCTTTTTTTCCTCATCTTGTTAATCAGATAATTTATTTTTTACCTTTGCTGACAATATGGAAATTCAGATGAAAATAATATCATCATCATCATCATCTTCATCTTCATTCATTATCTGGTATCTTAGCTAATGACGTAAATTATTTTGATTAATATCAGTTAATTATTGTGTTAGATATCAAGGTGATTAAATTGTGATACCAGAAAACGCAAATTGTTCAGTTAATCAACTCAGAGAATTTAATTGTTACCTGTTGGTTTCCTATCAAACTTTAAATTGTTTACTATCAACCAATTCAAATTAACTTTAAATTAACGCAAACTCTGTTATATTATCATGAAGATGATGATGATGATGAGAGAGTTTTTCAAATCAGGTTATGTAATGTATAGGTTGAAGATGATGATGATGATGATGATTAAGATTAAGGATGAGGATGTAAATTGATCCATCATGGTTGCCAGATGAGGAAATTTAATCCAATCAACATGTAACATTTTTTTTCCGGAAATTTGTTCATATTTTCATTTCCAATTCTTCATCCATAAGAGATCCAATTTTGCCTCTTTAAACTGTGAAAATTAACCAGCAATTAGTAAATTGTTGACTCTTACAAATGATCATCATCATCATCTATTATAATTATCATATGCTGGTAAATAGCATGATAATGATGATATAATAAATCCATGAACAACAGTAGGTAACAAATCAAATGGACAATGTTTACCAATTGTTGTTGTTGTTGTTGTGATGATGATGATGATGATGATGATGATAACTACAACTTCAACATCTTTTCATCATTTAATGTGACACTTTCATGATTTGTTTGCTATTGTTGTTGAATATGTTGACTGGTAATAATTTACAGAATCCAAGTCTTGATAATATCAGCAACCATATTAAAGGACTGTGGGGGTATAATAACAATTAGACAATGATTATTATTAAATTTAATGATCATCAAGATACTTAACAATTAAATTGCACTGTAACTACATCAATCCAAGGTGGAAACCATTAATTTGCTGTTAATTGCAGTTTCTAATCGTTCCTGATACTTTACGCTTTCTTTGAACCAATTTTTTTGCATCATCATCATCACAATTAACAGTTAACAATCAACGTTTTTCTGGTCTCTTCCCTTTAATCAATATGACAAAAAATAAATTAGTTAACTAAATTAACACAAATCTAATTATTAATAGACTTTAAAACTTTTTGTTTCAACAAAAATGATGATGATGATGATGATCACCAGATTAGATTTAATTGAATTGAACAGTAATTAGCAATTAATCCAATACAGTGCTAACAATTTAGTTGATTATCACTATGAGAAACACAAAAAGTTAAATTATTACCTGAAAATTGAGAGATAATTGTAATTGGATAAAGATTAAGACAATCAAATCAATTGATCAATTCGCAAGGGAAATTGATTGTTTAAATTGTCTAATTACTAATTTGTAATCATTAAGATGTAAGCAAACAATTAAGGATAATGAAGAAAGAGAGAGAGAGAGTTTCAATTTCTCATAATTATAATAGTCATTAAATTGATTAATTAATGATTAGTGAAAAAAAGTGAGATGATAAAGTGATGATTATTGTGGCGGATAAAAGTATCCGGTGGTCATCATAATCTTCAGCAATTTAATGATGATAACAATAGATGATCAGTTAATGATGTTGATTGTTGTGTGTGGTCGATGGTGGTTTTTTATCATCATTATCATCATATTTATCATCCTCAGACAAAATAATAATAAAGAAGCCGGAATCTAATAATAAATAAGAAAAGAAATTAGAAAACTTAAAATTGATGAAAATGATGATGATGGTGAGAAGATGATGATAATCATTTCAGTGAGAGAGAGAGAGAGAGAGAGAGAGAGAGAGAGAGAGAGAAGATGATAAACAGTAAAGTTCAGCAATGGAAAACCAATGCCAGGTTAGTCTGGATGGAGAATTCAATGTTATCATTGAATAGAATGAAATTCTGTCTAGTTACCTGTCGATGTTTACATTTTCCTCTTTCTTACCTTTCCAGGTAAACAAAAGAAAGAAGAGAGAGAGAGTAAGATGATATCTAATGAAGATAAAGAAGATGAAAAATAGATTCTCACTTTTCCAATGAATGAGCAAAGATGATGTAATGATGATAATGATGTGGAAATGTTTCTTTCCAAATCTGAAAAGGTAAAATTTGTCTCTCAGGTAAATGAATCAATTGATTCCTATGGTTGAGAGATGAATACAAAATTTATGAAAACAGAAAATGTATCACAATTGATTGATTGGTTTTCCTGAAAATCATCATGAACACTTACAGTCATTTACAAAGGTGTTTACTATTGAGATCATTTGAAAAGGTAACAGGATATGGATACCTTTTCAATTTCATCAGTTCCAATCAGATGATATTGTTAATCTCTTCCTACAATAATTAGCCGGATATATAACTGTTAATGAGAGAGAAACTTATCAGAACATCAATCCAAGTTCAATTCAATTTCGATTTTTTTCTTCTTCAAAACCGATAAACGTTTTCTCTTTTCAGTTTCTTACCTTGAATTCAATTCAATCTCTTTCATTGGAAATGATTATTTTCATCATCTTCTTCTTATTTCGAACCTTTTTTTCTTCTTCTTCTTCACAAGATTGGAAATTCTTTTCATTCCAATTTCTGAGATAATTCATCTTTTTTTTCCTCTTCATCTGATTCTCAATCTCTTCTTTTTTTTCTGATCATAATCCGTGTTATGTTGATGATATAATTGGTTTGAGAAGTTCTTGTTAAGAATCCAACTTGTTTTCTCCACCATGTTACCTGTTTTTATTCAGAATATTTATCATCAGGAATCATCTTTTTCTTTCCTTCTTCTCCATCAAGATGAGAATCAAGGTTAGAATCCTGGTTCAGAATCATAACCAATCAACAGGTAAAAGGACAACACCAAGAAATCATTTCCAATTTATCAGTTTATTTTATCTCTCTCTCTCTCTCTCATCTCATTGAATTGTTGTTGTTATTTTCCAATATTATCACCATAATCATAATCATGATCATCCTAAAGTCCAGGGTCAAACAAATAGCAAACTACAAGATACATTCAATATTCCTGCTTAATCAACAACAATTGATGAATTAATCAACTGATAAATTTTCATTTACCTTTGCAATTATAATTATAAAAAATAAGGTGAAAAACAATGGAGACAATAAGTACAATATACTAAATTGTTGACGATGATGATGATGATGACTTTGGTTTCTCTTTATCCTCTTTCTTTTGTCTTCATTACGATGAGTGATATATTTATAAATAAATATACGGGGTGTATAATACATATTATATATATAAATTGTAACCTTCCAGCAAGAAAAACTTTCTAGTTGTTTATAATGGACTTGAGTTTATGTTGAACAGCGTCTCTCTCATCATCATCATCATCATCATAATCATCATCATGATAATATTACCAACGACAGGTCTCATAGGTTTTGAAACAAAAGGCCATAATTGTTGATGATGATGTTATTACAATTTAGATTGTTATCAAATTGTTTGCTCAATTCGTGTTGGATTTTTGTGTAACTTTTTCCTCCACCCTTAGTATTACCCTGCTTCTTGTTATTAGCATTGTATATATGATGACTTCTGCTATGGCGATAATATTTGTATGTACTTTGCTGAATCAAATATCACCTTATTATCATCATCATTATCAGGTAGTAAGGGAGAGAAAGAGAGAGAGAGTATGTGTGTAAGAGGGAGATAGACAGGAGTATAATAAACAACATTGATCCATAGTTAAACATGTGATTATCCAATAAGTAATTTATTAGTATCACACATCATATTAAGGTGAGTCGATTTAGTAACGCAACTGGAAACAGTAAAAGTAACGGTAAATAGCATCTTGTTTATCTTGCTAATCCAGTTAGTTTTGTCTTTGGGTTTTCCAATGGGTTTTTATGGTCCCAGTGATGATAATGATGATGATGACCATTGGAGACTTAATTGTAAGGATATTGAATGGTTTTCTTTTTGTTATTGAATTTCCTCTTGCTTGATAATTTGTCTCTTGACTTTGATTGTGATGATTGAATTCACAGGAAATTTAATCAGTTCACTTCATGGAAATGAGTCTAATTTTAGTACTGCGCGAGTGGGAAATTGTTAATTGTTGTGGTTATTGATTCCAAGTAATTTTAGCTCGTCTCCTTTTTGTTTCCTTATCAATTTTCCAAGGGGTTAATTAGAGTAAGTTTAATTGTCTGTTTAATTGTGTGAGTGTGAGTGTTTCTTGTGTCTCTCTCCATGAGTGTCTCTCTCTCTCTCTCTCTCTCTCCATCTAATTGATCATGTTACACTGTTGATTAATTTAGCAATTGTGAAGAGCACTTGATGCTACTGGCTCCGAGGATCTCGCTTAGTTCATCAAAAAGAGTTAATTGTCAAGAATAGATTCAAATGATTAACTTGATGATGATTATCAAGAGTAACCTGAGAGAAAATAATAAGAAACATTAGATTAGTTAATGATTAGTAAAAAGCTTGAGAAATGTTTTTGACTGATTACATGATTATCAGAATGATTAAGAAAAATGTAAACTTAACCATAATTTCATTAATTGCTGAGAAAAGCAATTAATTTTTCTCTCTCTCTCATTCTCACTCATTTGAAACTTTTTCTTCAATTATATGTTACCATGTTAACCATATTCACATATTGATACTGTCGATAATGATTATGTTGATTGTGACTTTCACAATGATTTATTAACCCAAACAACTAAGTTAACAATCAAATCAATCATTCAGCCAACATGAACACCGTCAACAATTAAGTTACATACACATGTTCAAATATAAATAAAGGGTTAGTTGGTTAATTTGATTATAATACAATTACCTAAATCTCATCATCATGATACTTGGAAAAAGTTTAAGGATAAATTGTTTCATCATCAACAATTTAGCTCATATAATAATATAATTGTAACATTTTCTGTGTCAAAGTGGAAAATTGTAATTAATGGAAAACAAAAAAAAACTGATTAACCAGTAAAAAAACTAATAATAACAACAATTACGAAGATTAAATTGTTACAATCAGAATTAGAAACAATCGGTTAATTTATCATTAAAAAAAAGGTGAGTAAATGAATGAATTAAGTTTACGATTAACAGTTTTGATGTGTAATAACAATTTAGTAATAATAGTAACATTTATTACTATTATTTGAATGATAGGCTTACATTTGAATTAATCTGATTTGATGAGAATGAAATTGCAATAGAAATCAAATTAATTCAGAAAAATGAAACAACCACCAACCAACAACAAGAAACGTTGAATAGATTGATAGATTCAAATATGAATGTAAATCTTAATATCATTCACAATCAAGTAAACATCAAGTTATTACATTTTCTTTACCTTGATTATTATAACGTTATTATAATAATCAAGATAATCATAATCGTAACTACATATAATATCATCAAAGATGATTATCTTTTAAACAAAAGAGTAACCCGCAAATTTCAAATTCAATTTACTCGCCCAACAGCAAAGTGAGTGAGAGAGATTGAGGGAGAGACCACCAAAGATGTAAACTAATGGTTACATAAGATGATAATGAAGATGAGGAAGATGAGAGAAAAGAACTAATCTTTTTCTCTTTCTTTTCGCCATCCTAATCACCCTGTAAACCATCAATCTCATCTAAAATTTTATCCTCTCATATGTTGTGTTGTTGTGGTTTTGACGAATCCTTTTTCCCAATATTTGATTAACTTGCACGCGTTTTTCATTATACATTATTGCTTATTGATATTTTTCCCATTCCAATTTTACTTTCAATTTTTAAACGATTAACCAATCAAACCACAAATCCTGTGCTCCATTAATTGTGAATAATGATCATCATCATGATACCACTTATGATAATAACTGTAGATGAAAAAGAGAGAGAGAGAGAAAAGGAAAACCATTAATACATTGAACAGTTAATTTAACATTGATTATAAACAAGTAACAACAATAATAATAACAGAACATGAAATTAGATTAAAACAAATTTTGACAGTTCTGTAGATAGTCAAAAGTGTGTGTGTGTGTTTCTGTATGTAGGGTGGGCCAAAAGGAGAAAGAAAGAAAGAGAGAGAGAGATATAATAAAGAGAGAAAACAATAAAACCGATAATTTTCTAGATAAAAGAAAAGAAGAAAAATGTTCGTTGTAAGATGAAAAACGATAAAAACGATCATGATGATTATCTTTGGATATACTTAAAATACTTTACACAATCAATTCGAATGGTTCATCATCATCATCATCTTCTAATAAATTTCATGGATAACACCTTAGGCCAAAATGTTTCTTTCCCGTTTTCAACTCGTTGTTATTGTTGTTGTTATTTCGCTGTAAACTCATTTTTCCGCTTAACAGGTAAACCTCGTAATCTACCGCAGAAAATTATCATGGACAGAGAAAAGAAAGAAAAAAATAACTTACCTGCCCTTTTTTGTTACCTTTTACCTTTTTGCTTAACCTTTATACCTCCTCTTCATTATCATTATCATCATCTTCATCCTCATCACCATCTACCTTCATCTTTAGCTTCTCTTTTCGTAGCTCTTTTTTCATCATCATCATCATCTTCTTCCTCTTCTTCTTTGGTACATCGACCGATTAACCTAATGTGTTATGAGGGTTATTCCAAGTTGATATAACCTAGAATTAACTTTTTACCTGATTGCAGGTTAATTGTAATGTAACAACATTCGAAGGTGTAACTTTTGACACCTTCGAACCTTCATTACAGTGGCAGCAGAAAATAGAAAAACGTTCTCTCTCTCTCTCTCTACCTCATAGTAGCTAATATATACCAATATGTGTACATCCAACACGTTAGAAAAAGGATGATGATGATGATGATGAGAAGAGAAAAATTTTACACACTCAATGTAATCCTTTTCTATTCTTTTTCGTTACAATCAAACTTGCAAGGAACATCCTTTTGATGGGTTAACAGCCTAATGTAGTTGTTGTTGTTGGAGTGGTTGTGATGGTGGTGGAGTTGGTGGAGTTGGTGGTAGCCTCAGAAAATTAAAAGTCAAAAAGATAATCATTATTATCGTCATCGTCATCATCCACAGGGTATAATTATTTACACCATTTCGACCATAGTCTTAATTGTTTTCTCAATCTTACAAACTATGAATTTGATGTAACCTTTTATGCCTTAAGGCCTTTAACTAGATGAAAAGAAGAGAAAAAGAATTGACCAACAAGAGAATGTAAAAAGAATAGGGATAAGATAATAAGGATAAAAGAGGAAAAGGATTTGATATTGAATTTACCTCAACTTGGTTTCCTGTTAATTTGAGAAAATTTTGTTCTTTTGTAAATTTTGTGTCTTTCGTTGTTCCAATGTCATTGCTCATCATCTTTTATCTTCATCATTATCACCAGAATCATCTGGAAAAAGTTTCAGTCAGTTGGTTGGATGATTTAATAATATGTTACAAGAGTTTCAATTAAATTATCAAGAAAATAAGATACATGATACCTTAATGATCAGCGTAATTTAAGAGAGCCTGTAAGAGAGAAAGGGTTAAAAGGACAAAATAATCAACAGAAAAAAAAAACAAATTCATGAGAAAATACGTGAAAATTGTGACAAATCAAAGTTTCACCTTCTATTAACCCTTTGCTATTTACTTGCGAGCTAGTGGGTTGTATTAATTATCTAATGTAAATTTTAAACAATTAATTAACTATCAAGTCAGGGTTGGGTTAATTTGTGACAATTTTTGCTCATATGTTGTGTCACTTTCACACTTTCATGAGAGGTGAACACAATATCTAAGAATGACAATAGAAAACTGAAAAGATGAATTCACCTGAGTGTCAATGTTGATTTGACAAAAAAAAAGAGAGAAACATTAATCTCTCTCTATATATCAATTAACACCACCAATTATTTCCTTGTTTTTGTTTACTAGTTTGAACAATTGGTTAGTCGTTTTCCAACAATGGTCATCTTTAAAGTCCACTTATTATCTCATGTATCTTTCGGTCATGGTAATAAAATCAAATAACCATTGGTGTAAAAATCATCACCTTAGCGCCTACGCTTTACTTATGAATATTGATTGTTTATCTCTCGTTGGATTTTTTTTTTCATCCGAAAAATTGTATCCTTTCCAAACAATAGAGAACCAAAGAGAAAACAACTGAAAAAGAAATGAAGAAAAAAAAATAGAAATCAATTGATAATCGATGAAAATGATCTTTCATTTTAGATAATCACATACATTGAGAATCAATGGTTTCCATTGTCTTGCAAAAATTGTTCCCAATACAAAAAGTGACAAAAGGAACAGAAAAAATGTTCTCAAAATAGTTGTGTCCAAGAGAACAACAATCAATAAATAACGTTAATTGTACTAAATTATGTACAATACAAACCATAGATTATGAAGATCAAATTAAAACACGAAAGAAACAGAAAATAGAAAAACAATAATAATCAATATGTCGGCATCAGTTTTCCCTCTAATTTACATATGACACATTGTCTTCTCACCCAATATTTACAATCTAATTACCATCTAGTTAATTTAGTTGTCACATGTAATAACAGTTCAATTGATGGTAAATCATCAAGCAAAAAAGGAAGACACAAAAACCACAATTAAAATAAGAGAAACAAACAAAATTGGAATCAAGATGAAAATGAGATTAGAAAAATTGAAAACAAAGAGAAGTGAAAAGTTGAAGCGCTTTTTTTGAAAAGATTAATTTTCGATTAAAAAATGATTATTATTTTGCAATTTTCTATTTTATTTTGTTCGAGAAATATTCCATTCTAATTGGTGATTGATTTTCTCTTTCCTATCGGATTAGACGGATGTTTCCAACAGTTCGAGTCTCTTTTACTGGAATCGATGTGAATGTTAAATATTTGGTTCTAATGGACATCGTTCCCGTGGACAATAAACGTTACCGTTATGCTTATCACCGGTCATCTTGGCTTGTAGCGGGCAAGGCTGACCCTCCCTCACCCGCTCGACTTTACCTTCACCCAGATGCACCCTATTCAGCTGACCAGTTGAGGAAACAAGTGATTACCTTTGAGAAAGTTAAACTGACCAACAACGAGATGGACAGATCTGGACATGTAAGTACAACAACAAAAAAACAGACAATATTTGTAACTCAATTTACTTTAATGAAAAACTTTTCCTTGTTTGATTTTTTTTCTTATTCAGATTGTATTAAATTCAATGCACAAATATCAACCTCGAATTCATCTGATCATATATCGTGAAGGAATTACTTTCAATTCAACCTTCATCGCAATGGAATCAGAACGTTTTAGAACCTTCGTCTTTCCTGAGACCGTTTTCACAGCCGTAACTGCCTATCAGAATCAATTGGTAAGTTAATCCATTAAAAAAAAATCTCATTCCAAATTCAACTTGACCCTCAGAAAAGCATCAGTTCCGTTTCCGGATAAAAAAAAACAAGAAAAACAAACTTTTTTTTCACTTAAGCAAAATTGAAGTAACAACAAAAAAAAACATCATCATCATCATCATCATGATAATAATGATTTAACACAAGGTAATTGTTACCAATTGAATAATATATTAGTTGATTGTCAAAAGTTGTAAATTGTAAATTCAATTGATCAACCTGAAGTAAAGGCAACTAATCAAATTACAATCTAATTTAGTTGATTCAAAAGTTTTGTGTGTTGTTAAATTCAATTCAATTTAAATAATGATTTTTGAAAGTTTTTCAAAAAAAAAGTAGCAAATATAAAACAAAATTTTCAATTCCTTTGTGGTTTTTGTATCAGAAACCAGTTAATGGTTTACAACAATTTACTTTCGATGATTAATATTAATGATAATTTACAGCAATTTATCAACAATTTAAGTCACAAACACACACACACACAGAGAAAATGGTGAACATCAATTTTTTATTGTAACCATAATATTACATGAGAAACCATTAAGAGGTTAATATTTAGTTCATTACCTATTAGTGGTTTACCTTGAGTGTTATAAATGTCCAATCTTGTCCTTTATTCATATACATATGAATACTAGTCCATACAGGGTGCCCTTTGCCCAGTATAATAACAAGAAACTGGACATGTTAACCAAAAAAAAAGCCATAGGTCAAGATTAACAGTAACCCAACAATGTTAATGTTACCTGAGGTAATTCATGTTAATAGTTTACCTTTAAAGTTGAATGTTGTTCAAAGCTCTTGGATCAAGATGGAAACCATTTCATGTCATAATTTAAATCAGATTAAACTGATTTCTTACAATTAGTGACATTAAAAGGAATGTGACTCTCTCTCTCTCTCTCTCTCTAAAATATATTTATCATCATCTTCATCTTCATCATCATTGTGATAAAAGCCACTTAAAGGTTTCACTTTTTATTACCTTTAATCTTGAATATGATAAAACTCACAGGTAAATTGTAATTGCAACTTTTGCAATTGATTACGATTTGATTGCAATATTAAAATGACCATTGATGATAAGAGGGAGAGAGAGAGAGAGAGAGGTAAGAACTGGACTTACCTGTGTAAATTTTTTTCCTTAAATTTACCTGAAAATTTATATTCACCTTAATTTTAATCAACTTTTATATATATAAATGTATTAACTGTTACTTATGTTAATCAATTTGACTTTTTTTCCCAAACTTTTACCTTTGGTTTAGATGAAAAAAAAAACTCTGAAATAAAAGTTAATATAATACTTAATCCGACACATAATTAACATTAATCATGATTAATTTTTGTCTTGATAGTCACACAATTAATTCCTATGTGTCATTTATGTACCTTTGATAATCAGGTAACATAATCTAATAAACTTTAATTACCATTGATTAGTATTTCTTATTACAATCATTTAGGTGGTTTGATTAGGATGATTAATTGTTGACAGTTGATTAAAAATAATAACACAACTCTAATTGTCAATTACTGATCACAATTGATAAAATCATCTTTTATCATTATGATTAACCTAATTTCATAATTAATGATAAATCGAGAAGGGAAAGTTAAGGACAACAATTAAGGAAAACAAAAAAAAATAACCAATTTAATAGTTTAATTGCTTACGATTGTAAATAATAATCATGATTGAAAAATATTGATCACAATTTTCAACACCAATAATAAACACAATTAACATCATCAGTATCATCATAGCGATGATGATGATTATTATTATTGTAATGATAATCATAGGCTGTGTGAGTGTAAATCGTTTTGTTTAAATTAAATTGTTTCAAAGCAATTTATTGATTAACGATTCGTGATCATCATTGGTGGGTTTTTTTACCCTCAATTCAATTTAATCACAATTGAATTGTAATAATCATAATAATCTAATATTATCTAATGTAATAAGATGATGATGATGGAGATGAAGATGTTAAATTGATGAAAATTACCAGAGAGAGAGAGAGAGAGAGAGAGAGAGAGAGAGAGAGAGAGAGAGTGAGACCACCGAGATTGAACATTATCATCATCTCTTGATTGTTATTGATTATCATTGAATCTGTTATTATTATGACAACTTTATGAATATGGTTTTATCATCAAAGGTATAAAAGTGGGAGGATGTGGACCTACTGATGATGAGGATGATAATTGACTTCTTATGACCTATAATTTTTTGTGTGAAGATGATGATGATGATTACGATGAGAGAGAGAGAGAGAGAGAGAGGAGACAGAAAATGATAGTTACCTGTCTTCCTAAAATAGACACTCAAACTTAATAGGCATAAAGGTATTCACAATCAAAGATGATTACTCAATTCACTGATTCTCATCATCATGTTCATCCTCATCATCTATGAATGAATGAAAGAGGAAGAGATGAGAATAAGAAGAGAAAATTTTTTTTTCTTCTTCAAGATTTATCTTCCTCTCTCCTTTTCTTGTTGATAATTGTGTGTGAAGATTGATGCTGATTGTTGTGATAATATTAGTTAATTTTGTTATTGTTGATGATAATGATGAGAGGTCATCATCATCTTCTTCTTCCTTTATCATCCTCATCCATTTATTATCATCTTTATAAAGGATTAATCTTCTCACGGATCAAGATGATGTTGATGATCAAATTGACCCATTATCCTTTAATCATTTCAATTGAGTGAATTAACAATTTACTTTTTATAGATTAATAGTAATCATATTAACCATTAACAATTTAAATTGTCATTATCATCATTCAATTTTCAGGTAAATCTCACAAGGTGGCCCTTAATTACCCACCTTTTAATTAACTTAGTGACCTTAATCATGTAGGAATTAATTTAATTGTGATAATATTGAACATTGATTAATCATATTGAGAAGATGATGAGATAAATTTTTAATCATGATCACAATTTAATATATTAGTTGATCATGATGATGATGATTTAATAATTAATCCGGTTTGTAATGTGTTCAAAATACAATTTTCAGTGTAAACAATTAATTGTGATTTATTGTTAATTGTCAACAACATTTGATTTTGTATCATCATTTTTAAATCATCAAAGTTAATCATACGAAAATATTAATTATAGAGAGACAATTAACCTTCACAGTGACAATTAAGTAATAATTAAATTAAAAGTGTAAGTTAATTTATCGACAATTTAATAAATTAACTAACTCGATAATGAGTTAATCAATTGACGTTTTTGTTTTAATTGTAACTTGATTGAGTTAATTTTTTTTTTCCTTAATTTCTTCAAGCAACAATTCAAACAATTAACTAACGACAAGTTTTCAATGTTAAATTGTTGAAAGGTTTGTGTTGACAATTAAGCTCTGGTTAGAGTAAGAAAAAAAAGTGATCACAATTAATCATGATAATCTTATCAATCTAACAATTTAGCTTATGATTAACTTGACAATTTAAATTGTTTGCCCTTGAAAAATTATATTAATTTAGTTTAGCAAAAAAATGAGATAACTTTAAATCATTTGATTAACTATGTGATTAAATTTCAACGTGTTTTAATTGCAAGAAAAAAACTATTAGTTAATCACAATTAACTTGATGATGATCATGTTTTCAATCAATTTCAATTGATAATATTAATTATTTTAATTACTAATTATAATCATCATCATGATTTTTATTAATTCTTGTTGTTAATTGTTGGAAAAAAAAATTAACAATCAAGAAGCTAAAAAACTAAAGGTGTGCAATTTAATTAGATTTCATTTTAATTGTTAATTAAGGCTGAACAATTTAATAAACTAAATTAAGTTATCAAAGAAACAAAAACAATTTAAATCAATGTGAAATTTTGTTCTGATCAACCACAATTAAGGTTTAATCATTAACTGGTATCAGTGTTAATTGTAATCAACCGTGTAAATATTGTAACTAAATCAATTGTTGAAACAATTCAAGACAATTAAGCTAAATCATGAGTTAAGTTAATAACAACAATTTAAAGGTCCAACAATTTAGTTAATCACAATGAAATGATTCAATTGTTTGTTTCATTTTAACTCCTAGACTATTGATTTGATTGAAAAGTTAATTGTTGACCAATTGTATCTGATCAACAGGTTATCTGGTTGAGTGAATCAAATAAAATTGTTTACAATTAAAAAGTTTAACCAATCGAATCAAAGTTAAATTATTTCACCTTTTATTATATATTGACCAACACAAAAGGAAAACATATCAGATTAACTGACCACTATTATAATCACAATTACCTGTAATCAATGAAACAAAACAAAACTGACCACTTGTATTGGTCAATCTAATTGAGTTGATACATAATCATTATTATCATTTTGTATCAACCTATCAAGCCAATCAAGGTAAATAGTAATTGGTTCAATCAAAGTGTTTCTGTTTACGTTTATTGTCCAGGTAAGTATTAGTTGTAATGTTGATGATGATGATGATGATGATGATAATAAGGATGATAACAATCAATTCAATGATGAAAAATGAACATAAAAAATAAATACATAACTCGTGAGGGTCATCAACTCATCAAACATCATCTCTTACCTTTTTTATACCTTGAAAGGTATTTTGTTATTGCTGTCAAATTATTGATGAAGATGAAGATGCTAAAGATGAGCCTCATCATCATCTAGAGGATCTCTCTCTCTCTCTCTCTCTCTTCTTTTCTCTTTGGTCTTTTCTCCCACTGATTACCTGTTGAACCGTAACTTACTGATCAATTTGTTACCTTTTACCTTCAGTTTTCACGGTCCATCAGCGCATACTGACCAATACAACAACAGAAACAGTTCAACTACAAGTGACCTTTTTTTTATTGGTCAATAGTAAATGATTATGATGATGTAATAATAATTGACCATTGATACTAAATGGTCAAGAATAAAGAGAAAAAAATTTTCCATCAAAATTTTTTCTTTCTTTTTCACTCTCTCACTAAGATTATCTCTCCAGGTAAATCTTTTGGTCAATATATTTTCTGATGTCATAGTTATCACCATCATCATCATCATTATCATTTCTTTTTTTTTCTGTTGATACCTGTCATGTATATCTAGCTATATATTATTGACCCTGATAAACTGAACTGGACAGTATTAATTGGATTTAAATTGGTTATTCCTTTTTTGTTCATTACCTTCAAATAAATAACAATGGTGATGATAAATTTCTCACTGTTATTATCATGTCAAAGTAACAAAAATAGAGACAAGAAAATGATGATGATTGTACTGACCAACTGACCACTAATTAACGTAAAGATTTCCTCATTTCTAGTAGAAGAAAAAGAAAAAAAATTCGATTGAATTTTCTGATTACTTGATGACTTTTAGCACCAATATGACAAAAGTAACATTATCTCCCTTAGTGAGAGAGTCATACAGACAGAAAGAGAGAGAGAGAGAGAGAGAGAGAGAGAGAGAGAGAGAGAGAGAGAGAAATGAAAGATTATCATCTTTAGCATCTTCATCATCTTCATCCTTATCTCTCAAAACTAATCATGATTAGATACGTGTGTCCAACACCTTATTGTTAAGTTCTTGTTACTTTTTTATCTAAACTTTTGCTTACCTGTCCACTACCAACTCTTGACCATTATCATCAATCCAATTATAACTGACCCTTTATTTTTTTTCCACTTTATTTCACCTTATGGTCAACAAATAGATAACCAAATTGAAAATTGACAGTAATCCATTTGCCAAAGGATTCCGAGACTCATCTAGACTCAGTGACCTGGAAAGGTAAGTCAACAAGTCCAAACTGGACACACACTTATAATATACATACATAAATCACTGACCATTACATTTAGAGTGTTCATCTTTATCTGTATCCAATATTTTTGTTCACCTTAAAAAGCAAAACTATCAACGTAATCAATGAGTTGTCTCCAAATTTTGTTTACTTAATCAAATACCTTTTAATCATCATCATCAACAATCAACGAGATACAATCAATCAACCAAATTATTTTTTGTTGAAATTAACAAAAAAAAAACAAAATTCTAAGCTTGACCAGTCCAGTCTCTTTTCATCCTCTCAAAACTTTATCTTCCTTGGACATCTTTACCTTTTCCCGTTAACATTCAACTGACCCCCTCCCATGTTAGCCCATTGTTATCACTCTCTCAATAGACTGACCAGTACAACTACTACTATTGACCCTTTGTTTGACCCAAAAAGTAAAGTAAAAGATACAGAAAAAAAAAACTTTTCATAGTGATGATGAAGATGATGATTGAGATGATAAAATTGACCTCGATTGATTTATAGACTCTTTCAATTGTACAAACTAATTTAGCAAACAATTTATGACCCAATTTTCATGGTAAATCATGTTAATAATAATAATGATAAAATAACACAAAAGTAGCAAGAGTAAAGTATCATAAAGATAATCAGGTAAACATTATGATGATGATTAACTAATTGAATAATAGGAAAACAATCTCAATTGGATAATTGAATCAATCATCTGTTTATTATTATCAACAACAATCAAGTATTACATGATAATATTAATATAATGAAATGAAAAAATGAAAAGGGATAAATTTGCTTGATGATGTTGATGGTTTTGTTTCAAGGTGTTTGCTGTTGATCATCATCATCACCATTGTTTGATTGTTGCTGTTCAATTATCAACCATTTTGCTTGTAAAACAGCAACAGCACACAATTAAATCCATTGATTGAAACATAGTTAATAACGAAGGTGTTTAATCGTGATCAACTAATTGCAATTCATGGTCAGAAACCAATTGCAATCAAGATAATCATTAACAAGAGAGCAAGAAAAAAAAGTATCCAGGTAAAAGTGGGAGGCAAAGGAAGAGCAGAAAAAAACTTCAATTGTTTTTGATTGAAACTTTTTCACAAGAAAACAAGATGAAGAAAAAAAAAACCTTCAGGTAGAAAAAGACAAAGAGAAGAAAGAAAAAAAAAGAAAGAGTAATATCTTCCTCATCCTCATCATCATCATCATCATCGTCATTAACAACCTTAACTGACCGCCCCTAACACCCTTTACTCATCTTCCATCATCATCATCACACAAACTCACAAATTTGTGAGGCCACTTTGTAAGAAATGAGGATAACGGCTTTAGGAAGATGATGATGATGAAGTTAAGTCGGCTCGTTGAACTAAATTAAAGGGAATTGCATTTCCTAAATGATCAATGAATTTGTTGAATGAGGTTGTGTTAAAATGGGAAGCATTTGCTTTCTCATATAATAATTTATACTAGGAAAGCAATTGAAAAGGTGCGGACTCAAAGTGTATAGTTACCTTAAGTTACCTGGTCACATATAAGCATAGGTACTAACCAGTAGTAGTGATTGGCTCACTTACCTTTTCAAGTGTAGTTTTTATTTTCTTACCTTTTTTGTTTTCTTCTAGTTGTTGTTGTTGTTGTTGTTTTTTATCATCATCATCTTTATCTTCATACCCTCCTTGTGTGTGTGGTCTTTCATTTATTATAAAACACTCCGATTATTTACCCTCAGGGTAAATGAACACGCATTCTTATAAATGTATATATATATATTCACCTCCTCTATTCTCACACATATTGTAATAAGAAAAATATTATATTTACTCACAGGTAGATAGAGAAAATTTCATTCACCTTTCTCAATCTATTTCTTATTCTTATCATGCAACACCAACATCAACAACTTCATCCTCATCCATGAAAAGTTATTTACTTTGTTACAATTATGATAATAATCACAATCAACATAATCATGATCAACACTTACAATTTAAATATCACCTCACAGAGATAGAGAGAGAGAGACAGGTAAATCTATTGCATCAATATATCAACACTGATAATTAGATTTTGTTTTTACCTTTGCAAATGAAACAATTTACTAATAATAAAGGTAATTAGTTTGCCAAGTTAATTGTGATAACACTTTTTAAATCATTACAATGGTTGAATTTGTTTTGCATGGATAATATTATCATCTACTCTCGACTAATTATCATCATCTTCCTCATCATCTGCTCTCTTTGTCTTCATCAAATATCATCTTAGGCATAAAAGGCTGATGATTACCTCCACTGTGAGTGCAAACTGTATTTAGCCGTAAGGTGTACTTACCTTAAATGTCACTCAATTAAATGCAAAAAAACAGAGTAATCTTGTTTTCTTAGTTGTGCAAAAACCTTTTGGATGAAGATGAAGATGAAGATGAAGATGATGATGATGATGAAGATGCATTTTCTAAGGTAAGAAAAAGTTGCACTAATGCAACTATTTAGTTACATGCACACTCTCACTATCTGACTCTCGCCTCACAACAAATAAATCAATTTGATTTGATGATAAAGATGATAAAAGAAAGAGATAGAAAGAGGATGACGATGATGATGATGATGATGATGAAGATAAAGATGATGAGCTTGTTAGAGTTGAAAAGGCAAATGTTAGTTTTAGTTGTTACTTCATTTTCTGATTGATTACTCTCATACATCAATATTTGCTTCATCAAATGTTACTTCATTGATGATGTTTGTTGTTTACAATCAATTGCAATCATAATTAAATGTTATCGATGATGATGATGATGATGATGATAAACAACACACCACTACAAATTGATTGGGTAAACATTAGATTTGATTGATGTTAATCAGCAAATTTAGTTTAACTTTCATTTTTTCCCCACAAATTAAATTGATTTAATACACTTTTTGCCTTTTATCTTTATCGTTATCAATTAATGATTAACCAATTGATTTAACATCATCATCATTTTTTATTTTTGGTTTTAATTACAATTTAAATTGTATTAGATATCAATTGCTAACACAATCAATTTTAATTTGAATTAAATTGTTTCACCAATGTGCAAATGGAGAGAGAGAGATGAGCAATTTAACTACATCATAATCATCAAAATTAATGATGATTATGTTGATTGTTGATGCCGATGTCAGATAAACTAACAACTATTAACTGATTGGTGATGTTGATAAAACTGTAATGATTTACTTTAGGTAAAAGCTTTTCAAAGGTAAATTGATGGTATAATCAACTTAATCTCTTGACCATCGGTCAAGTTGATTACAAATTGTTTTGTTTCCCTAAGTGTATTTCAAAAAGTGTGAGTATTTCAATTAGTAACTTTTTTTTTAATATTTTCCTTTCAATTCAAACAATCTAATCCAATCAATACAATTAAGATATCGTTGGTCAGTTAAAGGTTGATCACACAGTTGGGTTTCTGTTTCTCTAATAATCTTATCATTACTTTGACCCTTCCCTTGACCTTATAAATATTCACCTTAATAGTAACTTGACCAATGGTCAATAATTAGGAGCGATTGTTTTTTTCCTTTCATTTGAAAACTTTCATATATGTAATCATAGTTTCTGCAAACAACCATCAACATGGTGATGATTTTAATGATGATCATCATCATTAGAGTCATCAACAGAATCACCTTGATATAATTATCGTGCATCATCATCATCATCACTAATCATCATCAACGAATCAAGGTAAGTAAAGATGAAGATGAAGATGAAGATGAAGATGGTGATGAGGATGAGGATGGAAAATTTTGATCCGTGAGGTTGGAATCATCATCCCAATAGGGTTACCAATCAAACTGATTGTAGATTATTGATTAAAGATGTAAGAGTAAAACAATTAACCGATTAAAATTGATTATGATTGATTTAGTTTTCACCTTGATTGTTGTTTAAGTTGAAAAGGATAAATGAGAAATTTTCTCTTCTCATTAAGATTATCACTTTTAATCGTAATCGTGAGTTGACCATCACACCTTTTCTAGTGGACAAAAGTTACTCTTGATGATGGACACATGACTAATGATGGTAATGATAAGTTAAGAAGATAATGATGATGATGATGATAAGAATGATGATGAGAATGATGATAAAATGTGAATATAATGTGTTGAGTTGAAATGAATTAACAAGCATATGATTTTAGTTACATTATCAAAGATCATCCACCTTATCATCTTACCTTTTTTTTTTGATCATCTTTTCCCGTCATCATCATTATCATCTCATGATTACCTTGATACTAATTTTCAATCATCATCCTTTGTCGCCTCTTGTCATCTTCACAGTAAAAGTTTCCTCTATCATCTTCATCATCATCATTTCCATCTTGTTTCCTCTCTCAAATCTTTTGTCTTCATGAAGATAAAACAAAATGCCCCAACATACAAAAATACATGAAGATGATAAGATTTGCTCTCTCCCGTAATATCAACCTCATCATCTTCCTTTACCACAACAACCAAAATTCACCCTCAGGGCAAAACCCTCCAAAAATCACTCTCTCTCTCTCTCTCTCTCTCTCTCTCTCTCTCTCTCTCTCTCTCTCCTTTTCGCACCTAGCTCTCCTCCTACCAGATAATGCATCTAATTTGAAGTAACATCCTCTTGAATTAACTTTACCCAAAGGTAATAATAATCACCATAATGATGATGAGGATGAGGATGACCTTACGCGCGTTTACAACAATCATCATCCGCATCATCTTTCGCCTCTTCCCTTCTCCCGTGCGAACAATTTTAATTCTTAAAAATTTTCTCCTTCCATTGAGAATACATGAAAGAAAAAGCAAAACCAAGAGAGAGAGAGAGAGAGAGAGAATTTTTCTTCTATCAACAGAAAACCCATCACATTGTTGTTGCTGTGTGGTCAACACGCCGCGAGGTGTTACCTTATCCACACACAAGAAATAACTTCCTCCCATTGAGAGAGAGAGAGAGAGAGAGAAATCTAATCAATCCTCCTCCCCACCTTCACCTCCTCTTGCATCATTTTCCGTGTTTTATGGCTCATTATCATGAATCGTAATTAATATAAGACTATTATTATTAATTAATCACGCCGATGTTGTTAATCGTTCGGCCTTTAGATCACCTTTTATCTAGTTACTTTATTATCCTATCATCATCATTACCTGAATCTTTTGTTTCATCATCATTGTTGTTGCTCTTTAATTGTTTGTTATTATAAACCGTTTGTTACCTTTGGGCCACCCTTGAGTTTAATCAACGCCAAGCACATTAATCCCACTTAATCAACCAGGAAGAGCCTCAGCACCTTGGGTGGTTTTCACTTTAGTTAGTTAGTTAATTTACTGCTAATTTAGTTTTGATTGTTATTAATTTGTTCACTTTTCCTTCAGTAACAATAAAGTTAATTTAGTTTCTCGTTTTGTTTCAACTTGAAGTATCAAGTAATTAGCATCATCATCATAATAATCATCATCAACTGTAATTGTTATTGTTTTCGTAAATTGATTGTTGCTTATGATTAACTATTTACTATTAATCAATCAAACTTTGTTTAAATTGAATTAGTAAACATGATTAAATATTAATTGATGTTTTAATGGTTTTGATACAGATAAAGATGAGACTTGATTATGATTAATCGCTCATGATAATCATCTCGTTTTGGATAATGGTTTAGGTTATTGTGTATTTCTGGTTGAGTTAATTGTTAATCATTTCTGTTTGTGATTTAATTGTTTACCTTTTTTTCCGCTATTTTCTTTTTGTCCTTTTTTAGGGAAACTATGGAATCGCTGATAAATGACCCTTGTTATGGACGAAGTCCAATGATATCGCCTTACCTGATTGAAGATACAGCGAACATGTTGCTGAGAGAAAGAGCAATTCTTATGGGTCATCCTCCACCTCCACCTCATCATATTCACCATCATTCCGGTGGTTCACCTAATCCACATCATCATCCCCATCACCATCAAGCATCACCTCATCATCATCCCTCTGGTTTGCCACCGCCGAATTCATCACCTTCATCTCATCCTTTCTCACCCACTGGCTTACCGCCAGGACTTTCACCTAATGGTGTAAGAGGTGGTCCAGTTATGTGGAGACCTCATCCCGCCTTCCCACCGATCAATCCAACAGACTTTTATAATCTATTAGCTACTTGTCCACCCTGGTATTCAGCTGCAGCTTTTGGTGCTCACCTACGATCTCCTAACCCCAATTCAGGTAATCATCAAATCCTTAAGCTCATTCAATCTTGTTGATTAATTTCAATGAATTAATTATCATTAAATTTGTTCTTTCTTTCTCTCTCTTCCATCAGGATCTTTGCCTGGTTCTCAATCAATGTCTCCAACATCGGCTGCCGCCGCTGCTGCTCTTGCCTTTTCAACTCCCCCTCATTTCTGGGCAGCCAATGCAAATAATCAAATATCAGCTGAAATCGCAAAACAGTCGTTAATCAATGCAACCAATTTAGCCAATGCTTGTAATCCTCCCTCATCATCAACACCACCCTCTGGATCCCTCACCACCACCAACAACAACAACAACCACAACAGTAATAACAGTAAAGGAAACACTTCCACCACCCACAATAACAAAGAGAGTACTAGTAACGGTATTGGTCCAACTCGTCCTAATCATCCTCACGACCAATCAACACACCGATATACACCTTATCCTTTATTTTCCCCTTCAAAGAAAGACAATCATTCAAGTCATCATTTATCATCTTCCTCCTCCTCATCATCACTGCCAATATCATCTCTATCCACACCACAACAACCCCAATCACAACACCAACAATCACCCACATCACTTGCACCTCATTCAACCTCTTCTCCATCTCCATCACCAACATCAAACGTTTCCTTACTTTCCTCATCTTCATCTTCATCTTCATCCTCTTCTCCTCATCCTCATCTTCCTTTAAACCTTCTCAATGGTCCAACCAACGGATTAAACTTATCATCCAATCATCATCATCTCAACCCAAACCACAACTCCAACAACAACAACAACAATAACAACACAAGCAAACGATCAACAATCAACTCCAATTCCAAGCATAAAAACCTCAATCCAAATGTAAACTCTGAAAACAATAACGATGAAGACGATGATATAAACATTGAAAGATCAACTCCAAGTCCATCAAATTTAACGACAATTAAAAACTGTATTAACAACAATTTAGAAAACAATAAGAGACCAATTGATTGTACAGATAAATCTGATTCAACTGAACCAATCAGCTGAAAGATGTTCAATATGATTAGCAACAATTTAGTAACCAACTAATTAAATCCAATCTAAATTTCTTATTTCCTATTGTAAATTAATTCATCGTAAAAAAAAAAATTAATAAGCAATCAACTTTTTATTATGATTAACTTTTATTATTTAATTGTTAAATAATCAATGATTCAATATGATTATTATTATTATTGTATTACTACAATTAAAAGAAACTGTATCAATTAAAACTAATAATTAACTAATTTAGTAAGTTAATTAATCACAACAACTAATTATCATCATTGTAAACATTATAATCATCAAACTAAAATAATATCAATTAATAATTAATATCATTGAGAAACAATTAAGTTTTACCACCTTAATTTCATGAAACAAAAAAAAAATCAATTAATTAATTATCAATCAAATTAACTGTATCAATAAATGCAACACAATCAATATAAATAGTTACAAATATAAATATAAACAATTAACTTAATTGTATCCTTGTTGCTTGTATATTATAATAATTGTGATTAGTTTTTAATTGAAACTCAAAAACTCAAATAAAGACAAACAATTAATAGAATCCAGATTGAATAAAGTTATTATTAATTGTAACAATTAAATTATTATCTTACAAATCAAATCTTTAAATGATTAACAATAGAAACGGAAAAGGAAACCAAAGAAACAGATTCAAGTTTTCCCTCTTCAATAATCAATATCGATTTCAATTGATATTGACCATTGGTCAGTTGGTTATTTTTACCTTCAAGATAATTATCATCTTCATCATCAGATGATCAGTCTTTTGTCATCTCTCTCTCTCTCTCTCTCTCTCTCTCTCTCTCTCTCTCTTCAGGGTGGATACCTTTTAATTGACCGTTTCAAGTTACTCACCATTGTTGACCAGTTGGTGGACATTAGAGCCTGGTGATGAGAGAGAAAAGTGAGAGAGAGAGAGAGAGAGAGAGAGAGAGAGAGAGAAGAATCCATCTTTCTCAATCTTCTGTTTCTTTTAATCTTCTTTTCATCTTTCTCTTTTTGTCTTAACAACTGTAACCCTCAATGGTCAACAGTTATAATCCTTTAACCCTTTTTAACCTTTCAAAATCTTTTGGTCACTTTTACTTATTGTTCACTGACCAATCCTTAATAAATCTTAAATCACACACTTGACTTTTTGCCTTCAAAACAACACATACCCTTTGGTTTGTGGTGATGGTCAAGTTAACTTGTGGGTTGAAAACTTGGGAGGTGGACAATATGTGGAGTAGGAAGAAGTGGTCAGCTATTTTTTGTTGAAAAAAGTGATCTCATTCAACCATTTAGAAGACAAATGTCACTGTAATTATCCTACTGACCATCATCACTCTCACCTTTTTGACAATTGGTCTCATATATTGACCAGTAAAGAAAAAAGATTCAGAAACAATTAACAACAATTATCAGTTTGGTTAAAATATATAACCAGTAAATTTATTCAAATCATTTGAACCTTTTACCCTTCAATTAATAAACATTAATTACGAAATACCTACAAAAATCAAACTCTACTAGGAAATTGGATGAATAACAAATTGACATCAATTCCGTTTCCGGTTTCATTTTTCAGCCCATTTACTTGCACAGTCACACATACACATTAACCTCATCCTTCCGCTTCAATTAATATCATCAACATGTTGAAATTATTTATAATCCAAGTGTAACCCTATAACTTTGTATTTATAATTCATTTCCACTTGAAAAACTGACCATTGTCCAATTAACCATTATAACAGTTTATCAATGAGAGAAAAACAAAACAATAGGAAAGGACAGATGAAGAAACAAATAATTTATATGATTCTCAGATTGACCATTGAGATTGAAGATTAAAAATAATTGAATGAAATGTGTAGGGTCAAGTAAATCTGATCGTTTATTATTGTAATAGTAAATAGCCATTACTGACCACACCATTCAACCCCCTAATTGACCTCTAATTATTATACACAAGGATACTAATAGTACGTGTTTTTGCACGCGTGTTAATTTAATGAAACATTTTTACAATTGTGATTGTGATTGTTGTTGTTGTTGTTATTTATTGCATCTCATTACAATGGTCAATAGTTGGGGTCATCTCTTGAGATTTACTCTCATTATCAATAAACATTATCATCATTTATTCAGAGACACACAGAGTTCAGCATCACTTCCTGGTGTTGGTTATTGTTTATCATTATTATTATTACTTTGAATCGATGAAGAAACAAAACTTTTACCAGTCTGTTCACTAGCCACTGGTCAGTAGTAATGATGCTAACAATTTGTCAGCATTTTTTTTTCACCTCTCACTAATTTTCAACCTCATTCACTCACTTTTCCTTAGCCACACTCACTCCTATGGTCAAGATGTTTGATCCAACAAATGACCTCAACATTATTAACCATCATCTTGACCACAATCTAGTTAAAGGTCAATAATTAACATTTACAACCATTAAATTATTAATAATAACAAACTGGTCACTTAATTGGTATCAAAAGTTTCAAGAAAACAAAAAATCCCAAAGCCCTTGAGGTTAAAACCATAATAATAATGTTGATTACAATTAAGATTTACAAATGATAATCAACAATTGTAATAACTAATAACGATTTCGTTGACAGTTGAAATCAGTTAATCATTTGATTATTATCAAATAATAACTTATTTAATGTTAATTATGATGACAAAATATTATTATCATCAAAAGATACTATAAAATTATCAATACATTTTGATGATAATGATTAGGTAAAAATAAGTAAACAATTATTATCATTCTGATAATATAATGATGACGATAGAGATGAAGATGGAGATGAAGATGATAAAAAATTTTGAATTGTAATCATGATGATGAAGGATTAATATTGATATTAAAAGGAAATGAAATTATTTACTCCAACAGTGAATTTTTAATTTATTATTATCATTATTATCTAACAACGTGTTTCATGTTTTATTATTATTACCCTGTAATGATGATGATGATGATCATCATCATCATCATCAGGTGAGCTTCGTTGGTGGTACACAAAAGGTATGAAGATGATGAAGGTAGAGGTATGAAAATGATGAGGATAAGGATGAGGATGATGAAAAGAAGAGAAAAAGGCAAATTCCTTTTTTCGAAAGAAACAAAATTCACCTTAAAGAAGAAGAAGAAGATGATGATAATGATGATGATGGAGATAAGATGATATTCTCACTTCCATTTACACTTTGAAGAAAAAACAACATAACCCAACCTCTTTCTCTCTCCTCTTCAATCTTCCTCATCCTCTTATCATCATCATCATAATCATAATCATCTTCTTACCTTATTTTCCCCTCATTCTATCATCTCTCTCTCTCTCTCTCTCTCTCTCTCTCTCTCTCAACAATTAACTTTGTACAAAATTGACTCTTCCTAATGACTAATAATCAATCAATGAAGATAATGATTACAGTTAATTGTTAAATAATCTAATTAAAATACTATATTCTTGCTTTTAATTGGTTATTCATTTTAATTTGATAATCTTTCATTCATCTTTATGTTTGTTTTAATCATTGGGAAAACATTAATCGGATTGATCAAAAAAAAAAGGACAATCATCAATTGAATCAATGATAATGATAAATGGCTGATGATTAACTACACTTACAATTAACTAAATAATCCAAAATTAGATTTGAGTTACAATCAGATTAATAACAATTATTTTTCATCTTCATCATTACAACCAAACCATTTTTGTTTACTATTGTATTTTTATCAATGATGATGATTAACATGATTATCATCAACCAAATAACAAAACCATTGGAAAAGTTAATACAATTGTTATTGATAATGTAAACAACATTGAATCCACAATTAAACTAAATAATAAGCCCACTTTTGTTGACCCTAAACTTTTATCATCATCTTAATCCTCATCTTCATCATCATCAAGGCTCATCAATCAAAGGATCAATTGATTGTGATTTCAGTCAATTTAACCTTAACATCGATTAAGGTTAAAGTTACAATGGTAAAGTATTATTATCATCATAAATCTCCTCGAGGCATCATCATCATTATCATCATCATCTTCCATCTTCCATCTTCCAATGAGATGATGAGAAGAAGCGGAAAAATAATAAAACAATTCCCTTCATCTTTATATCAACATTTTCCCTCCTCCGCATCCTCATCTTTTCCTCTTCCTCTTCCTCTCCCAATGGTGAACAGCCAAAGGTAAATCACAGATCTTGTTGACACTATATTGATATAATGTTACCAATCTACCAACATGTTAATCATATTTGTTACAATTTTTAACTAATATTAGTATTGATTGATTAATAATCAAAAATGATCAACTGATTGTTATTTATTTTTCTTATTATTTTGTTTCAATTTGGTCTCAATTGTTTACTCTCCTTGACAAAAACCTTAATCACCTTCAATGGGTAACACATTGTCACAGTTAAACCTAAATTGTGACAACATATTGTTCATGATTAACATGATTAACAGTAAACAATCAGTCTTCAGTATATTAGATTGTTAGTCTGAGGGAATGAGAGAGAGAGAGAGGAGGAGGGAGAAAAAAAATTGCAAATTCGAAAAAGAGAAAAAAAAAGTTTTCTTTCTCTTCTTGTTCTGAATATATAAAAAAATTCTGGTTCTATCATGATCTCTATTCATGCGCATTCAGAAAATGTACTAACATGATAATCAACACAATCTATATACTTAAACTATCAACATCATCATCATTTTCTTCATGATGATAAGTGAATCAATTTACCAGAATTTTACCAGAAAAAAAAGAATACAAAATTTTCACCAACATTCGAAAATTTCTCTTTCGTTGTCGAATATTCGAAATAGGGAAGAGAAAATTGTTCTATCGATTATCGATTTCCTCTCTCTCTCTCTCTCTCTCTCTCTCTCTCATTTTACTATTCTCTTTATACCGAATTGTTAAATTGTGGATTAATTTTGTTCCCATGAACTTTTATTCTGTCATTTTAAATCATGAGCGCTAATTAACTGTAACTTGAGACTCGTTACTTTTTGATTGTTATTAAGTAGCTCAATTTATCACGCATTTCAATTGATTAATCATCAGTACTAATCAGAGTTATTGTATTCTAATCATCTCAACCAATTAGATCCATTTTTCATCCATCGTCAGTTTTTTTTGTTATCCTGCCAACAATAAACTTGTAAACATGAAACTAACTACAAATCATAATCAAGCTTATTATTGACTG